CCTATGAAGCGCACTCAGGCAGGCGCATTACACATAGTAAAACATTTGTGACTATATACGTGAGGATATACGCGCACACTCTATCAATCCTCTTTACAACCCACAAATAACACTCGCCCTCCCCACATCTCGCCCACACAAATCTAACCCAAGCTGACCCTGCTCTGGGCAGACTGGTTTGTGTGGGTGTGTATACATGCATATACGGGTAGGCTGCAGGCAGGGGAGGGGGTTTTGGGTGTCTAGCAGAGGGCGTGTTGGTGTGGACACACCTACGTATTTATGTGTGCGCGCGTCTCTAGAGATGTGTGACTGGAGCGTCGTAATACAGGGCAGTGTTCGTCAAGGAGGTAGTTAAGCCATTCGTTGGCTCCAGCTTTACCAATTTAAAAACCAACTGGGACACTTATAGGTGGTGCCTATCATCACCCAAGGGATGTGGAACTGTATCTTAGTCTGATATAGGTAACATGTTGACCACCCCGATTGTCTGGGCAGGTGGTTTAGCGGTAGAGCCAACGGCTCGTGATGGCAAGGTTGCGAATTCAAATCCTGGTTGGCGTTGACTTGGCCAATCCTCCTTCCAGGGTCGATACAATAGGTACTGCTTTATGTGAAGGACACTGGTTGTCCTATTTACCAGAGGAATGAGGAATTTTCACCACCGGCTCAGGTCTGTAAAAGGGATATAAGAATCACCTCAATTCTCATTTGAGCAGGAAATCACCGACTTTTTTTCTACTTTGACCCAGTTAAATGCAGATTTTTTTCCCCCATGTTGAGTTGCAATTTTTAAGTAACTTGATTAGGAATTGATGAACCAAGCAAAGCGAAGCGTATAAACCCACAAGTGTGCATTGCTCCTACCACCTTGTGTAATGGTACTTTTGCAAGCATGATCCACTCATCTCTCAACATTTTTTATCATCTCCAAGGTGTTGGCATTTGTCAACTCAGCTGTAACACGGTCAGTCCTCTACACCAATGTTTATATAGTTTGACCTTGACCCAGATTTAGCCTGCAGTGTGTTTTGGACGGTTACATGGTACATAGTGTCCAATGTGTATGGGCAATAATAGGCAGCCAGTTTTACTTTGCACTTGTCTCTCTCAGAGTTGTACTGTTAGTGCTTGCTCTGGAGATCCCTTGGAATTCACCCAGCAAAGTTGGGAAGATTATAGCATGCTGCATATAAGCGTGCATGTTTGGTGATTTGCTGCCGAAAGTGTTGCTGTGCTGGGTTGGAGTTCTTCAATGAAGCAGGGTACATGAGTGCACTTGAGGAGGCAGTTGTCTGCTGTGTTAAAGCCTTTCCACGTGTTTCCTTCCCAATTAAAGGTTTTGTCAGCATGACACTGGACAAGTCTTGCCCAGTGTCAAATCTGAAATGCAAACTGACTGATGAAATGATATACCTACAAACTCCCCAAAACACTGAATATGCCAGATGTTAATTTGTTGGGCAACTTGTCTTTTATGGAGTTCATGATTGAAAATAATTTGAATACTTGCTGTGTCCAACTTAAGGACTGTAATGTGTCAGTTTAATGTAAATATGCACTCTATGCCTCCAAGTGACGGAAATCTTTCTCGCGTAACCGATTAAGGTTGTTATCGTTTATACAATGCCCCAAATCATCTGGTCCCATACTGTACGATCCCAAAACGGAGCAGAATTTCACTTATCTTGTGACTAGGTTTAAAATATCCGCTAACTTGACCTCACCAAAGCAATATTGAAAACCAATTTTTGACCAGACAGCACCAATCTTGATTTTTCATCGTGTCCAATATTAATCTTTATGTTTGAATATACGTTGTGCTCGTGTTTCCAAGCTAAGATAAGAGGTTTGAATGTCACATTTCAGAGTTTTACTAAAGATACAAAAACTACACCAAGTGAAAGACTGCAAGAGGCTTGCTTCCAAGAGTAGTTTAGCTACAGCAACAGCATAATTTTAGTTGTAGGTTAGCACTCCAATCGCACAAGCATGAGGTGGGATGGACATGGTGTGACCTATATAAACAGGTACTGCATTGAGTACACACTCATTGTAAGTGTATGAACAATTATCGTTCCATAAGAGTTTTGTGATCGCTCAAGAAGAAGAACCACAAAACACGAGGTGGAATCTTGATGAACACCTCGATATCTCTGCCAGTTTCTGAAACATCTGGATATGTGTGATACGAGGACGCGTATCTGTGTATGTCCGTTCCTCTTCAGTGTGCCAACACTCAGGTCTTGTGAAACATCGCTCATCCGTGTGTGGCACCACATACATCCACGTTTGTACGCCAATGATCACGCATGTGTGCCTCTCTGTACAGCTACACGTGCGCCGGTGCCGTCGATCGGCCATGGTAACCCCACCGAATCGAAGTACTGGGTGGTGAAAAAAGAAAGTAGTTCCAGCCGGTTTCCTGGCAACTGCTTGGAGGGACTTTTAAAACGAGCGAAGTGGTGTTTGGCTGCACGTGGCTCTGTGTGGTGGGGAGGGGAGGAGGTGGGGAAAGGGGCGGAGTCAGGCTGGTCTGTGCACATGGGGGCGCTCCAGACTGTAGGCGAAACAAATGTTGTTATCGGTTCCTCGGATTCTCAGCGTCCCAATTTAAGGGCAGTTAAATGGTGGATGGAGTTTTTGTCAGTAAACAGCCACTGATCCCATTGGTCAAACTTGACTCTTCAGGTGGCTACGGAACCATGAAGATGGCTCCTCTTTCACATTCATAACTTGTTCTCCTGTGACCGAATGTCGCTATGTTCAGCAGTAACTCAAATTCATTATCACAGCACCTCTGGAAAAGCTGTGCAGACATCGCCTCTGGACAGCTGTGTAGTAGTGGTATAAATGATTGCACCTAGCATGGTGTACAGACTGATGTTAGTTTAAATTTGGAATCCAGTCCTGCAACCACAGTGCTTGCATAGGACTACAGCTGGTGTCTTGCCATGCAGAGCCTAGGAATTCCCTTGTGGCCCAAATAGATGTCCAACTAGGTCACCCTGACAGTAATACACTTATAGGCATTCTCAATTTGGTCACTGAACTGAACCAGTTGTGCAGTTGGATTGTGTGGTGACTTGCCAGTTAATGTAGGGAATTATCAAGTGCCATTGTCAATGAAGTTTACATTAAAAGACCCAGTGACCTTAATATGTTCAGAGTGTAGTTAATCAAATGGTGGTGGTGTTTAGGTTGATGAAATAGTGTGTGTAACATAGTTGTAGGTGGTATGGTGTGGCTGGTTGGCATGCGAGACTGAGCTAATTCGTATCCATTGAACTGAAAAGAATGGCAGTTTGATTTACTCCATTTGGGTAAGGTGGTAAAGTATTATGGAATGTCGATAAAAGCTTATGTTTGGTTAATAATTTGTTTTATATTGCAAAGGGTGTTTTTGGTTACTTTGTAGTTGTAAGCATTGAATTGGAGTTGGGACTTTGGTGAGTAACCAAGGGTTTGTGTTTATTCCCGATAGGAAAGGAGTACATTTTTAAATTTTTACCAAAAATTGCCAATTGCCTACTCAGGACCTTATGCTGGTCTTACTTATAATATACTTGGTACAAATAATCAAAGTTTTCACAATTGCATTTTTAAGTATTCTAATTTAACGTGCTATCTTTCCCCCAATGGTCCCAATTTGCACTGTTGGCATCATGTTATGATGCAAAATCCATGCATAAAGTATCAGTGCATTACATTAATTGGAGCAGTGGTTTCCAACTTTTATTCACCTGCAGGCGACTGGTCTTACACATTTCGCCGACCAATATGCGCCACCGACATTTTTCAAAATTTAAAACGACATGAGATTGTAGTCTCTTGCAATAGTTCTGTGGACCATGACCTTGTTTGCCCATACATTGGGGTCTGGCCACATGATCTCATAGCAAGCCTTTACCATTCCATATGGCTCCATGTTCCTCCTATGTTAGTACACGTTCCATTATGACAAATCATAAGGCATGATCAATCCACTGCTGGATGAAAGCCTCTCAAATCTGCCACCATCTCACAGTGCTGCAATATCGCATTCCATCTAGCACCTGCACACAAGTGTAGTAAGCATTCAGGAGGCTTTGACGACGGGGTCGGAGGCACACTTATTTATTAACACCAACTTGTGCACAGTAACGGGTACACACAGTACTTAAAGGGGTATCGTCCCCTTCACTCGTCTAACAGGGAGACACAACATCTAACCCCGCTAACCTACGCCCGAGTCCTCCACTACGGAGCTAGGGGAGGCTACCTATCCCAGCCCTGGTCAAGCTGGGATCCCGGCACACTGAGTCTCCAGACCGGCTCTTATAAGAACGTCAGTCTGGGCTCTCGGGGCCACGCCACCGGCTTGCCCTGGTCGGCCCTGACAAGGACAGCGAGCCAGGGGAGCTTCGGGGCCTATTCTAGCTGGTCTTCACTCTTCGCTGGTTTAAGCTAATACTCGACCTCGAGCCCTCCGGCTCACCACCTTTTATAGTACTCGGCCCCCGGGAGGGGCCCGTGGGGGATGCAGGTGCGGACGTCGGTGTGAGCACCTCCTCTGTGTACGGCCCTAACCACACCCCTTGTGTTTGTTAGTCCTCCGTGCCCATACACAATTACACCTCTACACAAGCTCTAATATCTTTGCTCCTCCATGGTGGGCATCTCCTTGGCTGCTAGTCCCATCAGTCTCGATCACCGACCATTATCCCTTTTATCGGTGTGACCTGCACAAGCTTTCTTTTTTCAACAATCCATTTTCGCTTGTTCCCATTTCTGTATCTCAATGTAATTTGTAAGCATGCGTACCATTTCTTGTGCACTATCTATTCTCAAGCGCTGGTCTAGACGGTTTTGTGGATTTTAAATAAAGCATGTTTGAAGTAACCTCCGACATTGTGGAAGGACACTGACTTATTTACTGCATAAAGCAGGAAAACCCAATCAGCTCTCTCAACACTAGACACCAGCATTCACTTGTGCTTTGCCTTGCTGTGTGTGTGCAGGTGGTGGAGGTGATTGAGGCACCGACGGCGGTGTGCTTGTGGTAACTCCGCCTCGTCACAGATCACTCACGCCAGCAGCATGGAGATCAATGGTAAGCCACAGTTTTAGTGTTTTTACTCTTGTTGTCTTGTCGTGTTCACCAATCTTGAGAATCTGGTTCAATGCCCCAGTACTTCTAGTGAATCTCGGAAAGTATGGCTGGCTTTGCATCATTCTCTCCTTGAGCTGCTAGGTCACTTCAAAGCCTTTCAGCAGTTTGGCAGTTATTGTAAAGAGCGCCCCCTTTTGACCGAAAGTAGCGGTTCACCAGTAAACAACCTGATTTCATCTCCTAGTGTTAGGTGTTCAATCAGACACGTTCCATTCCTTGACTGTCCATAATTATTCTTGACCTATAAGCCATTATCCCATCTTGCGACCTGTCCTTCCCAAGCCCATTTTGCATAAAATTTGCCATTGTGTCATCAACCTAGGTATGTTCTTTAATTGAAATCCATCTGTTTCTTTTTCCAACTCTCAAGGTAATTCCAAGCGTGCATGTTTCTCTGGTTCTTTGCGCACATTTTATTTGTTATAATAGTTTTTTTACCCTTCTATCTGGCAACAAAACTGACACCTTTTCTTACAAGGAGTCATGTTTGCATAAACCACAATACCTGCAGTCATAATGCAAACAAAAAACATAACTCTGATAATGTGCACTGTCCTTGAAGTTGATTGGTCCACACCCGAGACAGCTTTCCTCAGAGCCTAGTCTCACATGGGTTGGACCAGATGACGCCAAAAGGCGCACAACTCAAAGACAATGCACCATCAGAGTATTAGAGCACGGGGTAAGCATTTACACCATTGGAACCTCATTTGCCAGTAAAAAATATGATAATTGTTTTTTTACCCTTCTGGCAACAAAACTGACACCTTTTTTTTACAAGGAGTCATGTTTGCATAGACCACAATACTTGCAGTCATAATGCAAACAAAAAACATAACTCTGATAATGTCTGCACTGTCCTTGAAGTTGATTGGTCCACACCCGAGACAGCTTTTCTTAGAGCCTAGTCTCACATGGGTTGGACCAGATGACGCCAAAAGGCGTACAACTCAAAGACAATGCACCATCAGAGTATTAGAGCACGGGGTAAGCATTTACACTATTGGAACCTCATTTGCCAGTAAAAAATATGATAATTGTTTTTTTACCCTTCTATCTGGCAACAAAACTGACACCTTTTTTTTACAAGGAGTCATGTTTGCATAGACCACAATACCTGCAGTCATAATGCAAACAAAAAACATAACTCTGATAATGTATGCACTGTCCTTGAAGTTGATTGGTCCACACCCGAGACAGCTTTTCTTAGAGCCTAGTCTCACATGGGTTGTTTGCATTATGACTGCAGGTATTGTGGTCTATGCAAACATGACTCCTTGTAAAAAAAAAGGTGTCAGTTTTGTTGCCAGATAGAAGGGTAAAAAAACAATTATATTTTTACAGGCAAATGAGGTTCCAATGGTGATTTTATTTGTTGTTAAATAGTTGTTAATGACCATGTTTTTTAACCATATTTTAGCAAACACAAAGGTAAAGGGGTCACAATTCACAAATGGCTACAATTCCTGAAGCACACTGCCTTGATGATTAGCACTCTTGTTGTTAGCACTTCTTTGCCACAAATCGGAAGAATGAACACATTCTGCAGTAATACACGAATCGGTAACCTCAAAGGTTGCACTCGAGCGGTGCACGTGTGGTTTGCACGAAACAAACTGCTGCTTAATCCAGGAAAATCAGAGGTTCTGCTGGTTGGCACTTGGGCTCAGTCGAAATAATGTATGGGAGGATCAGGTGTGGCAGTTGTGGGCTCCAGAATTCAGTTTTCTACTCTTCTAAAGAGCCTCGGCACTATTATCAACAAGAATGTCGTTTGATCACCATGTGTAAAATATAAAATATAGTCAAATCCTGCAATTTTCATATCGCTGCTCTAGGACACATCAACCACAATTGAGTCATGACATAGCCAACACGGTTGCGTGTAGCATAGTATCGACAAGGCTCGATTATTGCAACTCACTACTCTACGGGATGTTTAGCAAAAGCATTACCAAGCTGCAGTGTGTACAACATTTTGGCACGTGTTGCGATCGGTACTACAAGATCCGACCATGTTTGTCTAGTGCTCGCTGAGCTGCATTGGCTTCCGATTGCCGAACGAATACATTGAGGTCGTGCTCATTACACACAAAGTGCTTGCCACAAGTAAACCACAAAACTTTGCTGATCTCGTCAAGGAGCATAAACCATCACGGTAACTGCAGTCATCCTCGCAGCGGCTTTGGCTAATCATCAAACGAAGATGGTCACTGCATCGCATGCTTTTAGATGTGCTTCTGTGGCCATCTGGAACCTTCTTCCGATATTAGGATGCCACTGGAGCAATGCATTTTCAAATCTAGATTGAAAACTGATTTCTTTTAGAAATGCTCTTCGTGGTCAGTTTGTTGTCCTTCCCCCGCACCTCCGATTAGCACGATCAGTTACGTACAGTGCGAAAAAGTTCAACATACAACATACTAATCTGCAAAAAAACGTGAAATAATGTCTGCTGAAGAAAGCATTGTGTAGTACTCATCTCCATTGGCAGACCTGCGCCAGTGGTGGCAATTTTACATTCATATGGCTGGAAGCAGTCTCACATGAAGACACTCCTTAAAATGTAGTCACTCCATTAATTCTAATACTCAATTTCCACACGCACAATGAATGCATGGTAAAAGTAATAATTAATTTTGATAGCTGCCTCGGTACTTACCATCTGAAAAATGGAAACTCCTGTGGATTTACTCTTCAAAATCACTGACATGATGTTATCAATGACAACGGCAATTGTGTTAAATTTTTACTCCGTACAAGGGAATTCATTAATTACTCAAACTAAATGCGATTTGTATTTAAAATTTGTATTCAATTTACCAATCGAAGAATAGGTTAATGTCTTTTTCAATTGTCCATTGCAGCTGCACATGCCCAAAATCACTTGTTCTCAATATTTGTGAGCGGAGACCGCGAGTTTGAGCGTCCCTCCATCTCTCCCCTTCTTTCTCTCCAGAGGGACAAGCGTCACCCTCTTCCCGGAAGCGTTTGGCCCTGGACGATGGTGCAGTGCCACTGTCCAAGCGGTCTCGTGGGGGCCATGAAGTGGGCGGTAGTTTGGTGGGATTCGGATCGTCGCCCACCCCCGTCTCGACTCCCCTGCATGCCGGCTGCCCCCCCCATGATTCCACCGTTGCTGCCATCGGCCGCGTCAGCGTTCTCGCGACTGCTGTAACAACCACCAAAGACGGAAACAACTCCGCCAAGCTGGAAGCCCTCGCAGTGAATCCAGACATTCGGACGGCTTCAGAAAAACCTTGGAATTCTCACGGCAGCGGCGATGCCGCTGAGAACAACACAAGTGAGGCCAAGTCAGCGATGGCGCCTTCTCAGCGCTCACAGAATGGCTCGTCCCTCGTCTCTGGTGCGCCGGTGGATGCTGGAAAATCGCCCACCAAAACATCTGCGGCCAGAACCATGGGCGTGGCCGGTGTCGGTGCTAGCCTCGGCGTAGCGCAGCCTGACGTAAAACCCCATGCCCAACATCACCACAATCTTCACCAGCACCAGCAGCAACGTTCGGTGGCGGTGGTGGCTCCCACGGCATTGTCCCAGTTTAAGCTCTCCCCGGGCAAGGCAGCGCTGTCGCAGGCAAAATCGTCCGTACTGGTGTCACTGTCGCCGCCGTCTTCGGCGAAATCGACAACGCCACAGCCATCGTCGAGACCCATGCCATCTCTCTCGGCTCCGGTGTCGGTAATTGTACGAAGCCCTCTGACAGATGAAGGTGATGCCAAATGGCGGCAGCAGCAGCAGAACCAACAGCAACAGGAGCAGCGGGAGGGCGATGCCGGATCTCCCGATCTTGGGGGGGCGCCACGACCAAAGCTGAAGAAGGAGTGGCTTTGTCGGCACACGGAGACAGGCAGCGGTACGGACGCCATGGCGATGGAGACCTACAGCGAAGAATCCGCCAGGCCTGGTGCTGGCAGAGGCCAGGGGGGTGTGGAGGAACAGGGTGCTCGGGTGAGAGACGGGGAATGAGTATGTGAGTGAGCAAATGTTTGTGGGTGCAGGATTTTTATGAGTGAGCGGTAGTGTAGCGGTTAGCGCGCTGTGCCAGGAACCCAGCGACTCAAAGTTTGATTCCTGGTCATGGCCAACACTAGTGACTATTATCTGAACCGGTCCTGGGCCTCCCCTAGGTCAACTCGGCCTCAAATGAGGACATGGAGCGGTGCGTAAACATTGCCAAGAGGGAGACAAAAGCAGCCGGGCATGGTGCTGGCCACCCACCCTCTCGTGTGCCATACTGGCCTTCATAGCTGCACGCTTAACTACACTTGCCCCAACAGTATGTTAAAGCTATACGGGGATCTTTGTCTTTGAATGAGTGCAAGTGGGTGACTTTTAATGTTAGTGAGAGTATGTGCGAGTGTGTGATTGTGGGAAACGTTGGTGTAGTGGATATTGCACTGCATTATGAACTCAGCCACCCGAGCTCGATTCTCGTCCACAGCCAAAATCAGTGACAAGTTGCTAAACTGGTGCTGGCCCACCCCTAGGTCGACTCCATCTTAAATGAGTACCTGGTGCGGTGTGTTTAACACGTAGGCTTTCGCGACCAATATCCATAGAGGTTTTTGGGTTGAATCGCGTAAATATAAATGTGTCATTAGACCCGCCATCACCCGACACAGCCAATTAGTAAAGTTTGTCACTTAAACATTTACAATTCGAGTACTCTAATTGTAAATGTTGTGGGTTTCCTCTCCAACACACCGGTGTGCTGTACTAGTAACAAATTGGCATGTTTTGTTTACGTGACAAATCTTACTAATTGGCTGTGTTGGGTAGTGGCTGGTTTAATGACATATTTGCGCGATCTATCCCAAAAACTTGGTGTGGTGTATAAACATAACTTTTGGGAAGACAAAGATGGCTGGGAGTGGTGTTAGCCACCCACACCCTCATGTACCATACTGGCCTTAATAGGTACCATGGGGCACCATGGGTCAGCTACTTAAATGGGCGCCAAGGTGGTGATATGTTAACTACCTCGCCTGGTATACAGGAGTTCATGAGTTTGATCTCGACCCTGACGCCTGTATATTTGGAGTTTGCATGTCTCTCCCTGTGGTTGTGTGGAATTTTCTTTGGGTCCTCCAGTTTTCCCTACACATTTAGAAACATGCATCTATTTTTTTTGGATGTTATACATTTCCACATGATAAGCCACTTCGTTGGGCTATCATCTGTGGCCAGGTCACTTGTGAAAAAGAGCTGTATAGCTCCGTGGGCCTTACTTTGTAAAATGGAAAATAATTAGCATTCATAGCTAACAGCACTTGTCCCAATCGTGTGTTAAAGACTATTTGGATAATCTTTGTGTGTGTGTGTGCAGTGTGTATGCTTGTTAACAGCACTTGAGCATCAGTGTTTGAACACCTGTCTTTCCGCTTGTCTACGTTGTTTCGGCTTTTAAAATGAGGCCATGTCTGTGTTGTGTGTATTTGTGTGAAAAAGGTGGAGGCAATCAAGGTGGAGGTTGGGACAGGGGAAGAGAGGCCTAGGGGAGACGAGGAGGCAGAGATGATGGGCGAAGAGGAGATGGAGGAGCTGGACTATGAAATGGTGGACATGACACGTGGACGGTGGATGGACCCCAAATACATGGCGGAGGGGAGCTGTAAGCAGCGCACAACTGATAACACCAACCCACGTGCCACATGCATTGTGTGCTGTGTATGCGTGTGTGTGTGCTGTCTGTGTGCACGCTTGTCATCTGTGTGTTTACTGGGTGCATATGTTCCTTTTGTATGTATCTTGTTTGGCTTGTGTGTGCACCAAGAACATTACGATCAGAACAGCCATAGTCACGTTGCAGCATATGGCTACATTGTGTTCCCTGCATGGTTGCTGTGTGTTACGTAGGTGTAATAATAGTATGTGCCTCGGCTAGTTGACGAAAGTTGCAAGCAAGTATTTTATCGTCGCAGCAGTGGCTTTTCGCTAACCATCAAGCAAAGACGAGTCACGCTTTCAGATGCGCTTCTGCGACCATCTAGAAGGCTGATAATTGGTTTTTTACCCTTCTATCTGGCAACAAAACTGACACCTTTTTACAAGGAGTCATGTTTGCATAGACTGCAATACCTGCAGTCTTAATACAAACAAAAAAAACATAACTCTGATAATGTGCACTGTCCTTGAAGTTGATTGGTCCACGCCCGAGACAGCTTTCCTTAGAGCCTAGTCTCACATGGGTTGGACCAGATGACGCCAAAAGGCGCACAACTCAAAGACAATGTACCATCAGAGTATGAGAGCTCGGGGCAAGCATCTACACTATGGGAACCTCATTTGCCAGTAAAAATATGATAATTGGTTTTTTACCCTTCTATCTGGCAACAAAACTGACACCTTTTTACAAGGAGTCATGTTTGCATAGACTGCAATACCTGCTTTGTATTATGACTGCAGGTATTGCAGTCTATGCAAACATGACTCCTTGTAAAAAGGTGTCAGTTTTGTTGCCAGATAGAAGGGTAAAAAACCAATTATCATATTTTTACTGGCAAATGAGGTTCCCATAGTGTAGATGCTTGCCCCGAGCTCTCATACTCTGATGGTGCATTGTCTTTGAGTTGTGCGCCTTTTGGCGTCATCTGGTCCAACCCATGTGAGACTAGGCTCTAAGGACAGCTGTCTCGGGCGTGGACCAATCAACTTCAAGGACAGTGCACATTATCAGAGTTATGTTTTTTTGTTTGTATTAAGACTGCAGGTATTGCAGTCTATGCAAACATGACTCCTTGTACAAAGGTGTCAGTTTTGTTGCCAGATAGAAGGGTAAAAAACCAATTATCATATTTTTACTGGCAAATGAGGTTCCCATAATCTAGAAAGCTCTTACGATATCGCTGGTCTACAGCCAAAATGGTTCTGGAATAAATGTAGTCCAACTTTACTAATCCTGGGTCACTGAGAATGAAAATGATGCTTAAAATTGTTGATTGGCTCTAGTTTTCAAGATTTGCTACTCGGTCAGTATATACGACCTTTGACTTGGGAATGGCGGAGGATAAGTGAGTTATAAAGGGAAGGATCACAATTTAAACCAAAATTACTAAAATACATATTTTACTGTATCTAGAAATCATACAGTGTCGTGCACTCTTATTTGTCAGTGTTTGATTTTGCAAATTGACAGTGTTTGATTTTGCAAATTGACACATTTATGTTTAGCCAAAGTGAGCAGAGATGCCTCGTACGTATGTGAACAAAGAAGATAACTTCTACTATGTTTGTGGTGAAGTGACTTTTGCATCACAAAAGTGCAGTATAACCACTATTGTTAAGAAAGCCTATCACCTTTATTTTGGCTGCAAAATTGAAGACAAGGACAAGATGTGGGCCCCACACAAATCTATGCCTTTTGCAGTGCCAATGATTTGTAGAGAGCTAACAGATCATATCAGCAATTGTTACTTCTGCATGGTGCCTCTAGTTGGGAAAGGTGTGTCAAAGAAGAAAAAGTGGACTGCATTATCCAAACATTCCATCGGCTCTACGCCCAGTACCCCACAGAGAAGGACTGCCGGTTCCTGATGCACCAGAATCATCCTCACTTGAGTCAGATGAGGAAGAGGATGATACTTCTGGTCCTGAACCATCAAGGTCACATGACCTAGATTTTCTCCCATCTTACACTGAACAACATCTCATAACACAAGATGAACTGGAAGACCTTGTCAGGGATTTGAAACTACCCAAGAGTAAAGCAGAGCTGCTGAGCTCCAGACTGTAGCAATGGAATCTCCTGGCAGGTGATGTTAGGGTTTCCATGTTCCGTGACCATCAAAAGGATCTTGTCCCATTCTTCATGGATTGTGATCTTGTAGCCTGCAACAACATCGATGGTGTGATGGCAGCCCTCAACATCGTTCATGATCCAGATGAGTGGGGACTGTTCATTGATTCATCGAAGATAAGTCTTGAAGCTGTTTTGTTGCATAATGGAAATATTTTGCCATCAATTACATTGTCAGCTTTATGGCGATTTGAAGGTTGTTGCTCTCTTGCTTGGTCTGCAGACTGGATACACGAAGTACTGCTGTTTTCTCTGCGAATGGGATAGTCGTGTGAGAGATTCTCACTACATCAAGATAGATTGTGCGCTCTGACAGTCATTGGAACCTGGGAGGAAAAGTTCTCAGCATCCACCACTTGTTGAATGAAGGAATATTTTGTTACCACCCTCACACCTCAAGCTGGGTCTGATAAAGAACTTTCTCAAAGCCATGGACAAAATGCAAGCAGCTTTCACATACCTCCATGGAAAATTTTCAAGGTTGAGTGAAGCTAAGTTAAAGGAAGGTGTCTTTGTTAGTCCTCAGATTCGTGAACTTCTTCGAGATGATACATTTGACAGTGCACTGCATGGCAAGGAAATGACGGCATGGAAAGCCTTCCAGTTAGTGGCAACAAATTTTCTCGGAAACAACAAGTAAGACAACAGGGAGTTGGTGGAAAACCTCCTCAAGGCATACAAAAGCCTTGGTTGCAACATGCCACTAAAGATGCATTTTTTGCACTCTCATCTAGATTTTTTCCACCAAACTGCGGAACAGTGAGCGACGAGCATGGCGAGAGATTTCACCAGGACATTGCAACAATGAAGAAACACTATCAGGGCAAATGGAGCCCATCAATGCTTGCAGACTATTGCTGGACAGTTACAAGAGATACGAGACAAGCGAAGAAGTGCTGAGTAGACACTGAATAAGGACTAAACTATGTACTTAAAAATACATAATAGTTTTTTGCCTTTTTCAAAATAAATTTTAGTTATATAACCCTTTGCTTATTTTTTTTAAATGTTACATGAACAGGACAGGTAACATGTTATCATGTAAAGCAACCATAACATGAAAAGACCTAGGTTTACAATTTATTAGTAAAACTCTATCTACACAATATACATAGACGTAAAATGTAAAAACTCTAATATATTGGGAACAATAGCCAATGAGTTGTTTGAATTGTCATATTTGAATTCAGCACGTCAAAATTCATAATAAACAGCACGTTTCATCTGAAGCAGACGACGTATAAAAAATTGTAGACCAGTGTATTAGGAAGCCACTGGAGCTATGCATTTTTAAATCTTGATTGAAAACCAATTTCTTTATAACTGATTTTTGTATTTATTTATCCTTCCTCCGCACCTCCAATCATCACGGTCACCTACATACGGTGCAAAAGAAGTTACACATACTTACTAATCTGAACGAAAACGTGAAATAATCTCTCTGCTCAAGAAAGAAGCATTGTGCAGTGCTCCTCTCCATCGGCAGACCTGAGCCAACGGTGGCAATTCCACATTCATATGGCTGGAAGCAGTCTCACATTAAGACACTCCTTTAAAGTGTTGCCTATTTAATCCATGAATTTTAATAATGATCTTGCTCTATTTCTGTCTGCTCTACTTTTGGTCTCTGGCAGAGGCTAGTCTGCATTTATTGGATTTGACGATGGCATTGGCTTTATGCAGAGGTCCAAGTCAGGAGGTCACCAAAAGCTCTTTGTCTTGTACGACTGCCGATAGGGGAGAAGAGATATTGTCATTCCAGGAGAGCTATGGTGGTGTCCTGGGCTAGTAGGGGCAGGATTTCCACTGAAGGACATTTGTAGCATAGCTGTGTTGTGCTCACCCCGTGTTTTATCTATCACTAGCTCCGAGACACCGGTGCCTCAGGAGGGCAGCTTTGGGAGGGCTGTACTTTTGGTGGCAGTCCGCCCAGTCATGCCTCACGTTTTTTGAGCAGAGGGGGGGGGTGGAGGTATGTTTACCCCTCCTCCGGTTAGGCTCTTGTATAGGTTCATTTGTATCCAAGCCACAGCATGTCAATGACCACCATATGAACAAATTAGATATAAGCCTATGTGTCAAACTAGTACTTGCATTGAATCCGGGTTTTTTAGATACCCAGTGATACGCTCCACATCCCTTCCACAATAAAATAAATATATTTTGCCCCTACAACTGATGTGAGGTTTACAAACACCGTAAGAGAGGTGGGGAAATGTTTTACGTCATGGCAGTTAAGGGGTTGTTAGGTTATTTACATGCATTTGTCATCAACATGCTAAATTCCTCTTGTTGATATGTAAACTCCTTTGTCAAGGCTCTCTGCTCCTCCCACCCAGCTTAAAATACGGTGCCAAGCTTAGCAGTGTTCATTAGGACGCTGTCTTTCCGACAGTTCTGTTCTTCACCTGAGGACGGCTACTTGCGTTGTGGCCGAAACGTCGTTAGAATTTTATGTTTTATTGTTATTATTTTATTATTTCCCTTCTACGTGACTTTACCGAAAGAACCAAGAATATGAATCCCTGCAGTCGCGAAAGCTTTAAATCGAAAAGTATTTACATGCCGTTTGATCCGAGTCTTTCCTGTTGAATTGAGTTGTATTGGATCCTAGTTCATTCCACCAGTATATAACTTTCTTCTTTTAATGCCCCTCTGGCTTGGGTATATGTCACTGAGGGAAACTTCTGCGGAGGGGTCATGTGGGTCTAATGCAGGGGGTCAGCAAACCAAAACAACAAGAGCCATTTATTTCGAATTCTATAAAATAAACTCATCAAAAGCCACAATGCACTGAATGAGACCGTGGGCCTTAATCACTAATGTCACGAGACAGTCCTTAATGAGCCACATGCAGCTCCGGAGCTGCAAGTTGCCACCCCTGGGCGGCTGTATACATTATAATTAAAGTATGAAATAATTGCTAAGGAATGAAGTTCAATTGTATCTGAGCCGCAGCGTACCTGTGACCACCTATGAAAACCAGATTTACCGCAAGGACTAAAATCTATTATGCTCTGCGTGTGTACTGTTTGCGTGTGTGTGTGTCTTTGTGAGAAGTGGTAGCTCAGTGGTTAGGGTACTGCATTCTTGATCTGGCCACCCGAGTTTGATTCCTGCTCGCAGCCAACATCGATAACATATCTCACCAGTCCTAGGCCTCTGCTAGATTAACTCGGCCATAAATGAGCACTTCGTGCGGTGTGTAAACATCGGCACTGGGGAGACAAAGGCGGCCGGGCATGGGGCTTGCCAACCACCCCTTTGTGGAGCGTGCCGGCCTTAATAGGTGCTCGCTAACAACACTTGGCCCAACAGTTTTGTTGAAGGCTATATCGAGGGATCTCTGTTTTTATTTCCTTGTGAATGCGTGTTTATCATGTGTGTGTATAACGTGTGTTTCTCATGTGTGTATATAACTGTTTATATAACATGTGTGTACTGCGTGTTTATATAACGTGTGTGTACCGCGTGTGTATAACGTGTGTGTACTGCGTGTGTAGAACGTGTGTGTGTAGAACGTGTGTGTGTGTATAACGTGTGTGTAGAACGTGTGTGTACTGCGTGTGTATAACGTGTGTGTGTGTGTACTGCGTGTGTATAACGTGTGTGTGTATACTGCGTGTGTATAACGTGTGTGTGTACTGCATGTGTATAACGTGTGTGTGTACTGCGTGTGTATAACGTGTGTGTGTATACTGCGTGTGTATACTGTGTGTATAACGTGTGTGTGTACTGCGTGTGTATAACGTGTGTATGTGTGTGTATATACTGCGTGTGTATAACGTGTGTGTGTACTGCGTGTGTATAATGTGTGTGTGTATATACTGCGTGTGTATACTGCGTGTGTATAATGTGTGTGTGTACTGCGTGTGTGTGTACTGCATGTGTATAACGTGTGTGTGTGTACTGCGTGTGTATAACGCATGTGTATGTACTGCTTGTGTATAACGTGTGCGTATGTACTGCTTGTGTATAACGTGTGCGTGTGTACTGCTTGTGTATAACGTGTGCGTGTGTACTGCGTGTGTATAACGTGTGCGTGTGTACTGCGTGTGTATAACGTGTGCGTGTGTACTGCGTGTGTATAACGTGTGTGTGTGTACTGCGTGTGTATAGTGTGTGTGTGTACTGCGTGTGTATAGTGTGTGTGTGTACTGCGTGTGTATAGCGTGTGTGTACTGCGTGTGTATAGTGTGTGTGTGTACTGTGTGTGTGTACTGTGTGTGTGTACTGCGTGTGTGTACGGCGTGTGTGTATAGCGTGTGTGTACTGCGTGTGTATCGCGTGTGTGTACCGTGCGTGTGTACCGTGCGTGTGTGTAACGTGCGTGTGTGTACTGCGTGTGTGTACTGCGTGTGTTTAACCTGTGTGTGTGTACTGCGTGCAGTTGGCGTATCAGTGCTGCGGGACTGGCGTGTCGTTCGCCAACTGCGCCTGAGTGGCGAGGCATTCATGCAGGACGGGGCCTGCGTGGAGATCGCTCCGCACCTGCAGAAGTGCCGCGAGTGCCGCCTGCTGCGCTACCGTCGCCAGCACCAGCTCCGCATGCAGCAGCAACGGGAGCGACAGCAGCTGCAGCAACAGCTGCAGCAACAGCTGCAACAGCAGCAGCAGGCCAACAACAGTGCCCAGCAGTCGGAGCCACAGCCGGATAAGGAAAGTGAGGACAAGCAGCAGGACAAGCAGCAGGACAAGCAGCAGGACAAGCAGCAGGACAAGCAGCAGGACAAGCAGCAGGACAAACAGCAGGACAAGCAGCAGGACAGGGCGCAGTGCGAGTCTCCGCTGCCGAACAAGCAGCAGCAGCAGATAGCGCCTGGTGCCGAGAAGCCCTTGCAGAATGCGCAGCAGGAACCAGCAGCCGAGAGCGCGGATGAGGTGCGGCCAAATAAGGATACGGCGCCTACGGGAGGTGAGGAGGAGCCAGCACCAGAGCAGCAGCAGGTGGTGGGTGGCTCTGGCAGCCCCGCCGTCGTGGCGGCAGCGCCAGCCCCCTTAACAGCAGCGCACGGCATGACTGGCGTCGACGAAGATGCCTCCGTCACGAAGGAGTCTGGGACGGCATCGTCGCCATCCACGGTCTTCTGTCGCTTCATCCACTTCCGGAGGTAACGAGTGAAGGGGGGGGAGCGTTTGAGCGTGTGGGAGAGTAATAGAGGAGGGTGTGTTTGAGAGAGTAACATAGCGTGTGTGTGTGCATGCAAGTATTTATGTCATAAAGACTTGTGTGTGTGTGTGTGAGAGTGTGTAATAGAGCGGTAGTGTAGCGGTTAGCGCGCTGCGCTCTGAACCCAGCGACCCGAGTTCGATTCCCGCTTATGACCAACACCAGTGACGAATATTTGAAGCAGTCTTGGGTCTTTCCTAGGTCGACTCAGCCTCAAATGAGGACCCAGTGCAATGTGTAAACATCGTCATTGGGGAGAAAAAGGCGGCCGAGCATGGTGTTGGCCACCCACCCCCTAGTGTGCCGTGCCGGCCTTCATCGGTGCTGGCCTTCATAAGAGCACTTATCCCAACCGTCTGTTAAGGCTATAATAGGGAGCTTTGTTTGTATATATGCACTGTAGATTGGGTGTGTAATGTGTGGAGAGGGTGAGGTTAGCTCATTTGGGTAGGTGATTATTACTTGTGTGTAACTGGAGGATGAGTGCATGGATGTGTAACTAATATTTGTTGAAAATACAAATTATAACTTTACATGTCACATGCGCCTGATGATGAATGAACACACTCCCTACAACTAGCTCAATATGAATTGGTGCTCTCTGCCTCACACACACAAGATTCCTCTTTTACTTTTAAACGCTCTTTCTTAGTCATTGGGTTTGTGCAGTGCATTTAAATTCATGCTTGAATGAGATATTCGGGAGAGCATTGGTTAATCATGGTAAGTTGGTACCGCGCTGGGTCGTGACGACTGGTGTTTTGAAAAACCCTGCTCTAATAAGCGTCATTTTCCATCGCCATCATGTGTACCCCTTCAAGGCTGGCGTTCAGCAAAACAGGGCAGCTGCGAATCGATGGGTTCTGCACCGCACGGCAATGCGACCCCGAGGCACTCAGCCTATGGACGCCAGGTGGAATCATGCTGGCAGCCACCTCCACGGACCCACCCCGGGAGGACTCCAAATCCAACTCCTCATCGTCATCATCGGGGTCTCTCGACCTGGACACGGCAAAATACATTCTGGCCAACATCGGAGACCAGTTCTGTGAGCTCGTAATGTCCGAGAGGGAGGCGCTCACCTGGCTGCCACAAGGAGGTGACAGCCGCTCACTCATTCGCGTACCCAGCCGTTCGCTCACCAATCACTTGCTCACTCACCAATTCACCCACCAACTCTTACTCGACACCTGGTCAGAATGTTTTTATCTCAAGTGCTCGCACACCCATTAACTTGCCGCCTTGCTCAACCTTTTTGAGCATTTAAAGTGGCCGCCACGGCTAATAACAGTGGAAGATATCTTGAACTGCCGCTGGTCTTCCATGACATTGGGTTGGTCCAAAATGAGTACCTGGAGATGTGTACAAACTGTAAACGTCAGAACCAGGGAGACAAGCGTGCAGTTCTCACCACACCCCCACTGCCTCATGCGCGGTGCTGGCCTCTGTTGGTGTTCGCTAGCTGCACTTTCCGCAGAAACCTGTACAGTTACATGGGGGGGATTTTTTTCCTGATGTGTATGCATGTTTTACTGTGTATTGTGTATACGCATGTCATGTACAGGTAGTCCCCTATTAACACTACAGATGCATTCCTGAAAATATTAGTGTAATGTGAAGTCATGTTAATCGAATACTCATTTCCCTTAAGAAACAATGTAAATGGGGGCGGGGGGGTGTTGTGTTCCAAGCCATCAACTCGTATCGCCAAAAGTATCATTATCGCTCATTTTTAATATAAAACTAAATGCAAAGCTATAGAATTGCGAGCTAAAACGCGCAAATGCCTGGGCTAGCATGAAGCAAAAACAAAGACTGAGTGGGGTGGCTCGCTGCGACGCTCGTGTTGCCACACGCTTGGTGGAAAGTTGTGTGAAATCATCTTAAGTCAAGCGGCGCATTAATCGGGGACTGTTCTTACATTGTACATCGTGTAAAAACGGATTGGTGCCCTGATGCGATTTATACAATGTGCGTACCAATGTATTTGCCGTTTGTGCAGACCGTGTGTGTATCTACCGTGGGTGTGTACCGTGTTTGTACGATGTGTGTGATCCTGTGTGTGTTTACCATGGTACCCACAGCCAAGGTGGCGTGGAAGCGAGCCGTGCGAGGCGTGCGGGAGATGTGTGATGCGTGTGAGACTACGCTCTTCAACGTTCACTGGGTCTGCCCCAAGTGCGGATTCGGCGTCTGCCTCGACTGTTACCGCAGCCGCAAGGACCGGCATCCAGACGGTAACCCCGGCCATTAATCTCATTGACTCGGGCATATTGGGCTGGGGCAAACACATAATAAAGCTGAAAAAATGCATGCTTATACAGGTCACCATACTTCAATAGGGAGTACCATTGAACAATAACAGATCCGGCTATTTTAGTGGACACAATCGACATGAGGTACAAGAAAAATGGGCTTGCATAATGTGCATGCATAATGTACATTGATTACCATATAAATAACCCAAATGGCAATGGATACCCATAGTCATTTATCTGTGTAGTGGGGTTCAACTGAGTTGCAGACGCAGACTTTGGAGGCAGCACATTTATTTAGTTCCAACACACGGGGTAACTTCCCCTTAACAGAATAACAACCTTAGGTGGTGACCACCCGCCTAACTACACTAGTTACTACGTAACTGTTACTACGGACCCGGGACCAACAGCATCTGACCGTGTCCACGTGCTGGAAGACTCGTAGAACGGAGATCGTAGACGAAGAATTTCTTTCCTGGGATGAACAACCACGGTCCCTCTCGGGACTCGGCTTATATTCTCAGTGGCATGGCCGGCTCCGCCCTTGGCCACGTCCACCTTCCTGAACCATTGGGAAGGACCTGGGTCCCAATCACGTGACCCCCCCAGCCCCCTCTTGGGGGCCCCTCTGTCATCTTAACCGGTCACGTGTCCACCTGGGTCAACCAGAGTGCCATGGCCTCACACGACCTTCCCCTTCGGTCGGCACCCACACACCGTGTCTTGTAGGGCCGGCACTGCACTTACAGCGTGGTGCCATCCAGCGCTATTACTCAATGCACATCATGCCCCTCTAGGGCTGGTACTACACCCACAACATGGTGACATCCAGCGATCTCACTACATCTGCATAAATGACTGTTTATCCATAATCAGAGATGGATAGAGTAAGACATAAATGCAAACAAGAAAAGATGGTGTGCATAGAGAAAGACTTACTCACATAGACAAGGAGGGAGAGAGAGACAAAGATGCACAGAGACATGGAGAGAGGAAGATGACAATAAATATGCAGCCACAGAGAGACAAACCTAGAACAAGTTTGAGATGCAGATATAACGACGGAAGCTAAGTTTAACACAAGTGAAATGGATACAGGCTGGTACAGATAAATACATAGAGTAATACAGACATGCTGAATGACAGATAAGTGAGGCACTGAGTGAGAAAAAGACATGAATCGAGACACAGAAAAACATGTGGCATCAATCAAGACATGGAAACAGATTCAGAGACACAGCAAAAACTGACAAAAATGCACTTGTTACATGCAACACAAATATCTGTGTTTATTTTGAAATGGCTGGTGTGCCGGCGTATGTGTGCGTGTCGTGGTTTAGAAATCAGCGAGGACGAGGAGGTGTTTTCGTGGCTGCGTTGCGTCAAGGGCCAGACGCACGAACCCGCCACACTCATGGCCACACAGATTATACCCGGAAACGGTAATCCACACGTTCTCCATCAGCATCAATCAAGCTTCACTTATTTAATTATTACACTTATATAATTATTACATGTATTACCCAGTGTAGCCTCACTCACTCTGAAGACATTCTCTTTTCGGTTGGGTCCTGCCACGTTATCTCCATTGAGTACTTCGGGAATTTAACCCAGCAGCACCGCCCCCCCCACCTTGCTCTAAGGCACAAGTGCTCCCACTACGCCACCCTGTGCATTGTCATGATTGTAGGTTATTTTCGGTCGAAGAATGCATTTTTTATCATGTTTGTAGTTGCAGGAAAACTGCTCCCAAGTAAAAAAATGATCCACTGTGAACCCACCATTAGAGCCAACCAGCCGCGCATTTGCCGCTTCTTTGCAGAGACTCGCAGTTCAAGCCCAGGACCTGCCCCGTAAAATGCTTAACATGTCGCCCGCTTCACAGTTCATAGTGGACGTTAAGTGATGCCGTGACGTGATTACAAAAAAACACTGGTAGGCCATCATGGTCCATATTTGGAGTTTGAAAAAACTACTGGCAAATTAAAATTATCTTATTGGGTGATATCACAAAGCAACATTGCCCCCTGCTATTAAAATACTCTGTGAAATATTGCCTTTTTGTGATAGCCTTGTTGCTATAAGATTGGTACGAATTCCAAAATTAATAAGGATATTATCTGTTTTTATAAATCAATCAAACATGATAAAAATATGATCTGCTGTGATAAATCAACGAGTCGATACATTCCCATAAATGAGCAAGGCGCTGATACCTGTGTTAATAAATAAGCAGCCTCGGTGTGTCGGTTCTAGTTGTGAGTGATGAAGTCTGGGTACTGTGTGTGTGTGTGCAGCCCTGTATGACATCAGCGAGCAGGTTCATATCATGCGAGGAAAGTGGGGAATCAAGGCAAACTGTCCCTGCTCGGGGCACCACCACCATCATCATCACCACCACCACCACACCAAGGTACTAGAAGAGAACCACAAAGCACTACTGCACACCACCACCACCTTAACACGGTACTTGGAAACAACCGCAAGCAACACCATCGCTATCGTGTACTTTTAGACAACAACAGTTACACACCACTCCATCGTCAACACAAGTACAGGTAAACCACAATCACTACTGCAATCACGCACCACAAATACACACCTCCAGCACGACAAGGTACTCGGAGAAAACTACAAATGTCACTGCAATCACACTACGACTACTGCGACAGCCACATAACTGGACACCACAACCACCCGCCACATGTCATAACTATTGCCACCTCAACAAGCTACTCTTACTCGCACCTGGCTGCCTTCGTCTCTTCATTGTCACTGGTGTCGACATCTCTCCTACACTTGGTGGAGGGGGTGGGGGGGGGCAACCATGTACCCTCGCTCATGACGGGCACCGTTCCCTCATGCAGGTGGCAGCAGACGCCGGCGGTGGCTCGGGGCAACCGTTGCTCGAGCCCGTGGCAAGCTCGGCAAAACTACGCGCTGAAACGCCGGCTCCAGAGAACCAGCAGCAGCCGCAGGAGAAGCCAGAATCACAGGAGCGGACCTCAGAAACCCTGCAGCCAGAAGCGCCAGCGAACTCGCGGGCAGGAGACGCCGTCCCATCAGTTGCTCCCGACGTGGCCCCCGAGCCGAGCTGTGCCACCTCTATCTCCTCCAGCACAGGCGGCGCCCACAAAGCCAGCAGTGCCTCTACTGCCCTCAACACACAGCCAGACAAAGCTGCTTCTAATTCAGAAGCATCTCCGGCTTCAACTGCATCTACTGCTGCTGTCGGTGCTGGTGCCGTCGGTACAGGTGCAGTCGCTGCTGTGCCACCGGTTGCAGCAGCCGAACTCCCGGTGACGGCGAGTTCCGAATCTGCCGCCTCCACTGCATCGCCGAACCCGCCAGCCCCTGTTGGCGCCGTGGACTCTGCTGCGCCACTGGCGCTGCCAGCTGCTGCCCCAGCTGGGTCCGGTGGATCGGTGGCGCCGCTGTCACCGTTCCATCGTGCCGGCTACCCGGAGCTGACCTCGGCCATGCACTGGTTCGCAGACCTTGCTGCCAGCCGACCCAAGGCACAAGCCGGAGCCGGTGAGTGGCGCAGGGGTGTGTATATTGTGGGGATACTTGTCTTTGTGTGCAGCAGTGGGTTATTTTTATAGTTACATTTACATACGCTCATGTCGGGCGCTCCGATTGTGTTTCCATGATGCTGTGCACCCTCAATCAATACCTACACTCTCACCTCTGCCGTATCAACCACAGAGCCGAACGTGAGCACCACGGCCAATCTTGCAAAACCCGCGGTGGCAACGGCGCCAGCGGCATCGGTGGCAGTGACATCAGTGGGGCTGACGTCGTTTGCTGGCGCGGTGGGGAGCCCTCGTGGTGGTGGGGGGCCCAGTGGCTCTGCGGGCGTGAGGCTCCGAGATTTGCTCAGCTGCACGGCCGGGAAGCTCAAACTACAGCCTGGGGAGGCCATGCTGCCCTTCGCTCCCATCATGGCTGCCCAGCCATCCCCCGTGAGTGTTTGTGAGTGTGTGACCGAGTGTGTGTGCGTGTGTGTGCACTTTGTGTTATGGGGAGCGGTGACGCAGTGGTCATAGCACTGCGCAACGAACCCGGCGCCACTCGGGTGACAAAGGGCGCGGTGCTAGCCACCCACCCCCTTGTGTGCCATGCCAGTCTTCATAGGTGCCCGCTAACAGCACTTTCCCCAACAGTCTAATCAGGCTATATGGGGGATCTATGTCTTTGTCGTGTGTGTGTGTCATAGGTGCTCGCTAACAGCACTTGCACCAACTGTCTGTTAAGGCGATATGGGGGATCTTTGTCTGTGTGTGTTGGTGTACACAGGGAGCCAAGGGGTCTCGCAGCATGCCAAGTCTACTCGACGACATCATCGCCTCAGTCGTCGAAAACAAATTCTCCACTCAGAAGCTAATGAAACCCTCCGAGCAGCCAGCCAAGAGGTGATTTCAGCCCTCCACCCACTCAAGAGCTGACATACTCTAGAGCTACACTGCTTACAGCAAACTGTGTGTGTGAAGTCTGTGTGTGATGCCTGCATGTCTGTATGTGTGCTGGTGTGGAACAATACGCGTGTGATTGTGTGCACGTCTGCGTGTTACTGTGTGTGCATGAATGTGCGAGACGCTGCATGTGTGCGTGCGTGCGCATATGCATCTGTGTGCGAGACCTATGTGTTGGTGACTGTGATTGTGACACTGTGTAATAGTGCGCATGTATGTGACTGCATGGCTGTGCGTGTGACTTGACTCCCATGACTTGACTGTGTGTGTGCAGTGTGGCGCGAAGGCCGCTGGAGAGTGGTATTGCCGACAGCCCACACTCGTGGCTGTGCGATGGGCGGCTTCTGAGAATCCACGATCCCCAGCACCCACACAACTGGAAGCTCTTCCGAGAGTGTTGGAAGCAGGGACAGGTGTGTGTGCAGTGTGTGAAGGGGGGCTGTATGTAGGTACAGGAGGATGTAAAGCTAATTTAACCTGCAGTTGACATGTACCAACGGTGTCAAGATAGGCATCTGTGGAGGGGGCTCGTGAAGGATGCCATTGAGCAATTTTATGCAGTTGCCCTCCAGCAACAATGGAGGAGGGGCTAACACACAGCAAGTTGGGAGCACAGATAGTCTGCTAGTCATCTCATTTAGTCAACCCGTAACACCAGGGTCTGTGCCCATGACCTGCCCGTGAGCCTTCCTCACTTAATGCGATAGCCTCAAAGTACCTCTAAGCCTGGCACAAGTGCTGTGGTGATGTCATCGCCAGTTGGTGGAAAATGGCTGGCTGTTATTGTGTGTGATCGTGGTGTGCTCTGTGCGCGTATGTGTGTTAATGTGTCGTGCGGTGCTCTACCCTACACAGCCCGTGCTGGTGTCGGGCGTCCATGCCAATCTCGATCCCGAGCTGTGGCGTCCCGAGGGCTTCAGCCGGGAGTTTGGTACGCAGGAAGCCGACCTGGTGAATTGCCGCAGCTGCACAATCATCTCCGGCATGAAGATCCGAGACTTCTGGGATGGATTCGAGGACCTCAACAGTGAGTGGCCCCACAGAACCTTGATTCCTGATGGTGATTCCATGCGTGGTGGTATCATCGTGTGTGCTGGTTATTCCACGTGAGGTCGCGCTGTTCCCTTGCTGGAAAAAGTTGATTAATGTTAAGGACAGTTTTCTGGGTGCCCGGCCACAGGATGAATGAAGTTCATATTTGACAGTGTCAGCACGACCACCTATGGAAACAGGGTTTAACATCAATAACTAAAGCCCTGTGTTTTGTCTTATTTGTAAGAGTCTTAAGACACCGTCAGTCGAAGTTGTTGTGGTTGTTGCAGAGCGGCTGGTGTCTCGAGACAAGGAGCCCATGGTGCTGAAGCTCAAGGATTGGCCGCCCGGGGAGGACTTCAGGGACATGATGCCCAGCAGGTTTGTACCTCGGAGGCGTGTTCTCAGTCTTAGCAGCGTCTTGCAGAACCTCTCTTAATATTCCTGAATGCGCATCCCCAATCTCTTCGGCTCTTGGGAGCGAAGCAAAAGTTTCAGCCTGCTTCGTGAATGGACAGGGGAAGCAGGCGCAAAAAGCAGTGGTACATTTTTTATTACAAATATGAATAAATGTGAATGTACAGCCCTTTGTTCAATCGACTACTGAATGGAGGGCCCTCCCCATCACTGTGGGTCGCAGTCATTATTCCATCATACTTAACTATGCTGGTCAGGAAGGGTTTTGTGAAGGTGGCGAGCAGAGAAATACAGATAAATAATGGAGTCTGTGGAACTGTCCTCTGCTGCCTACAACAATAGCCTAATAACACATCTGAAACGCTTTCCAAATTATCACCAGTTGTGTAGGGCACCACGGTGGAAAGATGTTAACTCCCTCGCCCGGTATACAGGATGTCATGGGTTCGGTCCAGTCCCTGACGACTGCTGTATATTTGGAGTTAGCATGTTTTCCCTGTGGTCGCGTGGCTTTTTCTCCGGGTCCTCCAGTTTTTCCCTCTATATTTAGAAACAACGGGCATTTAGAGTATTTGGCTGCTGTAAATTTCCACGGGATAAGCCACTTCGTTGCGCTCTCATTTATGGCCAGGTCGTTTCTGAAACAGTGCTAAAAAGCTTTTTGGGGCCTTACCAGGTAAAATAAAGTTTTTATACTTTTTGGCTCTTTCGGTAAAGTCACGTATGTATAAAAAAAATTAAATCACGACATTTCGGGCGCAACACAAGCGTCCGTCATCAGGTGGGACAACCACAGCAAGAAACAATTGCTGAAGTGGGAAAAAGGGCAGCTGTAACAAGAGGCTATATAGGTGTAGGGGTGTTAAAGAGAGGGCCCGTTATGCATGGCAGCCTATGGAAAACAAACACAGTGGGCGGGGCTACGTAAGTGCACGAGCAAGTGCTCTCTACGACGTCCGAGCCAGACACCCTGGGGGGGGCTGGTTCGAACGTTATGATCCCCCGGGGCCCCACCCCTCAGGGAGGGGTTGGGTATAAAAGGGGATGTTTCAAAGGGCTCGGCAGTTATGTTTAAGCTAAGGGAAGAAGATTGAAGACGTCTTAGATAGAGCCCTGGACTCCCCTGGTTCGATGTCCTTTTCAGGGCCGGACAGGATTGAGCCAGCGGCGTGGTCCCGAAAGCCAGAGCCGGTGCTCTTGTAAGAGCTGGTCTGGAACTCCGGGTACCGGGCCCGACTTACCAGTGTCGGGCCAGTTAGCCTCCCCTAGCCCATTAGTGGAGGATTCGGGGCTAGGACAGAGTTAGCTAGGGGTGTATCCCGAGTTATACGGGTGAGGGGGCCGATACCCCCTCGAGAGTGTATATGCCCACTGTCATACTGTGAAATAAATATACGTGTGCCTCAACCTCGGCGTCAAGCGTCTTCACCGGTACTTCATAGGTAAGAGAGGGGGGAGGAGCCAGGGAGGAGCCAGGGAGGAGAGATAGAGGGGGGTGTGGGGTAGGGGGAATAGGAAAAGGTCGAGCACGGCAAAACGCGGGGGGGAGGGGGGGGAAGTGAGCGGGGCTGGGAGTGGGAGGCTGAAGAAACTGGAGATGCGGATATGAAGGCAACACCATAAAGCAGTTAAGGTTTTACCTGGTTAATAACATCCTTCTAATGATTGCTCAATTTGTATCCATCTTCTCGGTTGAAGTTATGTCTATGTTTATATATCTGGATGGCTTCATGAACAAACTATTGATAGTAGCCTGAAGGTTTGCAGAGTGCCTTGGTCTCGGAAAAAATAATATCATGAGAGCCCACAGCATTATAGCAATGGTCAGCCACGGCGGAGGTATTGGTTATGCCGTGTTTCAGATCTGACTTGTGCTCGCGAACACGGTCCGAGATATGTCGTTTAGTTTCCCCAATGTAACACCCACCACAGGTGCAACTTAGTTTGTAGACTCCAGGATATTGCATGTCAGGAATGACATCCTTCACAGATGGGATTAGATCACGGATTTTGTGTACTGTACTAAATCGGACCTGGATCTTGTTTGTTTAATATTTATGGTAACGCCTGCTATGTATGGTAACGTGATGGTTTTGATCGGCGTCTCAGGGGGTTGTTTCTCCATGGTTGGAGAAACAGTTTTGTGAATAATGCGGTCTGAGTACCCATTCATCTTGAGGGCCTGGTGTATGTGTTCCAGTTCACTTGCTAGGCGGTGTTGGTCAGAAATGCAGTGGGCCCTATGGTGTAGTGTTTTGATGAGGGAATTCTACTGTGCCGGATGGTGGTGGGAATCAGGTTTCAGATAGGAATCTGTGCGAGTGGCTTTCCTGTAGACAGTGTCCCAACGAGCCATCAGGTCTCTTCTCAAACAAAACACCTGATGACGGATGCTTGTGTTGCACCCGAAACGTTGTGACTTAATTTTTATTTTATACCTACGTGACTTTACCGAAAGAACCAAAGAGTATGGATCCCTGCAGTAATGAAAACTTCAAATCTAAATAGTTTTTAGTATAGTACTTTTTCGGTGCTGCCGTGACTGCGATGTGACCGTGCGCCACCGCTGCTGCCCTGCAGGTTTGAGGACCTCATGGACAATCTGCCACTCCCCGAGTACACAAAGCGGGACGGCCGTCTCAACCTGGCCGCCCGACTGCCCGATTACTTCGTGAGACCCGACCTGGGTCCCAAGATGTACAACGCCTACGGTAACGGCAGCGCGCGTGCAATAACTACCTCGCACACCTCCCTCCCCTTAAGAGCCCAGACATCCCAGTGTGAAACCCAGATACTCTCTGAAATAGTGCAATGGGGAATAATGTATGTTGAACTTCTTTCGCACCGTATGTAGCCAACCATGCTAATCGGAGGTACAGGAAAGGACAACAAACTAAAGGCAAAGCAGTTATTTTTGTGGTGTATGTATGTTGAACATCTTTCACACTACGTAGCCAACCGTGCGAATCGGAGGTGTGGGGAGGGACAACAAACTCAAGACAAAAAGCAGTTTTAAAGAAAAAAGTTTTCAATCTAAATTATTTAGAAGTGCATAGCTCCAGTGGCTTCCTGACTTTGGAAGGAAGAGCATTTCAGATGACCACAGAAGCGCATCCGAAAGCGTGCGATGCGGTGACCGTCTTTGTTCACACCGTACGTAGCCAACCGTGCTAATTAGAGGTGTTGTGGAAATGTGTGTGCCGTGGCAGTGTGTTTATCATGCTGGCAATGTTGTGGTGTGCCGCGGTGTTTAGGTCTGGCCTTGGAGGGCGACCGCAAGGTGGGCACAACCAATCTCCACCTGGACGTGTCGGACGCGGTAAACGTGATGGTCTACGTGGGCATCCCCGAGACGCAGAATATCGACTTCCACCGGGGTGCGTACACCACATGGCCCACGTGGGACGGAGTGTGTGGTGTATGCGGTTTGTCATATTTGGTGTATTGTATGGCGAATGGTATTATGTGTGTAGCGGTTAGCGCGTTGTGCTCCAAACCCAGTGACCCGAGTTCGATTCCCACTCGTGGCTAACACCAGTGATGGTTATCTGAACCGGTTCTGAGTCTCCCCTAGGTCCTGGTGCACTGTGTAAAAACATTGGCACTATACCATGCCGGCCTTCATAGGTGCTCGGTCACAGCACTTGGCCCAACAGTCTGTGAAGGCTATATGGGGAATCTTTGTGTAGAATGTGTGATATATTGCTGTTTGTGTAAATTGTGGTATTTGGGGTGTATAGCATGTGTGGTATACAATATATATATCTTATAACACTCTTTGTCCTGGTGGAAAATTCCTGCACGGATCAGCCCATATTTGGAAGTATGCGTGGTGTTGCTTGTTAGGGGTGTATCTTTGCTCATATACGGTCTTGTGGAACCTGAATCGATGTCTTTTGTATCGATTCCGCTCATAGTCGATCTGACATTAGAGTACCGATGAATCGAGGGTTAATCACTGCATCGATTCAGTGGCGATTCATGGATTGACTACTCCCATTTAGTACTGTATAGCTTCCCACAGAATGTGTTTGCGGCAGATGGTGTTTAATGTTACGCAAGCTCCGACCGAATGCGCTGCTGAGTACATGACACGTACTTTTTATGTCATTATTTATAAGAGTAATTTTTATTTATAAAATGCTTGAATACTTGTCTCATGTGTACAGTATCATTATTAAGGTTATTACCGGTACACCAATGAAGCCCTCGTATATCGCTCATTGGTAAAAGAAAAAATAGCGATCGGGAACGCATCTCCATTGGAACCATGTTATAATGACCTCCTACAGCGCTGTTTCGTACCGCGGTCCGTTTACCAATAACCCATCCTAAGTGCTATAGGAGGTATGCCTGTATATATGTTGTGTGGTAATTTGTCGGTGCATATCGGCAAGGGTATGTTGGTATTGAGTGAGGTACGTTGGTGTTGAGTGGTATGTTGGTGTGACTGGTATGTTGCCGAGCAGTGTTGTGTGCTGTTGGTGTGGCGTGCACATGCCCGTGCGTTGTGGCCTGCCCTGCCCTGCAGAGGCTCTGCGAGAAATGGATGAGGCTAAGCGGCAGCGGCGGTGTGCATGTTGTGTGGTGCTGCATTGCGGTATTTGTACTGCGTGGTGGGTATGCCGGTACGGTGTGTGATGTATGAAGATGCGTTGTGCTCACACCCTTCGTGTGTCTTGGCCTGGCCCTCGTAGAGGCCCTGCGCGCGATGGATGACGGCGACGTGGACGAGGCAACGCGACGGCGCGTGGTGGAGGGCCAGGAGAAGCCCGGAGCGCTCTGGCACATTTACGCGGCACGCGATGCCGACAAGATCCGAGCGCTTCTACGCAAGGTGCGCCGCGTGCATATTGAGTTGTGCGCGCGTCTGGTTATGTCATGCATTGCGTGTGTGTACATGCTGCGTGATGTTTTGTGTACTTGTGTGTATACGCATGTAAACCAGATTTTAGTACTTCCATTAAGTCCCCACTCCATGTCGGCCTTCATCGGAGTTTGATAACCACACGTTACTCAACAGCCTCTTAAAGGCAATGGTGGTATCTTCGTCAGTGCGTAACCTTGCTTGTGTGCGCACGTGTTTGCATGCATGCATATGCATTGTCACTGGGGAAACAAAGGCGGTCGTGCGTGGTACTGGCCACCCACCCCCTTGTGTGCTGTGCCGGCCTTCATAGGTGCTCACTAACAGCACTTGCATGTACCCGTGTGTGCTACAGGTGGGCGAGGAGGAGGGCCAGGAGAACCCCCCCGACCACGACCCCATCCACGACCAGAGCTGGTACCTGGACCGCACACTCAGGCAGCGGCTGATGGAGGAGCACGGAGTGCAGGGCTGGGCCATCACGCAGTGCCTGGGCGACGCCGTCTTCATTCCCGCCGGCGCCCCGCACCAGGTACCCACGACCATAAACTAAACTATAAGAATTTTTTTACGTTACCAAGTAAGGCCCACTGAGCTGCTATATAGCTCGTTTTCAGAAGCGACCTGGCCGCGCATGATTGCCCAACGAGAAGTGGCTCGTGGAAATTTATAGCAGCCAAATGCTCTTGAACGCATGTTTCTAAATGTGGAGGGAAACGCCCGAGGCCCGCACAGCAACTGCACGGCAACAGCATTAACCACACGCGAGCACCGCACGAAACACGGAAAAGCGTGCAGAAACCGTTCCAAGTTCACGTGAACCTCAATGACAAGCCGCAAGCACACAAAGCGCAATACTACAATCACATGACAAGCCCACAGCTCATCATGCCGCCCGCACAGAAACATAACGTCAACTCCGTGTGTTATGCTCCGTCTTCACCATTTCACACTGACCAGCATGGTGAAGTACGGTCATTTAACATAGATGACCCACAGATGTGCGGGAAGGCCCCTCGTCCAGCAGTGGGCTGACCAAAGGGCTGTACGTGTGCGTTCACGTGTGTACCCTTCCCCACCCATGTACCCAGGTTCACAACCTGCACAGCTGCATCAAGGTGGCGGAGGACTTTGTGTCACCGGAACACGTGCATCACTGCTTCCGGCTCACACAGGAGTTCCGGCGGCTGTCTACCACGCACTCCAACCACGAGGACAAACTGCAGGTCGGTGGAGAATCGACGCAGTAGCAGCAGTCGCTGCCATTCGCCACTAAATGGCGGTGATGTCATGTAGGCCAGGTGCACTTTTGATGCTAACACGGTTACTTCAAAGATTGTCACCGCATCGCGTGCTTTTAGATGCACTTCTGCGGCCGTCTGGGACTCTTGCTTCCGATATTAGGAAGCCACTGGAGACATGCACTTTGAAATCATCTTTATTGAAAACGAATTTCTTTAGAACTGCGTTTTGTGTTAAGTTTGTCCCTCCCCGCACCTCTGATTCGCGCGGTTGGCTACATACGGTGCGAAAGAAGTTCTACATACATACAGCACATGCAGTGTGGAGTGCTTGCTGGCAGGTCACTGGCCAGCATCCAGGTGTTATGGGTTGACTAAGATGTAACCACAAAGACAAAACATCCCCCTCGTAGCCTTAACAAGTGCTGTTAGTGAACCACATACCCATTTGCACCCACATACACATGCAGCCTCATACACCCATGCAACTTTACACCTGCACACAGCTGTATACAATTTGGACGTCCAACATCAACATGGTGACAAGTACTCTCCAACATCAACATGGCTACAAGTACTCGCACACCCATGCACCTGGAATCGAATCTGTCCAGAGCCACACAGCCTCACCTTGTCTCACACTACAGCAGCAGCTGAGGTACGGTATTCCCTTGTAATTCACGAACGTCCTATGCACGATTTTGCCTATCCGTGAATCGCATCTGGAACTGTACACGGCTGCATCGAGAGAGAAAGTGATGCGATAAAGTGATGAGAGATCGTGTTGATGCCACGCATCATAATTTCAGGTTAGTTCATTCATAAACTATTTGTGATAGCTTATTTATATATTTTGTAGGACCAATATAATTATCCATGAAATTTTCTATTCACGAGCATATCCAGAACATATCCCTTGCGAATAAAGAGGGTACGCTGTACAGCTAATGGCACGGATCTTCACTTCCCCTCTTCCCCCCCCACCTTCTCGCCTCAGGTAAAGAACATCATCTACCACGCTGTGAAGGATGCCATTGCCACACTGCAGTCCCACGACACCAAGAGTGAGAACTGAAAAACCACAAGTGTGGATTGCAGCAGGGGCGAGTGCAGTGGGGGAGCCGCATGGTGGGGGGGGGGGGTCTTCTCCCCACGCTCGGACTCATTCGGCTAGACTCCCTCTCCCCTGCCACTAGGGCGGGAGAGGGAGGTGTGACCTCGTTAGTGTCGCTGATGAGGTGCTGATGAAAGGGACTTGGGAGTGAGCACACATGAGTGAACACCCCCTCATGCACGCTATTGGCTATTGCTACACATCGTGCCCCCCATTGCACCCGTCACATTTACCACATACGCATGTACCACAAGCACCGATCAACACTGTACTGCACGTTGTAACCGGCAAAGCCTACCACACAAAGACACTGCACCTCACAGAACATTAAATCCACAGTTATCCCACACACATAGAACTCCATGATTAAAACGCCGTCCTACCTCCACACCCAGTGCAACACGTTGAATCCCCTCCCCCACACAGACATGACAAACGCGGAGGTCACGCCCCTTTTGATGCCACCGTTCCTCACACCTGCTGGTTGCCTTGCCGCAGAGCCAGGTGGCATTGCCCACTGCTCGGGACGTGTATTTTATATCGCGAATCCAACATTAAGTGATTTGAAGCCAAGTGAGGAGGAGTGTGATCATTGTACCTAGTCGAGATGTGAACCTGTGTATCCAGACGCACACCAAACAAGATGCACGTGTATGTGTGTAGTCTGACAACCGAATTCACAGCTGCTGACATTGCCAGGTGCCACGGTGAGAAAGGCCACGGTGAGAAAGGCCCCGCCTTTGCCAATTGATCAGGTGTCGTGAAAAAACGCAACCCAAAATAAAACTGTGGCTTACAGCTGTGTTTTAAGAGTCATTCCGCATTGTCCAAGGTTTCTGTAGAAATGCCCAGCGCGTGGACGACATCGTACTCCAACACAAGCTGAAAGAGGCTAGAGGAGCAGTTTGGTTTTTGCTTATTATTGCATCTTGCTGTGAATCAGGAATTGGGATGTGGGCCCCATGCCACTGATCCGAAATCAACCACCCAGGTGAAGAATAATGCATCTCCCATGAAGCTGGGGTGGGTTGGAGCCAGGGTTAGGGGAAAGGATGAGTTCTGGTAGGGTATGGGATGTACACAGTAGAAGTTTTGGGAGTTTTTTTTTATTATATATAAAGTGTACATGTCAAAGATTAATAAAATGTCAAGTAAAATCACAGGTTGCTGTGTTGGAGTCTGCCAGTGTGTCATCTTCATCCAACCGTGCCAGAGGAAGACCTGTCAGATTGAGCTGCTAGCTTGGGCAGCCACTCACACGCGAGTCATTTTTAATTCAAAATCAAGTGGGGGGCCCGTTTCAGCTAATTTATTTAAGGATGGCAGGGTCTTGATGTACATGACACGCTTACACCGACAATTCCTACACCATAAATGTAAAGAAACATTTGTGAGCATACGCATAGTGTGTGTATATGTGTTTGAATACTATATATAGGGGTGCATTAAAGAAATAAGCAAACCATAAAAGAAACAGCTTAGGGATGGTAGATATCCAGGCTGTCGCAGCATTCTGAAGCGTCTAACACGATACATTTATAACCACACCCCATGATCGCGTGGCTCCAACTTGAGATGTAACAATTCACAGATTCAAATCAATTCTTATGCACCCACTGCATTCTGTAAGAATGTGAGATGTGTTTCTCCACACACCCTCCCACTGCAGATTCAACAGTTGTGCAACTTTAGATTCTACATATTCACAGCTCCCCCCATGGATTAACACGGCTACACCAATAAAGAACCTCTCGATTCCATTATCGACTCTGCATGGACTACAACGTAAAAATATAGACCTTTGAGACAAATTCATGACCACACAACAGGATAACTCATTAAAAATCACGACTGAATCGTTACAGGCTCTAAACCGGAATTGTCCATGGAGAGTTCAAAACTGCGTGTGTCGTCCTCTGTGAAAGCCATGGGAAATGTAATGGGGGTGACAATTGGCACTCGCAGAATCCTGTGACGAGTTGCATAAAATTCCTGAAGGGGAAATCCTCGCTTGCTTCACGTCGATATACATTGCAAACCGAGGGGAAATATCACTGGACACGTTTCATATAACTGACCTCTGGAATCCCATAATGGAATCACACATTCATCTGAGCAACATTTTCTTTACTCGGCAGACAGGATCATGGGATTAACGCCGAAGGGTCGTTGGCTTGTGTGAGTATCGCTCAATGTCACCAAATCTGTCAAGCGCTCAAATTTGGCAAAGTAGATCCAGTGACCCGGTCTTACGGGGAACACGATATTCTATTGAAGACTGACCGTGACACTTTTTTCTGAATTGAGATACTCGACTCAAGATCGTGTTTACAAACTGATTTCCTTGAGCTAAATATCGATTCTTAACACCCTGTGGTCCCAAGTCTCACCACCCCGTAGAGACGGGGACACTTGAGTCTCAAGACCAAAATTCTCCCGAATCTTAAAATTGAGTGACCTCCAAACTATTGTTTCACTCGAAAGCACAGCTCTACACCGATATCAACCCACACTCACTACTACTCTTTGGTACTTGCGATTAACATGGGAAAAAAACACAAATGGGGCTTTTAAAATTATACAATTGCACAGCCTCTTTCTCTCAACATTCCATACCACTTCAAGAAGAAATGGCGACTGAAGGCTAAAGGTTGATATGAAGCCACTGGGGAAATGCGCTGGTAGACAGAAAGACAACATAATACGTGTTACGTGTATACACGCATACAAGAAAAAAGCTGACACGGATAACAATGATCGTGTAAGGTGGGTAACACCGCGCATGTCCACACGTTACGCGCCACCTGTTACACCACTGGTAACTACACGTGTGCATGGGTAACACGGATAAAAACACTTGTACAGGTAACATAACACCGGGGGTAAGGCACTTGGGAAGACTTCAGATAAAACCCCCAAACACACCAGCGTTTGTCCTTTAAATACAAAACAGAATCAGAATATTCATACTGGAGGAATCCACAGAGCTATAAAGCTCTTTTTCACAGATGTCATCGACATCTGTCCAGTAAACATCCCGCAACTAAGAATCTACGATTGTCAAGTGAGGCGAGCGTTTAAAGAACCCAGACTAAAGCCTCGTCATCACCATTATAATTAATTCAACTCAGTATCTTATCAACACCCTATTGTGGGTAACAGCTGCAGCCATTTGCCACGAAGCGGCGGTGACATTACCGGCGCTTGTGCCTGGCTACGTGCACTTTTAGGCCATGTGAAGCGTCGAAGGCTCGCTAGCAGGAGGTCACGGACAGACCCACGTGCTGTGGGTTCACTGAAGCTCTCCGATTCAGAGGAACTCATCTCTCATCTGGCAACACTGCTTCCGGGTTAAGGCGAAAGAACGGGAGGCCAGTTTCCATTGGCGGGCAGAGCTGGTATCCACTGGCTCGTAGGCATTGGTAAATACTGGTAAGCATTGATTGGTGGACAACACTTGTAGGCATTGGTAGGCACTGGCTGGTAGAACTCTAAGGCACTAGCTAGTTGGCACTGATAAGCGTTAATTCGTAGCCCCTTGCTGGCAGAAACTTGCAGAAACTTGTAGGCTTTGGCTGATAGACACTGGCTGGTAGACCAAGGGAGGCACTACCTGGCAAGCACCAACTGGTAGTCACTGGTAGGCACTAGTTCAGGTGTGGGACCAAAAAGACTGTGTGGCAACATCGGCAGGAGCAGGTCCGGTGCACACCACTGTCAAAGCACCTTCGCTGCCAACATCACAGGGGGTGGGGATGGGGCCCCCAACATCACGATGCCCCCCCTTTCTCCCTGGCCCCCCCGCCCTGCGGGCCTCAGCGTGTCTCAACTCGTCTCCACAGCCAGGTCAGTCTGTGTCTCCTGCTCTCTCGCTCCACGGGCCTGTGTGCCCGGTGCTCTGCAAGCGTCGGTCTGTGTGTATTGCTCTCGCAATATGTAGGTCTGCGTGTCCTGATCTCTGTACGCGTCGGCGTGTGCGTCGGGCTCCCTGGACGAGTCACTCCGCACGTCTCGATCTTTAGGTGATGCATCATCTTGTTGTGCACACCACTCTCTGGGTGCGTCGGCCTTCGCATCCTGTTCCCGAGGTACGTCGGTCTGTGTGTCGTCTTCTCGAGACAACACGGTCTGTGTGGACTGTTCCTTCGTCCTCTTTTGATGCCCACACTGTTGGCTGACCACGTCCTCTTTCCCATTTGCATCCCCCGTCACCCTCTCCAATTCGGTGTCTTTCCCTCCAGCGTCATCTGTGATCTTCTCCCTGTCTTTCTCCCTTATTTTCTTCCGATCTCTCCCTCCATTATTCCCCTCATCTCTCTCCCCATCTTCCTTCCCACCTGTCTCTCCGTCATTCTTCGCAATTTTCTCCCCTTCTCTCTCCCCGTCTCCCTCTCCGGCACGTTTCATTCCCTGCCCCACATGGTGCCCTGCGCAGTGTCCGCCATCTCCCTCTACGTCTCCATTGCTGACATTCTGCCCAGCCGTTTCGCGCTCCAGGTAGTACACGTTCACCAGGTTTCGCCGCAGGCGGAACGTGTAGTCGGCGTCACCGTGACAATGCCGGTCGCAGAACACGCACATTCCCCGTGTCTGTAGCGGCGGCGGTGGCACGGGCCCCCTGGGGGTCACAGGAGACCGCCCAGGCGACGGCCTCAGCCAAGGTAGCGGCAGCATCGGCCCCTTCTGCAGCGGCTCCGGCGGCAGTGGCAGCGCCGCTGGTGGTGGTGGTGGTGGTATCGGCACAACCTCCGTCGTCAGTTGAGATATGATTGGCGTCACATTGCAGACTCCTCCCAGATCCGGCTTCTGCTCAAACGCCTGGCGCCGGCGCCGGCAGCGCCGCCGCTCGCTCTTCCTCCTCGCTCGCGCTTCTTCTTCCTCTCCCGTCCTCTCCTTCTCGTCATCGTCAAAGCAGCGCTCGGGCGATGACCTTCCATCGTGGCTGTGGATCCCCTCGTCCTCGTCCATCTCCCCACGCCCCTCGTCTCCGCTGGTGCGCGGCCGCCCCTCCTGCTGCTGGTGGGCGGTGCTGTAATCGTGTCGTGTAAATGGGCCGTCCGAGTCCAGGGAGAGCGGCGACTCCATGCCGTCATCGCTCGGTGTAGAGGGAGGCGCCGTTGCCACTGCTGCAACAGCCTCCCGGCACTGTCGGGCGCCGCACAACTCCGTGCCGACCTTCAACCAGCTTGCGCCGTCGAAGGCACCGCTGCTGTGGACGTAGCTGCGCTCCCGCCGGACCAAGTAGCTGCGTAGGTGGTACAGGCGATGCAGGTGCTGTTGCTGCTGCTGTAGCTGTTGGCGGTGGTCGACCCTCTGCAGCTGCAGGGCGCGAGCGAAGGCGTCGCTCATGCGAGGCCCCCCCCGGTCCTCGTCGCTGCCCGGTTGATTCCAGCCGGTTCTGCCGCTGTTAGGCTCCGGTGCAAATCGGCACAGGAAGCCGACTCCGGCAGCACCGCTCGGGCCGGCGCAGGTCGCTAAGTGTGAGCGCGCACCGGAAATTGGAGGTGATGGCGCGGGTGGGGAGCCCGCTGCTGGCATCTCCTCGGCTCTCGCCGTGACTACAACCACCGCCGCCGTCGCTGCCACAGCTCCCTCACAGCTAGCTGGCTGTGGCTTTGAATCCGGGGACTCCACTGGGCCGCAATTTCTAGCCCAAGACTTGGCAACGGATTTGCGGCCACCATTGATTTTTCGTTTGGGCGCACGCTTCGCTGGGACCCTGCGGGGGCGGCTGGAGGTGACGGCATCTGCTGGTTTCAAAGTCGACTGCAGCGACCCCTCCTCATCGTGCATGCAAAGCGCCGGCGGCGATTGGCTGCGCTTGCCGGAAAACGCCTGCGGCTTATCTGAGAGGCGGCGTCTCTGTGCTGCCCTCGTTTGCTTCCCACTTGCAACCGAAGTCGTCGCCTCCGGCTTCAGCGAGAAGTACGGCGGCTGATGTCGCAGCGGTGAAAGCGCAGGCGGGTGGGGCACTTCCGGCTGTGATTTTGGAACCGGCAGCTCCACTTCCGGCACTTGCTTCACGGGTGACGTCGCTTCCTGCGTGCACTGCACTAGGGACGTCACTTCCTGCGTGGGGTTTGTCAGAAACGTTACTTCCTCCGCCTGTTTCACCAGCAACGTCACCGCTCCCGTGCTGTCATTCACTTCCTGGTTTTTCAAAGGTATCGGTAAAACTGGTGGCGTCACTTCCTGTTTAATAACTCCTGCTGCTAGTATTGCTTCCTGCGTGAGCGGCGGTGATGTTGATGATGGTGGCAACGGTGGCTCACTCGCTCTCTCACACGATGCTGCTTCCCCTTCCTCATCTGCTGCCAGCATCACCACAACATTGGCCTTGCTTCTGCGGCCTCTCCTTCGACTCGGAGGGCACGCTGCTGTGGTGGCACCCTCTCGGCCGTTCACCTCGTTTGTATCGTCACCACCAGAAGTCGTCTTGCGCTTGCGTGTGGGAGGCACCGCCTCGATCTTCTCGCTATTCCTCTGCTGCTTCTTCCGGCTGTAACCTCCCCCACGGTTCTCCATCACCACTGATTCCGCCTTCTTCCTGACGGTCGCTTTGAGCTTTTTCGCATTTTTCCCAACAACCCCTTTGACATGCTCGCTCTCATTGCGGAGCTTTTTGACACCCTCATCATCGCCCTTCTGCTCCTCTTCCTTGCTCTTCCTCTTCCTGCCCCGACGCCGACTCCGCCCGACAGGCGCCTCAGCCTCCATTGCGAGGGCGGCCATCTTGAGGCTGGGCCGCCTACCCCTCCTCTTCGCGGCCTTCACAATGGACGACGTCACCTCCTCGCACTCCAGCTCTGCACCCGCTTCCTCCATCATAGCTGGAGGAGGCCGCGGTGATGACGGAGAGGGCAGCGCCGGCTGCGATGCCTCCCTCCCCACCGCTGTCGCTTTCTCCTCGCACTTCACTTTCTTCTCCGGGGTCTCCTTAGCCGGCCCCATCACCCCCGGCGGCCCACCAGCCCTACCACGAGCCGCGACTGCTGCCGCCACTGCCCCTCCCTGCCGTTTTCTGCCCCTACCCTCCCTCTTAACGCCATTTACTTTTGCGGTGCAACAGCCGCCACCGCTGCCGGTGTCCGATTTACCGCACACAACGGACCGCTTGCTCGACGCTCCCTCCACCTTCACGCTTGTCGCTGACGACGACAATGCCGGAGGTGCCGGTGAAACCATCGGCGGTGGCGGCTGCTGCTGCCGAGCCGCGGTCACGACTGTGGTGGTGGTGGCTGCCATGGTGGCAGCGGTGGTAGCAGTGCCAGTGTAGGTGGGGTGCTTGGAGTGCAGGTGGTAGGTGAGGTTGCACTTCTTGGAGGCGGCGTAGGAGCACGCGGGACAGGGGAAGCGCCGTGGAGACGTGTGCAGCAATACGTGCTTCTTGTAGTTGCTGCGGTCGGCCGTGCGGTAGCCGCACTCGCCGCACACCAGTGGTTTGGGCCCGTCCGAGTGGACCTGCGCGCGGGGACCGGTGCACAGTTTCCATCGTGAGGCGAGGCTGGCGTTGAGATGCGCATACACACATACAAATGTTGAACTGCTAGCATGCCGTATGGAGCCAACCGTGCTAATCGGAGGCGACCGAATAGTTATAATGCAAAATAGTTATTTGTGTAGTTGTGGAAATACAATTAACTAAATAATAACCATCTGCTTCATTTATTTGGTTACTTATATTCTACATAATTACACAAATTACAATTTTGTGTTGCGTATAAAAGAGGTTTGCAGACTTGGACCCATATGTTAAAAAGAGTGTTTTTGTATTATCATTACTCTTATATAATGAACAATCAACAGAGATTTAACCGACAATGTTGTACTGTACTTGAGCATCATCTAGGTGCCCCCTTTCCCGTAGGTTCCACCCCCCTACGGCTTCACCTGTCTCAGGTGACGCGTCACTTCGTGCTGATTGGACGCGACGTAGGTGCACCGGTCGCAGTGGAAAGGCTTCTCGCCTGCAGAGGCAGAAGGAGAGTTTCATAGAGAACCCACCGTCCATGGTGGCACACATGGTGACACAGGACCATTTCAGAGAATGGCCACTGATGCTCACCATGCCTAGGAACCGAACTTAGAAACCCCAGGTTTGTAACGCAGTGTGCTAACCACTACACTACCACCATTCCTCACACACACACGTAGATTTAGACACAAATACACACGTAAAGACAAAGCACTCCCAGTGTAGTCTTAGCAGATTTTTGGGGCAAGTGCTTTTAAACGAGCACCTATGAAGGCCGGAATGGTATACAAGGGGGTGGATGGCTAGCACCAAGCCCGACTGCCTTTGTCTCCCCAGTGGCGTTGTTTACACACCACACCAGGTACTCATTTGATGCTGAGTCGACCTAGGGAAGCTGCCGGGCCGGTTAAGATAATATAATCGTCACTGGTGTTGGTGGCCGTGAGCCAGAATCCAAGTCAGGTCGCCTCATCCACAGACGCCAATCTTGATACTGCTGGTACCAGTCATCCGAAAGTCGAATCAGCTCCATGTTCTTCTGTACTATTTAGGGCCCCTTTATAACATATGCTACAGGCCCCACACTAGCTTAATCCGGCACTGACCAGCAGGTATAACCATGGCTGAAAAGGCTGGGAACTTTGTACGGAGCAAGAGGCTCATTAGCTTCCACACAATGTTACGCAGCAGATGAAAAGGTAATGTCGCTTGACTGATTGAGAGTGAGACCTTCATTGCCATACCGGAGCTGGTCATAAAGCACACTGTCCAGGTATGGAAACACCTCCACTCTCTCCACAACACCCATAGGGAATGGAGGGGCTGGAGTGTTTGGTACCATAAAATACCCACGCAGGTACTTTGCTCTTGTAGGGATGATGGTAAGGACACATCTCTTAGAAGCACGCTCCAAGCTCAGCAGTAGAGTCTCCATCTCAGTGTGACCAGCAATTACCAGATCATCAGCATAAATAACATGGTTGGACAATAGGGGGCCACATCCTTTGACCATATGCAAGCATCCATCAACCTCCCATTGTATCTGTAACAGATGAAAATTACTCTGGTGCAGCCAAGGAGAGCATCTCAAAATACATGGGCAGAGAAGATGTTAAATAGTGAATGGGCCAAAGGATATTGTTGTCACACCCTAAAGCGAACAAAAACGGATTCAATCTCCTTGCTACACAACATTACCTGGACATGGCCACCATGAGCGTCCTTAATGATTGTGAGCAGAGGGTCAGGGACCCTGAATGCATAAAGAATAACCCTGAACACTGGCCTATGGATGGTATCATAGACCTTGAGAGCAGATCAATACAGCAGAGTTGTAGGTTCTATTGAAATTTTCTATAGCTCTGCTGTAGCAGACAGACAAGAGAATATTGCGTCTGTGCAGGCCCACCACGGTCTGAAACCACATTGGGGCTCCGCAAGCCTCTCGCCCCTCGGCCTGTATACAATCGCAATCCTATCACAGCAGTTCGCTTGAGAGGTCATCTCTCTCTGGTGCTTTACCTGGCCTTAGACTGTACATCACCCTTCATACTTGCTGAATAAATGGTACATCAGCCAGCCACTCACAGGAAGCGGCTACTCCCTCCCATATTGGAGACAATGCAGCCTCAGCAGGGTCAACCCAATCTTGCTCCGTGATTTTATCCGAGCTAAGGGGGTTTTTTTCCCCTTCTCCAATACCTAACATAAATATTCTCGCTTGCAACCTTCATCCATAAGCCGACACCAGGCTATTGTGGGTTTCAATGGGGTCCTTAGGTGGACACTTACTATCTACTTGTCATCTTACAGATGACAAGTTGATAGTAAGTGGGCAGACCAGCTCTGCGGTCAGTCCTGGTGTCAAGGATATGGGCTGGAATTCACTGCTCCATCACGATACAGAGTCCAGTAGATGCTCTTGCCAAAGCAGGCTATGCCAAATGGGCTTTGGCCTGAATACGTCACAGGCGCCTGTCCCCCACACCCGGGTGTTTCTGGCACAATCTTAGTTTGGTATTTCCACCAAGGTTATGGTTACAAGCCCCTCGCACACACTAATACATGCGCACACACACTAATAAAAAACACACAACACGTAAAAATACCACTAATAAAGCAGTCACACACAAATGCATAAACACTGCCACAGACATAAAAACACAGACACATACAAATTCAATCTCTCTTTCAAAAATAGCACCAATAATTTCACCACATCACCTGTGCCAGGATAGGTGTACAAAAACACATTTACACAAAGCCACGTTACACAAACCTCACATTAAAATCACATTTAACTTAACTCTACAACACCAACACATTCCTCAGCCACTTACACGTAAGTTAAACTTAATTTTAAAAATTGAAACAGTATTTTAAACTATAAAAACTAAAAGAAATCACTTTTTTTTACCAAACATAGCTCTCACAGCTACAGCTTTACGCGAGAGCCACTCACCCGAGTGTATGCGCATATGGCGGGTGAGGTGAGTCTTCTGTGAGCTCGAGTAGCTGCAGTGTGGACACTGGTAGGGCCTTTCACCTGCACAAAAAATACAAACATCCCCATGTGGCATTCTGCGCACTCGTTACACGCGCAAAAGTGCTCGCCACAATACCTCGCTGATCTCGCCAGAGAATAAACCATCACGCAAACCCCGGTCATCCTCACGGCAGCGGTGCCTTTTGGCTGGCAATGGAATAAAGACGGTCACCACATCGCACGATTTCAGGTGCACTTCTGTGTCCTTCTGAAATGCTCTTCCTTTCGATATTAAGGAGCCACTGGAGCTATGCACTTTTAAAAATAGATTGAAAACGAATTTCTCTAAGAACTGATTTTTGTGTTTAGTTTCATGTCCTTCTCCCGCACCTGCGATTAGCACGGTTGACTAAGTATAGTTCGAAATAATTTTAACATACATAGATATATTCACAGACTGGAGAGAGTTTGCGTGCTGTTAAGGCCAGCGTGGTGCATGGGGGGACTATGTGGCCAACGGCAGTCCCAGCCACATGTCTCTCCAGTGCCGACACGTGACACACCGCACTGGGTACTCCTCGACTTAAACAGCACTAACATCCTCGTGGAGGCCCAGGAACTCGACACTGATGTGAGCCGTGAGTTAACATCTCGCCACCGTGGTGCCCACTGATAATGGCCATAGATTAGTGCGCTAATCACTCCACTACCGCACCAAAGACACACCTGTGTGTGTGCGCAGGTGCTGGAGGTAGTTGTTCTTGCGGTCCGAGTAGTAGCAGCAGGACCCGCAGGTGTACACTTTGCGCGGGAAGTGGTTGCGCAGGTGTTTCTTCCAGTGGTACTCGCTCACCGTGCTGTACAAGCACAGGACGCAGCGGAAAACTCGCTCGCTGCTCTGCACCGTCGCTCCTCCTTCAACTACCGGTGCCGAAGCTGGTGCGAGAACCGGCGCCGCCACCGCCGAGCGGTTCTCCCGGTTCTCACTGGGGCGCGGTTCATTGGGTTGGCGAAGGGGTGGCACCACCGGGCTCGGCGGCAGCGCTGCGCCGGCAACGCGCTCGTGGTGCTTGGGAGGGAGAAGTGCAGAGAGACAGAACGCACCGCTGATTTGACATTGTCCTGATTGCTTCACGCGATCCTGCGGTTATCCGTGATTTTGGCGACAAAAGGAACATCTCATCGTCCTTTTATAAAACTATATTTTTATTTTGCCAGGTAAGACCCGCTGAGCTATGTGGCTCTTTTTCAGAAATGACTTGGCCATAAATGATAACCCAACTAAGTGGCTTATCATGTGGAAATTTCTAGCAGCCAAATACTCTAAACACATGTTTCTAAATATGGAGGGGAAAACTAGAGGAGGACCCGGTGAAAAAAAATCCACGTGACCATGGGGAGAGAGACATGCAAACTCCAAATATACAGGTGTCAGTCAGGAGCAAACCCACAACCTGCTGCATACCAGGCAAGATCGTTAACATCTCGCCACCGTGGCACCACTATGTTTATAAGTAAACGTAGTGATGTGCCACGAAAGGTGGCACCATCATACATGGTAATATGACCAGATACTGTTGCACAAGGCCGTAGCCATGAAGTCAACATTGGGGGGGGACCAAATCTTCCAGGGGGTCTAGGGTCCCCTCCCAGAAAAAAAAAATCTAAATTTGAAAACTAATTTCCTGCCTAAAATATTAAAAAATTCACTAACACATGGGATGGACTTTTTATTTATTTTTTACAATGTCTAATATTGAATTGTATTACATTGCTCTGTTTTTTTCTTTTTTACCTTTTCTTGTTTCATTGTATGTAATGGAAGAGATTAGGGATTAATAAAGTACAACCATAACCACAATAATATAAACAGAAATCTATTTTATAACAATATATTGAGGGGGACATTTTGAGCATATTTTAATATTGAGGGGGATGTGTCCCCCCCAATATATATTATAATTACGGCCTTGCCATAGCACAACCAAGACGCAAGCACTCCCATAAACAGAACCATACAATCTGGCAGGACAAGGCACTGTGGCCCAATCACAGGTGTGACACAACCAGGCATACTGGACAATCAAAAAGAAAAACACAACCACACGCAACCACAAAACACTGCAGAATAACCGCACAGCGAGTCACAAGAATACAATGCGACATGACCACAGGTGAGGTGACCCGTGGGTGGGGATGAAACCATACAGAGTGACACAATACAAGTGGCAACACAGCAACACGCTGCTCGACAACCATATACAGAAACACACGAAGACAAAGCTCAAACTAGATCCGAAGCTTTCGTGACTGCAGGAATTACTCTTTGGTTCTTTCGGTAAAGTCACGTAGAAAGAAATAAAATAAAATAATAATAGAATACGACGTTTCGATTGTAACACAAGCCACCATCATCAGGTACAAATTAATGAGAAAACATAGTAAACTTGAAAATATAATGCAATACAACACAGAGAGTCAGTCAACACAAGAGTCAACACCCCCACCTGGTTGATTACGTTCTTCCAAAGATTTGCGGCCGCTATGGGCAGGAATTCCACACAACTCCCCCTCTGCCACCCCGCCTCTCTCTCTATTGAAGGCCTCGACACAGAGACATTGTCTTTCTGTGTGCCTATGTGTGTGTGTCTCTCTGTTTGTCTCTGTGCGAGTCTCTGCTTGTGTGTCCGTGTGTCTCCGTGTCTATGTTTTGTCTCTCTCTCAAATTTAGCAATCTTTGGAAGAACGTAATCAACCAGGTGGCGGTGTTGACTCCTGTGTTGGCCGACTCTCTGTGTTGTATTGCATTATATTTGCAATCGAAGCGTCGTATTCTATTATTATTTAATTTATTTCCGAAAGAACCAAAGAGTAAAGACAAAGTTCCCTCGCATAGCCTTATCAGACTGTTGGGGCAAGTGTTGTTAGCGAGCACCTATGAAGGCCGAAACGGTGGTTGGCCGACACCACGCCCAGCTGCCTTCGTCTCACTAGTGGCGATGTTTACACACTGTAACCAGGTATTCATTTGAGGCCCCGGCGACAATAGGGGGGGCCCAGGACCAGTTCAGATAATCAGCACTGATGTTGGCCATGAGTGGGAATCGAACTCGGATCGCTGGGTTTGTAGCGGAGCACGCTAACCGTTGTGCTACAGGCACACACACAGATGCAACGACACAATAATACGTTAACACACAAATGACCAGGCACGCACGAAGACACAACCACACACAGAGAACGCAACACCATGACAATGACGCAACGGCTGCACGTGCATACACCCACCAAAATCACCACTGCAACTATACACAACGGTAGCTGAAGGCGCTACACCCGCTCGTTAGGCGTGACGGTTAAACAGGGAGTTGCGGTGAGAGTTAGAGAGAGCAAGGCGGTGAGAGCGAAAGAGCGGGGAGGGCGGTGTGGCAGTACCTTGAGGTGCGCTAGGTAATGGTCGTAGCGATTCGTGTTATAGCCGCACTTCTCGCAGCGAATGGGACCACCCGCGGCCTGTAACAATGTGGCACAGAACACCCAACAACAACTATGAACACTCGTAACGGTGCGTGTGTGCGAGGATATGTGTGTGTGCAACTCTTTTTACGGGGAGCTGTAGTGCAGCTGTAGTGTAGACAAAAGTTCGATTCCCTCTTGTGACTAACATCAATGACGAATCACGTAACTGGAACTGGCCCTCTTCAAGGTTAACTCAGCCTCAAATAAGTACTTCATGCGATGTCTAGACATCAACACTTTGAGACAAATGCGGTCTGGCGTGGTGCAGGCCACCACATCCCCTCGTTTGCTGTATCAGCCTTAATAGGTGCTCGCTAACAGCACTTGCCCCAACAGTCAGTTATAGGCTATACTTGGGATCTTTGCTTTTGTCTCTTTCGTGTATGTGTGTTATTGTGTGTTTGAGTACTGTATGCGAGTGTGTGTGCGCATCTCACCGTGTGCGCTTGCGTGCGCACGTTCGTCTCACCCTGCTGCTCCAGCAGGTATTTTTTGGCTCCGTGGGAGCTGATGTGATGTCGGAACTCCGCCTCGGAGGTCGTCTACGTGGCACATCCAGGGGTGGCAGAACGCGTCACAACACGCGGGGGGCATCCATCCATTGCATCACACAACCACACACCGACCTCAGAGAACAACCCTAACATTCAGAAGGGGACCTCCCCCCTTCCTAGCAGGCATCTGCGCAGTCACACGGCAGCAGGGGATGGGCACGTAGAGAACCGGTGCCGCCACTTACCGTGAACTGACAGGGACGGCAGAAGAAGCTCTTCGGGCGCCGGGAACCCCTGGACCTCGCCTCACCACCGCTCCCCACCACCGCCTCGTCCTCCTCCTTCTCCACCGCCGTCACCACCACCGCTGCCGCCACCGCCGCACCACCCACGGGCAGCCCAGACTCTCCAGTCAAAGCCTGCTCCTCACCTGCCCGCGGCACGCAAGGCTCTACGGCCGTCAGCGGTTCCTGCACCAACATTGGTGGCCGAGAAGGAACAGGGGTGGCCGTGATTTTGCGGAAGTAACCAACAGCACTGCGCGCGCCCTCTTCCAGTTTCATCGCGGCCGGCACCGGCCCCGCCGCCGCTGCTTCCGCTGCTGCTGCCGCAGCCGCGGCCGCCTCCGCTGACGCGGCTGATGCGGCTGCAGCCGCCACTGCAGCTGCTTCGAGTTTTGAGAGCTCTTGGGCGAAGCGGTCGGGCAGCCGCAGGCTCATGCCGTTGTCATCGTCATCATCATCCGAAAGGGGCTTCATGAGACCTGAAGGAGACAGCGGCACAGCAACGACTGTTAAGCTCGTCGCCACGGCAACACGCGTGTTTACCATCAACGTTTTATCCGCTATTCGTAACATCACCGGTGGTCAAGACGCAAAACAGTGGCAGCCAAAGGAAGGAAGACACCGTAGAATTCTAGTGTTCCCTACTTTGTATACCAAATTATAATATTGATCTTTGTTTGGCATCTCAATAGCTGTTCAGACTGGATAAATCCAATGAACTATGAAGCTCTTTTTCACAGATGTCCAGTAGGGGCGGGTCAGCAAATTACAAGTTGTTTATCCAGGAAACCCTGACGGGGTCCCAAGACTCCTTTTCAGAGTACTGCTATATCTTGGAATATTTGGTAAATTCCTTGAGTAAGGTGTTTGATTTATAAGAGGGAGGAAACCGGAGGACCTAACGAAAACCCACCATGCAGACCAGGGGTATAACACTCACAATGCCACATGGGTAGATTTAAGAATCCATTGCCATGCTGCCATCTTGTAGTCACCTCGCAGCCTAAGCCTACAACAACGAGCAGTTTTCCATATAAGCACTAACCAGCCTAACAACCTGGTTTTTTCTCTTCCCTGATGACAGTGGACCATCTCAATCGTATCCGAACGACACATGGAAGGTATGGATATTTCCCTATAAATGGAACGTTAACTACTCACCAAATTGCGAACGCAGTGAGGTGCAAACCATCAGGCATATCTCCACTGTATTGACTGCCCTATACAACAGGCTAAGTCTGGTGGAACAAGTGGACTCCACTCAGCTACACTGGATGCAGCGGAATATCTTACGAAATTAAAAATACAATTGTAGCCTGTTACTTTTTTCTCAATGCCATAAGAAAGAAGAAGACTAACCAGCTCAGGCCTGCTTATCTTCCGAGATCAGGCACATTCTGAGTTATCTGGTGACTGGCAATCGATGCTTGTTCGGCGGCGAATTTGTCCTTCTCTGAGGTGCTGGTGCTCTCTGTTCATCTGGTGCTAATTACGGTGCCACCCACTCATCTGCCAATGCTACTCACCTCTTCCCCTTACGCCGCCACTGCCACCATCATCGTTGTCATCATCGTCATCGTCGTAACTCATGTCGACATCCGACATCAGCGCCAGTTCCGCCACCGTCTTCAGCTCGGCCATCAGGGGCCCCTCACTGGTGCCGCACTCGGTGGACGACGCCGCTGGGACCTCGCCGGCGTAACAGGCCATGCTCACCGCCCCCGAAGCCATCTTGGAGCCGGCTCTCGATGGAAGAAGTTTGGGACTCTGTGTGTGTGAGAGAGCAGGTGCAAACTTCAGCTGCAGTGCAGCAGTAAGAGAACAACTCAAGTACTTTGGACACAGCTATATAGGCATCATGGGGAAAACATGTAGAATATTTAATATTGATAAATTAGTGACATATGATATATGCGCCACTATTATCATACAAGGCTATCACAAATGCACTGTGTTTCAGGGATCGTATAGTTTGCAGTCGTGTCACAGTCCGGCGGCGCTGTTGCTATGGGTAATCATAACTGAGGAATTGAGACACTGTTGATTGAATAAAGTGGAAGGAAATGGAACAGAGGTATACACAGTCCAAGATGGACAAGGTAGTATTAGAAACATAATAACCACAGCATTATATCAATGTTATAGCAAAGCACAATGTCACAGAGTGAAGTAGCTTCATCACAGGTCACCAACACTCAGTAACGAGTAGAACGACAAAGAGAGGTAATATCCGACAGCCTGACACTGTAGCCTATCTCTTTAGGCCACAGTATGTCTCTGGACGATATATGTTGTCTCCAGGGGCTATAGACTTGGGTGGGGATTTGATACAGCTGTGCCTTGTTAACTGTGAGCCCAGTCAAGGCCCCATTGTCTGGGTAACACGTGTTCCCATCTGTTACTACTGCTGCTGTGGATGGTGCACGCATGGCCCAGCCACAGTAAGGGCATGGCTTGGGAATTGTGTGGCTAAGAGGTAGGACTCTAGCAAAAGAGGGCATGTGCCGTCGAGGACATGACTAAGATGCAATAAATCACCAGGCGATGGAAACAACCCATTACGGTAACACATTGATTTTCGTAGCTAACATAATAAATAATAGATTTTTTGGAAATTATATTGTCAAATTTCTGTCGTAAGACCCTCAACCACCCGAGACAGCCAAACAAATAAAATTGTCACACCGACAAGCGTTTATAGATGCACCAACATTAATGTTCCAGCTCACTCACCAGTTAGAGAAAGATCTTTACCACAGAACGTATCAGATATTAGATATCTAAAATACAAGCATGTACTGATTGGAGTTGTTAACTCGGTGATCTGGGTTACATGAAATGTCAAAGTATTACGACATTGGTTCAGTTAAACTGGACTGGTATCAAATACAATCAACTGAAAAAGCACAATGGTTTTAATTGAGAATATATAAGCGAAAGGGAGAAAATTGCACACCAAATATATTACGTCAAAGCCACATATTACACATGATAAACAACGAATCCAAAACAAAATTAAAACGAAGAGCATTTTGCACCTCGGTTCCCTGACGATTAATAGTTTCAGTTCAAATTCAGAATAAAAGGGGACAACTTTTAAATGTAAGTGCGTACAGTAACGTTACATACAGAGAAAACAAAACACTAAAAGAATAAACTTTGAAATGTGAGGTCACAGCCAACTCATCACATGACCTATCAACGGCATTGTCCAGATCCGAGGTCAATTACAATTTGAATAACTCCAGCATTGTTCGCCGAAATTACAATTACACTGCGATTGAGATTCACTACGAAAAAGCCAATCACTATTGTAATTCACTCGAGGCCTGGTTTGTCCCAGGACTTGACAACCGAATTAGAATGCAGGAAGAACACGGCCTGCGGAGGGCAAGGCCGCGAGACGGTTTAACTTACGAACGGCATGACCTTTACTGTACATGGGAGAGGTTTTAACGTTGTTGGTAAAAAATTGCTGTGAAAACTCAGGGCATGATGGCCAGAGGTACAGCCCGCTAATGTTAAGGCTTGCCGTAAAATAGGCATAACTTCTCAAGGACATGGCCCATTCAGGGCCTGGCCTGTACAACAGACGGGGTATATGCCCAACACCTTAGGGTGATGAAAGAAATTCATAATAGGCTTTACCCTTTCCGGCAATAATATAAGAGTTAAAATGTTCAAACACCAAATAGACATCAATTGCTACGAAGGATCCCCCCATCGATACAGCTCGGGTGGTTATGGCTAAAATGTGACTCGGGAAAGCGAAGGCAGGACTCAGAGAACGCAGTGGTCCATCTGGGGTGTTGGTGGGAGGGCATTTATAATATATAGATTTTTTTTTATTTAAACAGGGAATACACTTAAAATACTCGAGGTAGGGGCCCTATTTAATAAGCTTGTACACGTGGGCCTGCCTCGCCCATATATATACCTGTTGAACTGTCTGCATCCGCCTCTGCGGAGAGCTTTAACTTACACGCGGCATTGGCCACAACATAGGGGGACGATCTATGTGAAGGGCACGGCTCGAGGGCATTGGGTTGAACGCGGCACCACCACGCAGCCCTTTATGGCCAAGCGGCCCCTGAGCAGAGCCATGAATCCAAAACCACTACAAGTAAACCTCCTCCTCCATTCCGTCCCCACCACAGCCAAGCCTGGGGCGTAAACTCACCCATACTTCGCTTTCAACATTTCCCAAAACAACTAAACAACACCGAAACAACAACAATAAACATCGGCAAGGTAATTAATCAACAAGGGTTGACTTTTAAACTCAGGACGCAGGGCCCACGATGTCGTCGCGGTCTCGCCGTGACAAACAAAACTGCGTCAACTTTTCACAAGATCAAGGTTTTGCCTGCCAATTAGTTTGTTTTTCCCCTTTCCAGAGCACAACAACAAGACAAAACAATCTGTGTAAAACTGAAGAAGCGAGAGAGGAATTCGGGAAGCCGTCTCGAATTTCACGTCGGTAACAAAACGTTGTCGAGGTGGGGGGGGGGCGAAAGATTTTAAAATCTTAACTTAAAATAAAAGTTGCTTACGCGCAAACTACAGTTAAAGCAGGAGATTTGCAAGTGGATGAAGTTTCTTTCTCCTTCTATTCAAGTATCGATTTACCTCGCGCAAACAAACGAGCAGAGGCTGATAAATAATTAATGGCGTGGGGCGCTGTCCAGCGTTGGGGCCAGAGAACGACAACCCGCCGCCGCCTTGTTCACCACCGCCACCGCCACCACGTCTCGTCTCGACAAAAAGCCATGAGCGCAACCACTTCCACCGCCGCAACAACCACGGGCGATCGCGAAACGACGACTGCAACGTCGCTCAGTCGAGTTTCGAGCAACTTTGGCGAAGTTTGAACACTTTTATTTGTGTTTGATTTCACTGCCGCGACGGGATGGTGGAGGGGGTAAGAGGCGCCTTGTTAACGGACGGAGATCGCCAAACTACAACAAACTTCACGGGCAGCAACAACTACAACAACCGCGAGTGACTGTGACTCTCACCGCCGTGGGCCCTGGAAGAAGCCGGGGGTTTGATGGAGGAGATCCGCGGGGTTCTCCGCGCTCGCTCAACTCGGCCGCATTCCTTCACAGCGCCGCTTTGAGGGCTCCGCCATCACCGGGCGCCTCTGCCCATCTTCACTTCTGCCGATCTTCCGGAAGATATCTTCCGGAAGAAGAAGGGTCTTCGTCTTCCGGAAGATGCTACTGCCCGTTCGATTGACGCTTTCGTTGAAAATAACCTTCCGGAAGATGCTACTGCCCGTTCGATTGCCATTTCACGGGTTTCCAGAAGAATCTTCTGGAAGAGTGGGTGTCTTCCAGAAGATGCGTGGCTTGTCTGAGTTTGTCGTCTCTATTTGTTCTGGAGAAATCCGATGAGCTAATAAGCTCTTTTTTGTTACAAATTGTCCAGTAAAGGGGGGAGCATGGGGTCAGAAAGTTACAAGAAACAATACAAAACCACAGACATGAGTGCAAAGTATGTATAGGAACGCTAAAGCAAATCACCGAGTAATACAACAATAAAGTTTGACGGTACTGTAGTACCAATTGCATAAGTACAGAGGACATCGATTCCTGCCGATTCGTTACGAACGGCGAGTGGCATTTTCCGGTAGAAGCGGGCGTGTTGGCGTTGATTGGGGTGGTTGTTGAAAGTTGGTTTGTTGGGTTGGGGGTTGGGGTGTTGTGCTAGATGTTGGGTGTAGGGTGTTGTTGGGGTGTTGTGCTAGATGTTGGGTGTTGTGTTGGATGTTGGGTGTTGGATGTAGGGTGTTGTGCTAGATGTTGGGGTGTTGTGCTAGATGTTGGGTGTTGTGTTGGATGTAGGGTGTTGTGTTGGGGTGTTGTGTTGGATGTGCTATGCGTTTTGTTGGATGTAGGGTGTTGTGTTGGATGTAGGGTGTTGTGTTGGATGTAGGGTGTTGTGTTGGATGTAGGGTGTTGTGTTGGATGTAGGGTGTTGTGTTGGGGTGTTGTGCTAGATGTTGGGGTGTTGTGCTGGATGTTGGATTGGGTGTTGGATGTGCTATGCGTTTTGTTGGATGTAGGGTGCTGTGCTGGATGTTGCCGGGTTGGGTGTTGTGGTGGTTTCTAGATGTTGTGTTGAATGTTGGGAGGGTTGTGTTCGATGCTCGGGGGTTGGGTGTTGACTTGTGTTGTGTGGAGCTGCAACTTGGGTTGAGTTGGGAGGGGTCTTCCGAAAGTAGCACAGAACGGTCTTGTTTTATTCAAATCTTCTGGAAGTCGTAGATTAGTCTTGGAACGCAGAGTAGAAACTTCCGGAAGAGTCAACACACTTCGACTTGTCGGACTGCGTGTTCTCAATGTCCACGCTCTTTCCCCCGCTGTATTTTAAAATAAATTATAAGAGGTGCGTCTTATAATCCGGTAGTTATGCGAGACATTTGTAGAACTTTATTGGGCTGCGTCTTATAATCCGGTAGTTGTGCGAGGGACCAGCAGGATTATTTCAATGCGCCTTTATTTCATTGGCAAATAGGAACCCACAAGTCATCTCATGGCAAATATTAATATTTTTGACATCTGAACAATCACTCCACCACACTCTCGTGTAAACATTCGTGCACGCCCCAATATGCACCTGTGCAGATTCACACGCATGTGCCCGCACACTGACACACATGGAACATATGACCCTTGTGGGTGGGGGGGGGGGGGGTCTTAAGATTCATAGCCCACAACCCTATACGGGGTGCGAACCAGGGTCGACAAGGGCGGTGAGCCTCGCCTTTGAGTGGCACTTCTCACCACGTGACAGTCCTCGAATGTGAATTAATAACGCCCACCGTTCATTCGGGCCGAATTAAGTTAAGAACTTAAATTTGCTCTACAATGATGCCCTTTGCTTTGTGCAGTCACTGGCTTTGTTCCCACCGCAAGTAGTTTAGCCGATAGATGTAACCTTGCAATTAAATCGGTGTCCTCAGTGCAGGGCCGGCGGTCGAGACTAAGGACGGAGTGGCAGCCAAAATATGGGAAGCGGTCCGTTCCTCTCGAGTTCGTTCGCCGCGGATGAAACCGGCTCGCTCGGAGCTCGATAAATAATTCCATCGCGGGAGCATGAGAAATGGTGAAAGCTTTAGGCGTTCATCCAGCAGTGGACGGGGCTCGACCAATGGTGAACTAAAGAGACTGTCACAAGCACAATTGGAACCCATGCGTTATCTGCATACAATTTGCAGCCGTGCGAATCTCTTCAAGACGCCCCCCGCGGCTGATTGAGAAACGTTGGTTGGCTCTCATTTGTGTAGAAACGGGTTCCTGCCGACGATTACGTAACTGGGTTAAACTTTCCTAAAAAAACGTAACATGTGCACGTCAGTTTGCTTACGACAACGCAGGGCTTAATTTCAGCTGGGTCTGCCCCAAATTATATATTTGCACATGGAACACCACATCGATCAAAGCCTCTCGCTATGGCTACTACTACTATTCGTGTGCACAATGCTCCAATTTACCAGCGACCAATCCAGCGAGAAAATGAGCCCGAACTTCAAAGGAAACACAGCAATGAGTGACTGACGGGGTCCAAGGCATCAATTGTTCCCGTCCACCCAACCCACAGCCGTCAGTGAAGTTTCACCACGGGGTGGGACTTGAAACCCAAAAACTCCTCTCGTCCCGGTTTTTCTCACCCAGACTCTCGGCTGGAAACGGCAGGCACTAGTCGTGACAAACTTTGGCATCGTTATGTGAACGGCGACTTCCCCACCCCCCCCCCAAAGATAAAGATCCTTTGTCTTCCCAGTGGCGATGTTTTTACACACCGCAAGAGGTACTCATTTGAGGCTGAGTCGACCTAGGGGAGGCCCATGACCAGCCGTGAGCGAGAATCGAACCCGGGTCGCTGGATTCGTAGCGCAGTGAGCTCACCGCAACACTACCGCTCCCCACCCACGTAAACGTATACGGCAATCCCAAAGAGACCTGAGTCACCCTCTCCTCTTCCCGTCGATATTAAAGTCACCCCACCCCAACAAGTACTTCCACCACCAGAGTAATAACATCCAGTGGTGCCATGTTGTTGGCAAGGACCCTGGTGCAAGGGCATGGACCCTGGTGCAAGGGCACGTGTTTTGTGTGTTTAGTGGCACACCGCTTCACAGCAACTTAGTGTCTTGCATCACAGCTCATCTCAAACATTCCAACGCCTTGCTGCAATATAGCCAAGGGGACCCCCTCCCCCCACCCCTATAGGCAGCTGTCTCGACGTGGTAGTGTGCACAGCACCGACCTGCTAAGTCAGCATTCGTCTGCCAGAGTAGGGGGGGGCGACGCAGCTATGTGGTTTTACCCTATTAAGTAATTTTCTAATCACTTAAAAAAATCAGGATTAATTTTGTACCATGACGCTGGCACACTTTTGTCCAATCCCCCCTCCACCCCCCATCTTCGGAGCCCAGCGCCCGGGCCCCGGTGCAGTTGCACTGCCTACGCACTCAACAGCTAAGCCACCGGTGTGTGCGCGCGCTTACACACGTCACACGCATCGCACAGGATTGTTGGTTGCAGCTGGGCTGCTTTCACAGGACTCAAGCCGGTAAAAAAAAACAATAATTACAGAGGCGTCTGTGTAAATCTAAGCTGCACCTCAGGTACAGTGCTCTTGTATACTGGCTTTAAGAATATTTTATTCAGAATACGACATGGCTTCGCCATTGGTTTCGCCGTCCCATATTCATCAGCACGGCGCAGCGCCGCTCACCGATGCCACTGGGTTGCCGTCGCAACCTGCTGCGGTTTTTCAAGCCAGGCAAGGCCCACCCCACCGCAAGTTAATGACGCCATGGTGACAGAAAAGTAAAGTGGAATTGGCAGGAATGAAGGCCGGGGGTCGAGTCTTAATGACCGAGTAGCAGCCAAAGAAGGGAACAGGCCCAAGCGCTAACGTCCACCACCGCGGAGACGGAGGGAAGAAACAAACTTGCGGCAAGGCAGCAAGACGGATTGTTGCATCGCAAAACTGAAAAATGGCAGAGGATTGGGGGGGGGCACCTGCAACTAAGCAGTTTATTATTAATCGTGGCTAATGATAAGGATGGCGACGACTCTCAACGGGCCCTCACCCAGGCTAAATAAATGTAAAAGATGTCAAAACGCAGGCCTGAAATTGCCTGCCCACACCACTGCTGGCGAAAGCGCCTCCACTTGAAGAAGCTCTGGAGAGCCCCCGGTATGCTGCCTCCTCCGTGACGTTGGCCAGACAATGTTTGAAGAGGCGAGAGTTCCCACATTTACACCACCACACGCGACCCACCCATCGGGCTCTGAAAAGTTATTTCGCCCCAATGGTTTACGCCGCATTTTAGACCGATGGAAAGAAATCAATCAATGCGACGGAGGGGGGCAAATGTTTCCGGACAGAACAAACTAAAAGTTACGGACAGAGGAAAAATAAAATAATCGATTCCCCGAATCGAAGATCCTAAATACTGCGACAATTCATCCAGTCGCTGGGAGGAAATTGCTGCTGGCCTGACCCGCATACGGCGATAACGATTGGTCCTTGCGTCACACATCAGGTCCGTTGTGAACCACGTGTGGTCAGCTCTTAATTATCCGTGCTTCAAAATGAATGTCTTTGTACGAGCCCCTTCTGTCAGTTATCCTCTCCTTACTCGTCGAAGGGCCAGTGACTTGGTGCCTGCGTGACCACGAGCACGTCTGGAAGTAAACCGGTTCCTTTGAGAAGCAATGACAATAGACAACGCACTCTGCGTCTTCACCCTCGCTACACAAAGGCAAACGTCTATTAGGGGGTTGTAGCCTAATCTACTACGTACGTGGTGCATTATCCATGTTGTCGTTTTATTCGGGCCCGCCCCTCTCCCCCCTCATTTCCCAGGATAATCGAGAGTTGACTAATTGCAGGTATAATTGGTCCTAATTCGGCTTAGCATTGGTCTACCTTTAGCACATGTCCCTCGACTTAATGCCAACCTCAACTTAACTACTCCACAGTGACATTACCGATGGCCAAAACAAGAAAAAGCAAAACATCTGGCGACCTGCTACATCTAATATAATACGGCAACATACCACAATAATAACGAAAAATAACACGCTTTTGATCAGAAATTTGTACAAATAAAAAACGAGAAGATAAATGAGTTGGCGTTTTTAAGCGCTTATAAGCGCGCGCGCTGATTGGTGAACTGCAGGGCTCGTGCAGAGCGCGCGCGTGCCGGCTGAGTGCCGAGTTGCTACCGGCCGCCCCCCGTGCATGCCAGCTGGGCGGGCACGCCTTAACGAGGAGCTCCCTCCGCCAACGACATTCCTTCCCGCGGCGCATGGCGACCTGGTGTGGAATGACCGTGATGTTGCACATTAACTGTGCTCCAGTGACGAGCAAATGACCGTCCTTGCGACTGTTCCAGTAATGGCTCGGCAGATGCATTTAAGGTAAAGACATCGCCAAAACTACCTTGCCTCGTGATCGCAGGACCGAACTGGTTACTGATAAAGTGACTTTGCCAAACGACCTCTCTCCGGTGATTGCTTTGGATTATTCGATATCACTTTCACGATCTTGCCTGTAAATCGCTGAACGACCCCGTTCTCAGATTAAAGCCGTTTCGCTTCATGGTTGCGGTCTGGGATCGCTGAATTCATTTCAGGTGAAGCCAATTAATGTAATCATTCCACTAGTGATGGCCGAACGATCCCAGACGAAGCCATCTCACCGCTGGAGGACAGATGCCACCACCAGTCACCCTCTCCCAAATACGTTCCCCGTTAAATAACACTCCCTATGGCATCACACCCTTCCATGGAATCACTCCCCATGGCGTCACATCCTCCCATGGCATCACACACTCCATGGCATCACACACTCCCGCGTGGCTCCACACCATCTCATGGCATCACACATTCCCCGTGGAATCACACTCCCACGGCATCACTCCCCGTAAGGTCACCACTCCCCGTGGCGTCACGCCATTAACGGTCGTGCGGCACATCACCACGACGAGAAGAACGGCTTGCGGCTGTTGAAGGTCTGTGTGAAGGCGTCGCTGAGTGTGCGGATGCGCGAGCCCCCCGTGCCACCCCCGGCGCTACCGGCACTGCGCTCGATGAGCACGCACGGCATCCCCACCAGCTGCAGCGGGGAGCGTCCGTCGCGCAGAGCCTGCGTCAGGTTCAGGATCTGGCGACAGCAAGGGGGACGCGGGGACAACGCGGAAGAGGGGAGTCACGGTTGAGGAGAGATGGTGTGAGTGTATGAGTGTTTGTGTGTGCACGCATGAGTGTGTGTGTGTGCGTGTGTGTGGCGTAGCGGTTGGCACGCTGCACTATGAACCCGGCGAATATCTGAACTGGTCCTGGGCACCCCCTATGTCGATTCAGTCTTAAATGAGGACCCGTGTGCAGTGTAAAACATGAGCACTGAAGAGATAGCGGTAGCCAAGAGTGGTTCTGGCCCTACCACCACCACTTTGTGTGCCAATCTGGCCTTCATAGGTGCTCGTTACCAGCACTTGCCCCTACAGTCTGTTCAGGCTGCACAGGGGATTTTTATAGAGGTAAGAAGCAGCTTCTGTTTGGCTGGATAAAGGGGCTAAACGGATGCAGAACGGATTACAGAAGAGATGGACTGATGCGGTACAGAAAGATGTTCAAGCTGATGGAGACTTGGCAATAACCAGTACACCAGCGGTGATTAAATCAGCCTCTGTGGAGGCTCGTGAAGGATGCTGCTGGAAAACTGTAAGCAGTCACCCTCCAGCAACAAGTGAGGGTGTAGAGCATCCACACTAAGCGGAGCGCCGGGCAGCTAAAATGCCGCAAGTTGGCACAGTGGGAAGCGCAAGTGGTGCATCTTACAGTCATCTCAGTCATTCAACCCATAACACACCCGAGTCTGCCCTGTGACCGCCTGCCAGTGAACCTTCCACCCTTCACACGATAGCTTCAACGTGCACCTAGGCTGGCACAAATCGCCGTCTGTGATGACATCACCACCACCAAGTGGCGAGCGGCAGCCGATGTTGCTGCAATGTGCGCGTAAATTTGGCAGTCCGCCCTCACCTGTCCTCTCATCACCGACATCTGCTTCTCAAAAATTGTTCGGTCGAATCCTTTGTCTTCCTACAGCACCGAGCAGCACGCACACACAAACATGATTAATTATTACAGCATCGTCGTAATTATTATAAATTACAACCCCTTGTGTGTTATCGTGTTAGTGTCACTGTGTCAGTGTTACTGTGTTATTGTTATCGTGTCAGTCTCACTGTGTCACCCTCACTGTGTCAGTGTCACTGTGCCAGTGTCACTGTGTCTGTGTCACTGTCAGTGTTATCATGTCACTGTCAGTGTTATCGTGTCAGTGTCATTGTGCCACCGCTGGGATGTGCGTGCCTTGAACAGCTCGTAGAGATCCTCCACCAGGTCCTGCACAAAGTTCATGTCGGAGATCTTTGGCAGCACGAGGTCACACGTGTCCTGAGAGAAGGGAACCTTGGCCTGGGGCAGCCACGCCCAGTAGAACGGATCTACACATACACGTGTACACACACACGTGTACTTATACATCTGTATAATACCAATACCCGCCATTCACCACGAAGTGACGGTGACGTCACCACGGCACCGGTGCCAGGCCAGGTATACAAAAATCTGTAAAATACACGTGAACACACAAATACACGCGTGTACTTATACATCTGTATTACACACGTGTACACACACGTACACAAATACACGTAGTTATTTATATATACACAAAAACACGTGTATATAAACACGTGTACACACAAATACAGGAAGCATATACACACGCACACAAAAATACACGTTACAACAACTGTCGTCCTCCACGAAGTGGCGGTGACATCACCACTGTGCTTGTGCCAGAGTTGGTGTATCGTGCAAACAAACGCCACCCTCAGCAATTCACTTGACAGGTCATCTCTGCCGGGCGTTTTCCTGGTCTCAGCCTCTGGATGACCCTTGGCACTTCTACAACGGATGGCACATCAGCCAGCCACTCACAGGAAGCGGCGTGCATCTAAGTCACCAACACGTGGATGAGGAACCAAGCCAGGGTCCTGTCCATTGTAGCTACTCCCAGTAACTAGCGTAGTTAGCCTGGTGGTCCACCACCATAGGTTATCTGGTAAAGGGGCAGTAACCCAGCAGGGATGAGCACTCTGAACTCGCTCAATTGAAAAAGAGAGATGACATTGTCATCCTTTCAGCTGACAAGGGAAATACCACGGTCATCATGGATAAAACCACATACAACAACAAAATCCAGGACCTTCTTAATGATGGCAGTTATACTAAAATCAACAAAGATCCTACCAAACGCCTGGCTACAAAAACCAACAATATCATCACTAATTCGACTTCTCTAATCAAACTGACCAAGCAGCTCTCTCTAAACCCTTCGGCTGCTAGACCACCCAGATTTTATGGTCTTCCAAAAATCCATAAAAAAGGTACTCCACTCCGTCCTATCGTTTCTACCATCAACTCACCTACGTACAAATTGGCCCGATTTCTGTCTGAGACCCTGCTTCTATTCACGGGCAAGACCACCTCAGCAGTACTTAATTCAGCTCACTTGGTTTCTCTAATAAAGGACATTTCAGTCTCCAGATGATTTGCTTGTCAGCTTCGATGTAGTCTCTCTGTTCATCAAGGTATCTGTACCTGACACCATAGCAATCATTGAAGACTTGGTCCAACATGGACTAAATCCTGATGTACCAACTTTGGTGAGGCACTGCCTTACCAACACTAACTTCATCTGGAATGGTACATTCTACAAACAAAATGAAGGTACCCCTATGGGTTCTCCCTTATCACAAGTGGTCGCGAATGTTTTCATGTAGAAATTTTAACCAAGCAAAGTCGTAACTTGCTATGGTGCTTCCATTCTTCCCTGCCGTTTGGCTGCTATCTCCGACTCTCTGAGTTGCAATGCCCTGTTAGGTGCCTCTGCATTAACGGGCTGGGGTCTCACTAACATGGCCACCTCTGCTCCCTTAGCCTCGATGTATCGATGGTTTTGGCTGTGTGATGGGCTTTGTGTCTCACTGGCGCGACCACAGTTGCGGTGGTTCTCTTGCATGGACGCACTTGCCTCTCACAGCAGTTGGCAGCGCCGCAGCTTGTGTTACACATAGACATGACATTAACTTGCTAATCCCCCTAATCTCTATGCCTAATCTCTCCCAGCAACATAGTGCTGATCTCCCATCAACACTGCTGTTGTGAGCATATGCGGAGACGATACTCTTATGCTGCGACGGAAGCTCATTTCATGCTCATCTCTTTACCTAATCTCTCTCTCCCTCATCTCCCCCATTAATACAACTGACGTGCTTGCGTCCGGGGATGGAATTCCTTTCCAGCTCAGACCCGGCCTGCTTGCCCTTCGCCACATATTTAACCTCTTGTTGTAACAGCTCTCTTGCTGGTTCAGCAGTTCCACTGCTGGATTATTTTTTCCGCCTGAGGACGACCGCTTGTGTTGTGATCAAAACGCCGTAATATATTATTTTTTATTTAATTTTTCTACCTACGTGACTTTACTGAAAGAACCAAAGAGTATGGATTCCTGCAGTCACGAAAGCTTCAAATCAAGATTGGGCAGTAACCCCTTTGTGTTAATGTGTTGGGTGTAAATAAATGTGTTGCCTCCAAGAAGTACATCTTCGACTCAGTTGAATCCACTCCACTTGCATTAGAATATATAGAGCAGTTCATATTTTGATGGTATCATGTGGTAATGCTCCATCACATTTAAAATCTAGTACACAGTGAATATTGAACTGAAGCTTGACTTCAAAAAATCTAATCGCAAATCAAATCGCAATATCGGTCAGCAAAATCGCAATTAGATATTTTCCCAAAATTGTTCAGCCCTAGCGCAGTGCGCCAACCGCTACACAACTGCTCCACCATGACCTCCACATACACACACACGCAAATATGCATTCCAAAACCCGGCACGCAAGCGGGGGGCCGGGTGGCACAGAGGTCAGAGCGTTGAGCCGGCACTGCTGAGATCCTGGGATCTCGTCTAGGCTTCAACCGGATTCAAGTGTAGCGAGTTGATGGCCTCAGCCTGGTCACCAACCACTCACATAAAGAGACCAATGGACTCGCATAGAGACCCACAGAAACACATTGAAACCCACAGAGACCGGCTTGTCATTAAACTGGGATCTCAAGTGTAGTGAAGTTACGGTCTCAGCTCAGTCACCAGTGACTCACATTGAGACCCATTGTCTAAACATAACATCTCGCTCTTCTTTGGTTTTTTCGGTAAGGTCACGTAGGTAAAAAATAAAAATAAATTATATCACGACGTAATTACAGCTCATGTGACGAACATTACTCTTGTGTGGCAGGCTGGGTGGATGGGAAAGTGTTGCTCCCCTACTGCGTGGAGCTGGAACATGAGATAGGAGCAGAGAGAGAGAGCTAGGTGAGGTAGACGGGAGAGCCAAGGGAGACACTCACACGCTCGCCACGAGTCCGGGTGCTTGAAGGGAAACGCAAGGCCGTTGTCAATCGCCGCGATTCTCACGGCCGGCTCCCGCTCCACAGCCTCCTGTGTGGCCGCACACACGGGTACAAGACAAAGATCCCCCCGTATAGCCTTAACAGACCATTGGGGAAAGTGCTGTTAACGAGCAGTACCTATGAAGGTTGGCACAGCACATGAGGGGGTGGGTGGGTGGCCAGCACCACTCCCGGTCGCCTTTGTCTCCCCAGTGGTGATGTTTACACACTGTACCCAAGTATTAATTGCAGGCTGAGATGACCTCGGGGAGGCTCGAGACTGGTTCAGAAAATCGTCACTGATGTTCTGCCGTGAGCAGGAATCGAACTCGGGTCGCCAGGTTCGAAGCACAGCGCACTAGCCGCTCCACTACCATAAACACACAAGGCAAAGAACGCCCGTATAGCCTCAACAGACTGTTCGGGCAAGTGCTGTTAGTGAGGAACTATGAAGGCCAGCATGATATGAGGGGGTGGGTGGTCTACGTAAGGGAGGCCCAGAACCGGTTCAGATAATACACACCAATGTTGGCTGTAAGCAGGAATCGAACTTGTGCCCCCAGGTTCGAAGCGCAATGCGCTAACCGCTTGACTACCGCTCCCCACACGAGTACACACACGCACGCGCGCACGCACACACAGACAGGGAGACTCCCCTTGTGCGCGTGACTCGCTCACCTGCTCCTTGTCCTTGTCCGTCTCCTTGCGAGGTTCATACTTAATGAGCCAGTTGTCATTGCCACGGTCTGACACCGCCAGCCGCAGCCACCATTTCACACCATCACAACGAGAATTGTAACGGGTCAGTGTTAGCGGCTATGGGTTCGTGTACGTACTGTGTGTCAGTGTTATGTCAGTGTCATGTCTTGCTGCAATATCAGTGTTAAAATACTCAATTCGGATTAAAGTACAACACTGCAGCATCATCACGGTCTACTGAAAAAACCTGGCAGGATCGCTCAGAAAAAGAGTCATGAGACTCCGTGATGCTTTGCTGGATAAACAAGTACAATAACAATAAATAATAACATGTCACTGCTGTGTCCGTGTGAGGATTGTGTGCCCCTCCTGTGTGTCACTGATGTGTCCCTATGAGTGTTGTCTGTTACACGTGTGTCACCGCTAGGTGTCATTGCTGTGTGTCTATGCAAGAGTTGTGTCACGACTATATGTCATTGTTGTGTGTCCGTATGAGTCATGTCTGTCAATACTGTGTCACTGTTGTGTCCACATGAGTGTTGTGCGTCACTGCTGTGTGCTACCGCTGCATGTCAGTGCGAGTGCTGTGTGACCGCTGTGTTACCGCTATGTGTGACCGCTATGTGTGACCGCTATGTGTCACCGCTGTGTGTGACCGCTATGTGTCTCCACTGTGTGCCACAACTGCGTGTCTGTGCGAGTGCTGCGTGTGACCTCTGTGTTACCGCTGTGTCCCCGCTGTGTGTCACCACTGTGTGCCACCGCTACGTGTCGGTATAAGTGCGATGGTGGCGAGCGCACCGGTGTTGCGGATGATATAGTCGAGGCACACAAGCTTCTCGAACTCAAGCTGCAGCTGCTTGTTGGTGTTCTCTGGCAGGGGCTCCACCTCGAAGCGTCGCAGCCAATCCTCGGCATCTTTATAGCCCTCCACGAACAGCTGCAGAGAGCCTACCTACTCACACAGACAAAGACCCCCCCCCCCCTATTGCCTTAACAGACTGTTGGGGCAAGTGCTGTTAGCGAGTAGCACCTATGAAGGCAGGAACACCTTTGTATCCCCAGCGGCTGTTTATACACCACACTAGTTTCTCAATTGAGGCTGAGTCGACCTAGGGGAGCCCCACAACTGGTTCAGATAATCGTCACTGGTGTTGGCCATGAGCGGGAATCGAACTCGGATCGCTGGTTTCCCGATGCAGTGCGCTAACCCCTACGCTACCGCTCCCCATTCACGTACGCAGATACACACAAAGACACAGATCCCCCATATAGCCTGAACAGACCGTTGAAGCAAGTACTGTTCGCGATTATGGCACAAGCAGGGGTGGGTGGACAGAACGACACCTTTATCTCTCCAGTGCTGATGTATTCACACCGTACCACGCACTCGCCGATGGCCTAATCGACCTAGGGAAGGCTCAGAGCCAGTTCAAACATTCACCACTGGTGTTGGCCATCAGCGGGAAACTCGGGTCACCAGGATCGTAGCACAGTGTGTTAACCGCTACTCTACTGCTCCCCACTGCACACACATACACACGCACTTTCACACTCGCAACCAAATTTCACACTCGAATACAAAATCACAAAGTTAAAGATCCCCCGTGTAGCCTTTAAAAGACTGTTGCCACAAGTGCTATTCAGCGAGCACCTATGAAAGCCAACATGGCACACGAGGGGGTGGGTGGACAACACTACACCCGGCCGCTTTTGTATCCCCTCTGCTGATTTTATGCAGCACGCCAGGTAGTTATTTAAGATTGAGTTGACTGAGGGGAGGCGCAGGATCGGTTCAAATATTTTCCACTGATCGTGAACATCGAACTCACGTCACTGGGTTTGTAGCACAGTGCACTAACCACTGAGCCACCGCTGCCCACAAAATCATGAAACAAAGACAAAGATCCCCCCTATAACCTTAAAAGACAGTTGGGGCAAGTACTATTATCGAGCACCTATACAGGCCGGGAAGGTACACGAGGGGGTGGGTGGCCAGCAAAAAAGCCCGGCCACCTTTGTCTCCCGAGTGGCAATGTTTTACACAAACACACCAGGTATTCATTTGAGGCCGAGTCTATCCAGGGGAGGCCGGGTTCGTAGCGCAGCGCGGTAACCGCTACACTACCACTCCCTACGCAACACACATAACAATGACGTAATTCACCACTACAAGGTGGCGACAAGCACATACCTTAGGCGGAAGGCCGATTCTGTGGAATCTGCGTCCGATCTCCGGCACTCGTTCCAGCGCAAGCTTCTTGCCACGTGACTTGGCGCGGTCGATGGCTCCGTAGTGAAATGCCTCACTTGCTAGCCACACCACCTGCACACGCCACCACCACAACAAATACCACAAACCGTAGTAAAACGCCTCGCATGGTAGCCACACCACCTGCACCCACCACCATCACAACAACCGAAATGAAACAACTCGCTCGCTAGCCACAATACCTGCACACGCCACCACCACACTCACAACTGTAGTGAAATGCCTCACTCTCCAGCCATACCACCTACATATCCCACCACCACAACCAAGTCCTCGATCCATCTCCTCTTGATCCCCCATCAATCCCCTCCATCACCCTGCGTCTCCCCCTGTTCCCATTTGTCCCCTTATTAAACCTATTTGCTCATCTTCGTGTTTTCCACCAAGATAAAGATGAAATCATAGCCCAAGTCGTTGATACTACCGCCACCACCATCAACACCCCCCCCCACCACCACCTTACCTCACCGCTACCAACTCATTTCCACTCCGCCAGATCCTGCAGCTGCTGCACAGGAGACACGGAACCTCCTTCTCTACCACTTCTCCCATCTCCATGTCCCCGTGTTTGTCCCCCCGTCTCTCCACAATGTATCCATGTCTGTCCCTGTGTGTGTATCCGTGTGGAGAGCAGTAGTGTAGCAGTGAGCATGCTGCATATGAACCCGGTGACCAGAGTTCGATTCCTGCTCATGGCCAACACCAGTGACTATTATCAGAACCGGTCCTGGGCCTTCTCTAGGTCGACTCAGCCTAAAATGAGTACCTGGTGCAATGTGTAAACATCACCATTGGGAAGACATGGGCGACCGGCCGTGGTGTTGGCTGCCTACCCCCTCGTGTGCCATGCCAGCCTTCATTAGGTGCTGCTTGCTATCAACACTTGCCTCTACAGCCTGTTGAGGCTATACGGGGGATCTTTGGGTGTCCATGTGCGTGTCCCCCAGTCAACGTCTCCCCCCCTCACCCCACCACCGTGTCCATCCCCCCGGCTCCCCCCTCGCCACTATGCGCCGTGTATCTCCGCACCTTGGTCTTGGGCACGATGTTGAGGCCGAGCGTGGAGTCGACGAGGCTGGCGCCAGCCTCGGACAGGTAGCCCTGGTTGAGCACCAGGCAGTCCCGGCCGAAGCAGCAGGGGCAGCACAGCTTCTGCAACCATTTGGTCCACTTGGGGTTGAGCTGCCCATACGGCTCCTCAGACTTGGGCTTGAACACCCCCACGGACTTCTGCGCACGGTGTCGCGCGTGCAGAGACAACAATCCCCAATGGGGGCCGGGTGGTGACATTCGCGCCCCGCAACAACAAGGACCCAGGGATTGATTCCTGGCTCGGGTGTCTATCTACATGGAGTTTGTGTATGTTCTCTCTCCTCTCTCCCCCCCTCTGTTCTCCAGTTTCTCCAGTTTCCTCCCATAGTAAAAAAAAGATGTACAACATCGTTGGTATTGGACCAAAACATCCCCAATGATCAAAAAATACCCGCAAGATACTCAAATCAGGTTATACAAAGAAGCAACCTCGCCCCACTACTGTAAAAAAATACTTGGCAGGACCCTCCTGAAGAATTTTTAGACTTTTTTGAGTAAGCAGAGTAAAATGAAGTGAATGATATGTGTGTTTCTGTTGACATCTGTTCTGCAACCCCTCAGGGGAGTCTGAGGGGAATGGTAGCACAGTGGTTAACGATCTGCGTTGAAAACCAGGCAACCCCAAATTCGATTCCTGGGGGAGTGGGGCGCTGTGGTGGAGGGATGTGGTAGTGTGTGTGTGTCTTTATGTGGGTCCATGTGTACATGTGTGTGTTTCTGTGTGCCATACATGTGTATGTATGTTCGTGTTTGTGTGTAGATGTGTGTAGGTGTGTGTATGTATATGTGGGGAACGGTGGTGCAGCAGGTAGTGCACTGCACTACAAACTCGGCAACGAGAATTCGATTTCCGCTCGCGGCCAACACCAGTGACGAATATTTGAACCAGTCCTGAGCCTCCCTTAGGCCAACTCCATCTCAAATGATTACCTGATGCGATGTAAAGTATAAACATCGCCAATGGGGAGAGAAAGGCGGCCGGGCATGGTGCTGATCACCCACCCCCTCGTGTGCAGTGAACAGCCTTTATAAGAGTCTCATTAACAGCACTTGCCCGCAACAGTCTATAAAGGCAAAACAGGGGAACTTTGTCTTGTATAGGTGTGCGTATGATATGTATATGTGGTGGGCGGTAGTGTAGCAGTTAGTACGCTGCGCTGCAAACCTGGCGATGCGAGTTCGATTCCCACTCATGACCAATAACAGTGGCAAATATTTTAACTGGTCCTGGGCCTCCCCTAGGTCAACCCAGCCTCAAATGATTAACTGGTGCAATGTGTAAACATCACCACTCCAGAGAGAAAGGTGGCTAGGTGTGGTGCTGGCAGTGGGTCGTTAGCAGCACTTGCCCCAATAGTCTGTGGAGGCTATACGTGGGATCTTCAGTAGTGTCCCCAACCCCTGCCCCACGACCTCTCACCCCTGACAGATCTCGCACAAAGTAGCTGCCGCTGGAGCCCTGCGAGATCCTCTGCGGCTCCACGCCGGCCTCCATGGCGCGCTCCACGCTGCACACCACTTCCGAGAACTGCTGGTCACGCGGGAACGCGTTCAAAGAGTCGGGGGCGGCGGCAGTGTGCGGAGACGAGGGGGAGTCGCGCCGGTGGTGGTGGTGCTGGTGGAGGTAGTGGTGGTGGTAGGGACTTGTAGGGCACAGCTGACCGTCCCTGCCGGATGGAGGCACCGACGTGAGCAAGCACGCTTTGGGAGCACCTCTACAGGACCCCGCAAGACCAGGAAGGTCACGGGTTCAATCCCAACCCTCATGCCTGTTGTATATTTGGAGTGGTCATGTAGATTTTTTTCACTGGGACCTCCAGTTTTTCCTTCCACATTTAGAAAAATGCATTTAGATTATTAAGATTATTTGGCTGCTATACATTTCCACATGATAAGCCACTTTGTTGAGCTATCATTTGTGGCCAGGTCGCTTCAGAAAAAGAAGCTAAAAGCTCAGTGGGCTTCAACTGGTAAAATAAAATAGTTCAGTTTAATTTGTATATTATTTTAGTGATTAGTTTACCTTTCCTATACTTTGCACTCCTATTGTGTTTTTGTATTGTTTATTTTTGTAATGTTGTGACCCGCCCCTAAAGGACATCTGTGAAAAAGAGCTTTATAGCTCATCGGATTCTCACACTGGATTCCTCCACCCGTGTTGAAGACTTGGTCTACCAGACACTGTTTCATCTCATCCCCCACAACGTGTTCTCAACCATCAGCAACACCGCACTGCAGGTCACAACAACACTCTCACTCACCCACTCATTCATGCACACACTCACTCAATCACTCACCCAATCACCCATTCACTTCACTCGCCCACTCATTCATTTAACCACTCACTCAGTCGCACACTCACCCATTCACTCACTCGCCGACTAATACACACACTTATCCACTCACTTGCCCACCCATTCACGCACCCATCCACTCAACCACTTAACTTTTCTATCACTACTACTGCCATGGTTACTACTGTCCCCCTCTTTATCGGTTTCATCTTTGATAGGGCTGCCTGTTTACTGGCCGTTTGACGCTTTGGGACTCTGAGCCTTTGCTCAGCGACTGCGTTAACAAAAAATTACCACGTGTACACATGCTCAGGCACCACCACCGCGCTTGTGCCAGGCTAGGTGTACCCAGACGCTGATACAGACACACACACAACAGAGACACACTTCGCGGTGACGTTCCCACCAGCAGCGGCCGTGCCAGGCTAGGTTCACTCACAGACACGCATACACACCATGCATACACGATCACGGACACGTATACTGTACAGTATATACACACACACAGTGACGTCACCGCTACACTCATACCAGGCTAGGTCCACCTTTTGACACTCATACACAAAGACATCACGTACAGCATTAAGACTGTTGGAGCAAGTGCTCTCGCGAGCACCTATGGTGGCCAACACCACACACACACACATTGACGTCACCACCACACTCGTGCCAGGCTTGGTGCACCCATAGACACTCACACACCCCACACCCTCTAAAGGCGAAGGCACACACACACACAATGACGTCACCGCCACACTCGTGCCAGACTAGGTGCACCCACCGTCCCCTCAGGTCCCCCGCGGACGAGGCGGCCAGGAGCGGCTCCTTCTCGCCGTCGCGGCCGGGAGATCCCGGGGGAGACTCCGGTACCCTCACGGCGGCGCCGGGCCCGGCCTGGGGCTCGAACCCGACCCGGGAGAAGGCGAGGCTGGCGGGTCGCGGGGTCGAGCGGCCCGGGACCGCGGCAGGGCCGGAGGCGGCGGCGGCGACGGCGGCGGTGGACCCGGCGACTGCGGCGGCGAACACCTCATCCTCCTCATCGCCGTCGTCGTCGTCTTCGTGGTCTCTCAGAGCCTTCATCATCATGGCTTGGGGCAGGGGGGGGAGCAGGGAGACGAACTGTGGACACGGCAACTTGGTCGAGTGGTTATGGTGAGAGGGGTGCAGAGGCGGTGGCTTCCTGTTGGGAGGGCGGGGCTGAGAAATGACGTCATGTCACCTCGAGTTGGCAAGGAATGCGCGAGGGCGTCGTGGCGCACGTGGCGTTAGTGGTGACGTCACAGAGCCTCGTGTTGAGGGTGACGTCACGGCGTGCACCGTGCGGTCTGGTGTGCGTGCCGATGTCTCGAATGTGTTTTTGCGATGGAGGAGAGATTAAAGCGGTGCGTGATGACGTAGTTTCCACGCGAATGATCTGCGCGCCAGAGCGTCCTATTACGACATTGTGATTTATCAACAGCCTAAGCCGACGTGTTTCAGTGCGTCATTATGTCATGCGAGGTTAGTGGGTCATAGAGTGGCTCAAAGTGCACCTGGCTTGGCACGGGCGCCGCGATGACGTCGCCGCCACGGAGTGGCGAATGGCGTTCGTTGGCTATAGATCCGGTGGGTGAAGAATTCACGGATCCTGAAAGATTTGGGACACAGTCCCCATAATGGTTGAGCTCCTCCAGCAGGGGAGGCTGCATTGGCTGGCCCACGTAGCCCGCATGCCCAGCAGCCACCGCATGCCCAAGCAGCTTCTGTTCGGCCGGATAGAGCGGACTAAACGGGCACGGGATGGGAGAGAAAAGAGATGGACTGATGCCGGTACAGGAGCACGTGGAGCTGAGTGAACTTGCCGATGATAGCGGTGTCAAGATCCGCCAGTATTGAGGAGGCCTCTCGTGAAGGAAGCTGCTGAGCAGTTAAGAGGCAGTCGCCCTCCAACAACAACAAAGGGCAGAGGAGCGACGCTCGCAACGAGCGAAACGCCGTGCGGATAAAACGCAGTGAGTTGGCACAGTGGGTGCATCTGCCAGTCGTCTCAGTTAACCCATAACACCTGGATCTGTCCCGTGACCTGCCAGAGAGCCTTCGACACTTCACGTGGCTTCAACGTGCACCTAACCTGGCTTACAAACGCCGTGACGTCACCACCACAGTGGTGAACGGCGGTTGTTGAACGAGTGGGTGAGTGGAAGTGTGAGTGGTTGGGTGGAAGGACCAATGCGAGGTTGAGTCCTGTCTGCTGCTGCTCTATCGTCCCGGGGAGATCCCCGTGGTCCGTGTTTCACCTCGGGTCAGAATCTTTATTCTGGAGAAATCCGATGAGCTATGGCGCCGTTTTCACAGATGTCCAGTAGGAGTGGGTCAGAAAGTTAAAATACAACAAAAACGACATAAGTGCAAGGTATAAGAAAGGTAAGCAAGTCACTACAAATATGTATGAGTTAAAATTGCATAATTACATCAATTCCTGCAGATTTTTCAAGACAAACAAAACAACAAAACTATCCCAGACCACACCAAGACAACACACAGGTCCCTCAATAAAATTGCACGTAAACATTAAACTACAACATCACTTTGCATCAAGGTCACCAAGAGGTAGCCTCCATCACCACCTGCGCAGGCTCACTTTGAGCTTTGGCAGCACGGTGGCGAGATGTTAACTACCTTGCCTGGTATACAGGAGGTCGTGGTTTCGATCCTGACTCTGACGCCTGTATATGTGGAGTTTGCGTGTCTCTCTCCCCGTGGTCACGTGAATTTTTCTCCGGGTCCTCCGGTTTTTTCCTCCACATCATTTTTGATGGACAGGTCGCTTCTAAAGAAGAACTATATAGCAGCTCAGTTGGTCTTGGTAAAATAAAAAAAATGTGTTAGTTTAGTTTCTAGCTGCCTGCTCCCAGCTTTGACATCTGCAGGAGTTGTTGACCAGCCACCCAGTCTTGCTGTGCACTCGAGGCAGGGCAGGGAGGGTGACAGGGGTCACCACTCTATTTGCTGGAAGTCTTTATGCAAAGTTTGCGTGCAGCAGCAGCGGCAAGGGTTATGTAATGTTTTTACGGGAATGTTCGCGCACAACAACAAATGGTTCAGCCGTTCGAGATGTTTGAAAATGACCGTATTCAAATTTTCACTCAGTTGCGATATTTTCTTCAATAACTGCGTGTTATCTCTCACTGCAGCGCGTCTATGCGGTTGACATGGCATCGTCGTCGCCATCATGAGCCACAATCAATCCACTGCTGGATGGCTGAAGGCTTGACCCTCCTCCCACGAACGATTCCTGCACATGAGCGAATTCCTCCACTCCATCCCCGTTGTGGGCGTCCCACTTTGTCGGAATCGTCCCCATGGCTCGTTTAGTGATAAACTCGTTGGCTTTGTTCAACGTCGTGTTGTTGAATGCGGTGAATGTATCCGCAAAAGAAAGTGTACTCATTGATGTTAAAACCGGTAAAACATCTTCTTTGCTCTATGTCTTCAGTGCCCATATATAACAGAGAGAGGGAGGAGGGTCCTTGCCTACAGACATCTGACAAGTTCACTCAAGCAGTGCCCTGAAGGATGATTACACACTGAATGTCGAAACAATGCAGGGTTTTGTTTGAGGTTGAAGGTCGCACTCATAACACACAAAGTGCCTGCCACAAATGAACCACAATATATCGCTGATCTCGTCAAGGAGCATAAACCACCATGCGAACTCCGGTCAACCTCGCAGCGGCTTTTGACTGACCATCGAATAAAGACAGCCACCGCGCGGTTTCAGATGCGCGTCAGCGGCCGCCTGGAACGCTCTTCCGATATTAGGAAGCCACTAGACATGTAAATTTTTTTCCCTACCCCCACCCTCTCTCTGCCTCCGCCCCCCCCTCTGTCTATTTAAGGCCACCCCACAGAGACGATCACCCCTCTCTGTTCCTGGGTTGCTCTCTCTATGTATCTTGGTGATATCTGTCTGCTTACATGTCTGTCTATAGTTTTCTGGTTAGATTCTATGTCGCTATTTCATTATACCTGATGATGATTGCTTGTGTTGCAATCGAAACGTCGTATGCTATTTGTTAATTTATTCTTTTATCTTTATACGTGACTTTACCGAAAAAACCAAAGAATAATTCCTGCAGTCACGAAAGCTCCAAAAATTAAGATAGAGCTATGCACTTTTAAATCGTTTCAATTGAAAACTCATTTCTTTATAACTGCCTTTTGTGTTAAGTTTGTTGTCCCACACCTCCGATTAGAACGGTTGGCTACGTACGGAGCGAAAGAAGTTCAACGTACAGTACATACGAACCAATGCTGAGCAAAAGCATTGCCAGAAGGGCGTGTGGCTTATTGGATACGTGAAAATATACTTTAGAAAAAGTATTTTTAAAAAATAACTAGTAATTTTTTACAACGGTTTTTCGAAGATTTATTTTCAAAAATTAACTAGTATTTTTTGGGTAAAATTACTAAAATTCTGGATAAGAATGTTTCACGTGGAGACAACGTGAAGTGGTTACTGTGCTCTATATATACTCTTTGGTTCTTTCAGTAAAGTCACGTAAGTAGAAAATAAAACAAAATAAAAATAATATATCACATTTCGATCGCAACACAAGCGGTCGTCCTCGGGCGGAAAAAAATAATCCAGCAGTGGAACCAGCGAGAGAGCTGTTACACCAAGGTTATATATGTGGCGATGGGCAAGCAAGCGGGGTCTGAGCTGGAAAGGAATTCAATCCACGGATGCCAGCATGTCAGTTGTGTTAATAGGGGGTTTAGGGAGAGATTAGGGAGGGAGATTAGCATGAATGAGCTTCCGTCGCCACATAAGAGTAGCATCCTCGCATATGCGCACAACAGCAGTGTTAATGAGAGATTAGCACCATGAGAGTGCAATCCAAAGGACATGTGAGCATGAGAGGTGCAAACGTTTTCTCTTTTATTTAATCACATCAATTTAAGTCATCTCCACTCGACGTGCTTCCTTGTTCAAGCAATGTGCTCTGGAACTCGCCATCATAATCAGGAACATCGCAAATGCCTCATTCTTTATGGGGTGTTTTCCGTCCAACCTCAAATCTGGCCTGGTTTCCCCCTTGTTAAAGAAACCAAGTCTCGACCCGGATGACCCATCTAGTTATCGTCCCATCACTAATCTCTCGAACCTCTCTAAACTCCTTGAACGACTAGCCCTCACCCAGCTAAAACCACACATCACCTCCTCCCCAAACTACTGCTGCTTCCAGTCAGCTTACCGTCAAAACTACTCCACAGAAACAGCACTCACTAGAGTGCTCGGTGACATTTGAACGATTATCGATTCCAGCTCCATTGTTGCACTTGTAAGTCTGGACATTTCGTCAGCCTTTGACACCGTCAACTACTCGCTCCTTACTTCCCTCCTGAAATCTGACTTCGGTATATGTGGCTCAGCACTCAAGTGGATAGTTTCGTACCATTCTGACCGGCAATCTTCAGTCAGGGTTGTTTTGTAGTATTTGAAGTTTTTTAGGTTGCCAGTGGAGGTCCGGACTAGGACGGAGTTGCAATAGTCGAGGCGAACGATGCAACATGCCAATGTGTTGGCAATTTCAGTGGAGATGAGAGGACGTAGGTGTCTGAGAGCCTTCAGGTGAAAGTTACATGAACTGATGATATGATTGGTTTGATGGTCGAAGGATAAAGTTGAATCTAGGATGACACCGAAGTAGCTGAAGTGATCGGTGAACCTGTTGCTGTGACCATAGATGTGTATGTGTGTTGGGAGTGCTGATGAGTTGAGACGTTGCTTGGTACCTAACATGATGGCCACTGACTTTTTCGGATAAAGGGCTAGGTTGTGTGCAGTGAACCACTGTTGCAAGGCGGTGGCACATTCCGAGAGCTTCTCGAACCCAGATGCATTGCTAGAATCGATGGCGGTGAATAGAATTGTGTCATCTGCGTATGAGTGATGCTTAACACCGAAGCTTGCGATGAGCCGGCCGATCAGGGAAGTGTAGGCTGTAAAGAGCAGGGGACCTACAGTACGATGGAGCCCTGGGGAACCTTGCATAATGCTCGTTTCAGGCGATGTGGACGTGCCCACCCTGACTGAAGATTGTCGGTCAGAAAGGTACGAAACTATCCACTTGAGTGCTGAGCCACATATACCGAAGTCGGATTTCAGGAGGGAAGTAAGGAGCGAGTAGTTGACGGTGTCAAAGGCTGACGAAATGTCCAGACTTATAAGTGCAACAATGGAGCCGGAATCAATCATCATTCAAATGTCATCGAGCACTCTAGTGAGTGCTGTTTCTGTGGAATAGTTTTGATGGCAAGCTGACTGGAAGCAGCAGTAGTTTGGGGAGGAGGTGATGTGGTGTTTTAGCCGGGCGAGGGCGAGTCATTCAAGGAGTTTAGAGAGGTTCGAGAGATTAGTGATGGGACGATAACTAGATGGGTCATCCGGGTCGAGACTCCATAGAGAATGATGCATTTGCGATGTTCCTGATCATAATGGCGAGTTCCGGAGCACATTGCTTGAACAAGGAATCTGGGAGCACGTCGAGTGGAGATGACTTCAATTGAAGTGATTCAATTAAAGAGAAGATGTTTGCACCTCTCATGCTCACATGTCCTTTGGATTGCACTTTCATGGTGCTAATCTCTCATTAACACTGCTGTTGTGCGCATATGCAAGGATGCTACTCTTATGCGGAGACGGAAGCTCATTCATGCTAATCTCCCTCCCTAATCTCTCACTCCCTCATCCCCCATTAACACAACTGACGTGCTGGCGTCCGTGGATGGAATTCCTTTCCAGCTCAGACCCCGCTTGCTTGCCCATCGCCTACATATACAGTGATGGAAAAAAGTATTTTATCCCCTGCTGATTTTGTACGTTTGCCCACTGACAAAGAAATGATCAGTCTATAATTTTAATGGTAGGTTTATTTGAACAGTGAGAGACAAAATAACAACAACAAAATCCAGAAAACGCATGTCAAAAATGTTATAAATTGATTTGCATTTTAATGAGGGAAATAAGTATTTGACCCCTCTGCAAAACATGACTTAGTACTTGGTGGCAAAACCCTTGTTGACAATCACAGAGGTCAGACGTTTCTTGTAGTTGGCCACTAGGTTTGCACACATCTCAGGAGGGATTTTGTCCCACTCCTGTTTGCAAATCTTCTCCAAGTCATTAAGGTTTCGAGGCTGACGTTTGGCAACTCGAACCTTTGGCTCCCTCCACAGATTTTCTATGGGATTAAGGTCTTGAGACTGGCTAGGCTACTCCAGGACCTTAATATGCTTATTCTTGAGCCACTCCTTTGTTGCCTTGGCCGTGTGTTTTGGGTCATTGTCATGCTGGAATACCCATTCACGACCCATTTTCAATGCCTTGGCTGAGGGAAGGAGGTTCTCACCCAAGATTTGACGGTACATGGCCCCGTCCATCGTCCCTTTGATGAGGTGAAGTTGTCCTGTCCCCTGAGCAGAAAAACACCCCCAAAGCATAATGTTTCCACCTCCATGTTTGACGGTGGGGATGGTGTTCTTGGGGTCATAGGCAGCATTCCTCCTCCTCCAAACACGGCGAGTTGAGTTGATGCCAAAGAGCTCCATTTTGGTCTCATCTGACCACAACACTTTCACCCAGTTGTCCTCTGAATCATTCAGATGTTCATTGGCAAACTTCAGACGGGCATGTATATGTGCTTTCTTGAACAGGGGGACCTCGCGGGCGCTGCAGTATTTCAGTCCTTCACGGCGTAGTGTGTTGCCAACTGTTTTCTTGGTGACTATGGTCCCAGCTGCCTTGAGATCATTGACAAGATCCTCCCGTGTAGTTCTGGGCTGATTCCTCACCGTTCTCATGATCATTGCAACTCCACGAGGTGAGATCTTGCATGGAGCCCCAGGCCGAAGGAGATTCACAGTTCTTTTGTGTTTCTTCCATTTGCGAATAATCGCACCAACTGTTGTCACCTTCTCACCAAGCTGCTTGGCGATGGTCTTGTAGCCCATTCCAGCCTTGTGTAGATCTACAATCTTGTCCCTGACATCCTTGGAGAGCTCTTTGGTCTTGGCCATGGTGGACAGTTTGGAATCTGATTGATTGCTTCTGTGAACAGTTGTCTTTTATACAGGTAACAAGCTGAGATTAGGAGCACTTCCTTTAAGAGTGTGCCCTTAATCTCAGCTTGTTACCTGTATAAAAGACACCTGGGAGCCAGAAATCTTTCTTATTGAGAGGGGGTCAAATACTTATTTCCCTCATTAAAATGCAAATAAATTTATAACATTTTTGACATGCGTTTTTCTGGATTTTGTTGTTGTTATTCTGTCTCTCACTGTTCAAATAAACCTACCATTAAAATTGTGACTGATCATTTCTTTGTCAGTGGGCAAACGTACAAAATCAGCAGGGAATCAAATACTTTTTTCCCTCACTGTATAACCTTGTTCAAGTTCATTTATTAGGTATAGCCCTGTGAGCCATTCGGCTCTTGAATCGGGTGCAACCGCAACAAAAACATGAACAAGAAAACATCTTAAGGTGAATATGTGACTAAGTGTAAACAGAAAATCCAAGAAAAGACAGCAAAATATTGCAGAAAAAACACCGTACACCAACGCTTTGTGCAAAATCCCAGTGGGATGCAAGTCAAACAACAACAACCACAAGACAACTTAGATTAAGGCCATCAGTTTTACTCCGTACTACAACAAACAAGGCCAAACCAAAAAACTTTTCGAAATCACCAAAATAAAGCCATGAAAGCAGTGAAAAAGTGATCATAGGAACTGTGACAGAATTTTCACAATAAATGACATAAAGAACATGTACTTCCAAAACCCTGCAGCCATAGCTGGCTGCATGAGTCACTCCACAACAGCAGGAGCATCAGTCAGAGTATCATACTTTTTCAATGCACCTTTAAGATCAGCACACTAAATCAAAACACAGGTCATACTTTGCAGCGATCATCCGGAGCGAAACATTTTATTTTAGGCCACTCAATCGCACTGGCAGCTAGGGGTGTACAACTCCTCTAGAGCAGTTTTGAGTGAAGATCTCGTAGGTAGTGACTCAAGTTGCAATTTATTGGCAATAGCATTCCAGACCCTGGGGGCATCAATAGCAAAGGCCCTTCCTCCAGTATATGTACGGCAATAGGGATTATGAAGCTGGTAAATGAGCGTAGACCTTAGGTCAAATTTGTTCTTTGAAACAGAGAGGAGATCCAGCAGGTAATCTGCTGCAAATCTTAAGGCCGAGTGATACATTGAGTCAAGCTTCTTCAGTGCATAGGGGGGAAGCAGTGCTTGTGTCGATACAGAAAACCAATTTTAATTTTTGTCCTTTTCCCAATATAATCAATGTGATCTTCAAAATTCAGTTTTGAATCCAGAATGACCCCAAGATACTTATAGATCTTGACTTGCTCTATTTGATCATTATTTAAGGAATGTTATTGGGGGGAAATAACATCCCGCTTTAGTCCTGGTGAGAAGCATAGCACCTTGGTTTTGGCAGGATTTAGGACTAGTTTAAGAGCAACTAGCTGATGTTGTAGTTTGTTGAAATCACTGTGGAGCTTAGCAATCATGTCATCCAGAGAGCGGCCAGCAGTAATCAGTATCGTATCATCTGCAAAAAAATTTACCCTGGAATGATCCAGTTCAGTGCCCAAGTGATTTACATAAAGAGAGAATAGGGGGCCGAGAATGGAACCCTGTGGAACCCCTTTTGTTATCTTAACACTGACCTCCAACCATATAAATACAGTTTGAGTGCGAGAAAACAGGTAATTTTTTTACCATTTTACTGTGTTTTCGGAAAAACCGAGGCAACTTATTTTACTATGGTGTTGTGGTCTACTGTATCAAAAGCTTTGGACAAGTCAAGAAAAAGACAGGCGCAGTACTGCTTATTATCAAGGCACCTGTAAATGTGATTCAGAGTCTAATGCAGCAGATGTGGTGCTGTATTTTTTTCGGAACCCAGATTGTTTTAGATGTAATAGATTGTTGGCGGACAGGAAACTGCTAATTTGGTAGTTTAATAATTTTTCAAAAATTTTCATCAACGAGGACAAAATTGAGATAGGTCGGTATTTATTTGGATCATCTTTGCTCTCTCGCTGGTTCCACTGCTGGATTATTTTTTTCCACCGAGGACGACCCCTTATTTTGCGATCGAAACGTCGTGATATCTTATTTTTATTTTGTTTTATTTTCTACCTACGTGACTTTACCGAAAGAACTAAAGAGTATGGATTCCTGCAGTCACGAAAGCTTCAAATCAAGAACGTGCTCTATGTTTTTTCTATGTTGCCGGAATCGTCTTAAACGCGTGACGTCATTGAACGGGTGACGTCATGCACGTTAAAATTAGAGCGCTCGTGACGTCGCTCTTCCGACCGCGCGATGACGTCACATACGCGAGCGCACAACTCCAATTGGGAGGGGCCGAGCCGAACGTCGTGCCGCCACGTCCTGCGTCATTGCGTCACTTGCAGCGCGATTACGTCACTTCCTACTTCCGTGCGCGACGACGTCATCACGCAACGTGGACCCGTCGTAGATTTTTTTTTTTAAATCGTTACAATGGTTTTGCTTAGATTTACAGAAAAACGAATGAATCATTCGTACTTACAATCACCGTAAAACCATCGTGGTCGTAATAATATCGGGGAAGAAACATTCGTCGCCAAAACAACAATCCTTCCGAGGTAAGCGGGCGTGCTGCGGCTTAACGTTCAGAATGGCCGCGTGGTTTGTGTCGCTGTTTGAAGGCCTCGTCTCTCGTTCCCTCTCCTCCTCCTCTCGCGTTCCCCCGTTCCCCCGTGGCCCTCTCTCGCCTTGCCTTATCCCCACTGCAATACAAATAATAACTTTATTGATGTGGCGGGGGGGGAGCAATAAAGTTATAAAGCATTGCCTGAAATAACTTTATCAATGGACCGCATTTCGTCGAGGCTTTAGTAAAGTTATAGCAGAGAAGGCCCTCCTACTCTTAGGTTTTTTCGGTAAAGTCATGTAGGTAAAAATAAATAATTTTTTTATAATAATAGAAATAAAAATAATAGCAATAAATTAAGTATTATTTTTATTTCTATAATAATAGAAATCAAAATACTAGAAAAATTATAATTGTAATTTTATTTCCATTTTTTTATTTCTATTAAAATTTTATTATTATTTATTTTTACCTACGTGACTTTACCGAAAAAACCTAAGAGTATGAATCCTTGCAGTCTAGAGAAGGCCCTCTCCAGTACAACTTTATCGACTCCATGCTCGGTGCCTATTGAGGTTGGAGTCCACCGGCCATGGTCAATCCGCCGCTGGATGTGCGCCCCTCCACGCCGTGCAGGTGGTGAGCGTCATAAAAGTCCATACTTCACCAGCCTGGTCACATTGCGGCTCCGGTATTTGGTGCGGGGTGATCAATTCATCGTCGTCATCAGCCATGGTTCATAATAAAGGTGTTCGTTGTGTTTATTCTAGATTTGAAGCTTTTGTGACTGCAATGATTCATACTCTTAGGTGTTTTAAGTAAAGTCACGTAGGTAAAATAATAATAATAAATGAAAACAACGAAAATTTCATTTATTATTATTTTATATTTTACCTACGTGACTTTACCGAAAGAACCAAGAAAATGTCTGCATTGGATGTTGAACTTCTTTCGCACCGTACGCGTACCTGTTAACCCCTTAGGGGTCGTCCATATATGACGTCACGCACCTGGGGGGGGTCAGACATTTGTGAAAATGGGGGGGGGGGGGTCAAAAATCGTCCAAAATCGCGTGACGTCATTTATGGACGGCCCCTTACCAGTGCCGACCTTATCACAGACCTTATTGGTCATCCGATAAAGTCGCATCACAAGAGGTAAAAACAAATAGACAAAAAAGTGTTGCCCGTATTGAAACGGATGTACGCCATAGGGACCTGAAAACTCAATTACCCTGTACAGGAATACGGGTTAAACCGTATGGGTTGACAGCTATGAGATCCACACACAGCTCCGAGTTGATTTCCATCGCTCCTGGGCGGTGGACGAGCCACCGAGTAGGCCTCGGTAAGGTAAAAGGTAAAAAGCAGCGAGCCTACCTTTACCCTACCTTTTACCTTCCCACAATACAATCACTCTACCCTACCTTCTACCCTTTAGCAGGTAAGGTAAAAGGTAAAAAGCAACGAGCCTACCTTTACCTTACCTTTTACCCTTACCGCATACAAATTAACCAATTACAGGGTAATTACTGGGGTACTTTTTGGGGTACTACTACACATGAAAAAGGTTTATAACGGTAAATGCCAGGTAGAGCGCTTTATTCATATAGAATACTCTCGACTCCAATTTTACACGCTTTCTTTGAACTCTATTGTTGTCGTTATTGTTGTCGTTGTATCCTTAAATCTTGAAACTCAATTTTAACCCACTAACCAATGTGGTATCGACTGCAAACTTGTTATACTTATCTCATACTGATTACAATACTATATTCTATCTTAAAAAAAACATTTTTAAACATTATTTTTAATATGTTATGTTTCGGTTCGGATCTAATCGTCCACGCTCAAGTGACGTTGGCTGTAATTGGCCACGGTCACTTATGCTGTGGCAAGCTTCGGGGCCACTTCCTGGATTCGTGGAGTTCTGCCATTACTAGTACATTTCATAAAAGCGTGTTTAATTAAAAAAAATATTACTTATTAAATGGAGGCCACGGACTGCGCCACGGAGCAAGGTACCGTATTTACCGGGTAATACATCGCGCTACCTTTACCCTACCCTTTACCTTACCCCTTGGCATGTCGACACCTTTACCCTTTTACCCGGTAAAAATGGTAAATTACCTTACCTTGCCGAGGCCTACCACCGAGCGCAGAGTTTACAGTGGCAGTTTCAATAAATGTCTGTACTGTATGTTGAACTTCTTTCGCACCGTACCTAGCCAACCGTGATTAAAGGTTTATGAAGACGCGTGGACAATTATTGCGCGGGCAGAGAAGCCGTTCCTCCGCAACGAGTAACAAGAGGCGGCATTTTCATCTGCACCGCTCTTCTCACAATCGGCAAAACAATCAAAGTACAGCAATGAACTAAACAGCAATTAAATAATAAAAGTACGAAAATATTTCAAACATAACTCATCGATGATGGATCAGTGTGTTTTGACACGGCAATTGGGTCCGCTGAGAGACGAGCAGCCCTAGGGCTTGAACCAAGCACCTCTTGTCCCAATAGTCTGGAACCCCATTCCCCCAGCAATCTGCTGTCGAATCACTGCCCCTGTTAACGTCCAGGTTGAATACCTTGCGGATTTTTTTTACTCTCCCTATGATTGACTGCATCATATTAAGGTGCGGCTGTATTTAGACAAGTCAGCGTTGTAGGCGGCAATCATAAACCCTGGTTAGAAACAGGAGTGAGTGCTTGCAGCATCACAGGACAGTGGCGATCACCATGATTGTTGATGATGGTGATGAGAGACAATGGAAAATTAGTGTGCGACTAGTCATCCACAACAGACAGTACAACATATAACGACCCATCCGATCTACAATTACAAAGGAGACATCACAGCGATACACTCCGCTGCTCCTGACGCAGTTATCTGGCTTGACCACCTGAATGTGAAATTGTAGTTGTTGCTTTGCACTTACATCAGCAGCCGTACGAAAGAAGAAGAGACACCTGGCCTTAGATTTAAAACCTAGAAACTTCGTCCTGTTAGCGTCCTGCCTGTCCAACTCAGCCATTATGAACTAAGCCCTCCCCAACTAACAGTAACTCGCCCCTGCTTCGTTCTTTTGTGTCTTCCCAAGGCACACTCGGCCTTCACCGTCAAACCTCGCTGCTCCACCAGCAACCAGTTGGGCGATTGGACAAGCGGTGTGGTGAGAAGCTGGTCAAGTGCCTTGGGCAAGCAGTTGGGGGTGAGCATTTAAACGAGCGGTTAGAGAAGTGGACAAGAAATTGTTATACGGTTGAATAAGTAGTTGGACAATGGGTAGAGGGGGGGTAAGCATTTGTACGAGCAGACAAAAAGTTGGACAGGCAGTTGGATGAGCAATCGAGTAAGCAGTTGAACAAGTATTTGTACAATCCTACAGGCGGTTCGGTGAGTAGCTGACGAGCGGCCGGACGAGCGCGCACGTGACCGATGGAGCTGCCGAACTACGCGCACACGTTGCTGCGCCGCCTGTCTACGTTGCGACGCCAGCAGCGGTTGTGCGACGTGACGCTGATGGCGGGCCGCGTGGCTTTCCGCGCACACCGGGCCGTCCTGGCGGCTGCCAGCCCCGCGCTGCTCGGGGCGCTGCTGCTGGAGGCTGATGCTGCCACGCTCTCCGTCGACCCCTCCATCGCCACTGCCGATGAGATCGCGCTGCTCCTGGAGGTGGCATACGCCGGTACTATCCCGCCGGGCCGGCATAATGCCACCAGACTCGTGCAAGTAAGCTAAACTGTAAACTAAACTCTTTATTTCAAACTGAAACTAAACTATTTTTTATTTTAAACTAAAGTTATACTAAAACATTTTTTGTATTTTACTAGGTCAGGCTTACTGAGCTATATAGATATTTTTCAGAAGCGACCTGGTCACAAATGATAGCTCAAGAAAGTGGCTTATCATATGTAAATTTATAGCAGCCAAATATTCTAAACATTTGTTGATTTTAAATATGGAAGGATAAATCCGGAACAAAACCCACGTGACCACGGGGAGAACATACAAACTCCAAATATACAACCGTTATAACGTGATGGTATTGGTGATTGTAATAGCTGTGGTTGTTTAATTTGTGATTTTAGCAGTTGTTGTGATGGGTGTGACATAATGTTGGTTATCCCCGTGATCATTGTTGTTGTGCCAAAGTCATTATGGTGTTGTGGTTGTGGTGTCGCGGTTGTGGAGCAGGTTGCCGAGGGGCTGCAGATGAGCGATGTGGCAGACGCGTGCCGTGCGGCGCTGGGCGCGGTTTCCGGCGGTTTCACTGATCCCCAACGTTCGGACGCCGAACCGCACTCGTCACCGCCACCAATCATCACTGTGTGCCCCTTATCTGATGAAGACCCCGCCGCTAAGGAAGAGGTGAGTGAAGTCAAAATTCACTGCCATCATCATCCAAAATTGTGGAGCAGTTGTTATGCGGGTTAACTTTCTATCTTATGGGACATTTTGCCAGTATCCAAAATTATATAAAGTAGGAATAGGTTTTACTCTTTCATGCAATAAAAGAGGAAGTGTTACGATGTTCAAACACCAAATAGATACCTTTTGCAAGGGATCAAGTCTGCATCAACCGCACATACTTGTAGAAAATAATGAAAACAAACATGCTCTGATAATAATATGTGCATTCTCTCTGGTTCTTTCGGTAAAGTTACGTAGATAGAAAAAATAATAAAAGAAACACGACGTTTCGGTCGCAACACAAGCGTCCGTCATCAGGTGAGAAAATGATCTGCTGTTGTGGCTTTATATAGGCACGGGGGGGAATGGGGGGCAGGAGTTTTGTTGAGTCGTGGCTGCAGGAGTTCACGGGGAGAGGGGGGAGGGTTTGTGGCGTGCAGAGACGGCTGGGGGCTGGTAGGGGGGGGGGGGGAGGGATTGTGGTGTGCAGGGACAAGTGGAGCTGGAGAAATTAGCATGTCAATGAGCTTGAATTAGTCACCGAAAACAAAAACCGCACGGGTGAGCGAGTGAAAATCACAGCAGTTAAAACTTGACATGGTTTATCATGTCCTTCCAATGATTTCTCAACCTGAATCCATCTTCTCGATTCAAGTTTTGTCTGTGTTTGTTTATCTGGATGGCTTCATGAACAAATCTCCGATGGTAGCCCGAGGGATTGCAGAGCACCTTGGTCTCAGAGAAAACAATGTCATGTGTGCCCACAGCGTTGAAACAATGATCTGCCACCGCCTAGGTGTTGGTTCTACCGTGTATCAAATCCGCTTTGTGTTCGCGAACCCGGTCTGAGACATGTCGCTTCATTTCACCAATGTAACTGCTGCCGCAGACACAACTCCGCTTATAGACACCAGGACATTGCATATATGCATTGTCTTTGAAACTGGTTGGCCTACACAAGTCTGTGTGGTTAATGGAGACTTTAAGACTTGAAAAAGGGATCTATTTGGTGTTTGAAGTTTTTAATAGCTGTTTTATTACCAGAAAGGGTAAAGCCTATTCCTATTTTTCATCATTTCAGTTAACTTTCATTATCCTTGGGCAGATTGTCCAGGATGGGGATTAACCATTTTTGTGAAAATTTGAAAACAATATCTTGACACGAGCACTCGGGTTTCATGAATAGCTGTGCTTTTCTTTCGCGGTGTTGACACTCGAAGCTCCGCGAAACTGACACGTTCGCAAACCCACGTATTCTACTTCCACTTAATGGCCACGTCTGGGGCGCCATAGTGCCGAAACGTTAACGACCTTGCCTGGTCTACAGGAGGTCGTGGGTCAATCCCGACCATGACGCCTGTATATATTTTTTGTTTATATGTTCTCCCCGTGGTCACATTGATTTTTATCCGGGTCCTCCAGTTTTTCCCTCCACATTTAGAAACAACATGCGTTTAGAGTATTTGTCTTATAAATTTCCACATCATGATAAGCCACTTCGTTGAGCTATCATTTGTAGCCAGGTCACTTCTGAAAAACAGCTGTATAGCTCAGTGGGCCTTACCTGGTAAAATAACAATAGTTAATTGCGATCGCTTTTCATCCACAGGGCGAGGCGTGGCAATTCATATTCACTGATGGCGGCGTCGCGTCTTCACTCCCCATGACGTCACTCCCCGTGACGTCACTCCCCGTGACGTCACTCCCCGTGACGTCAATCCCCGTGACGTCAATCCCCGTGACGTCAATCCCCGTGACGTCAATCCCCGTGACGTCAATCCCCGTGACGTCAATCCCCGTGATGCCAAGTGTGGAGAAAAATGCCTCTAGTGTAAATGAGGGCGACGGGACCAGAAAGACTCCTGCAGGCACACCGCTCCCTGTGACGTCCGTCCTCGTGACATCGCTTCCTGTGCTACCTTCCGATGCCACGACCTCACTTTCCGAGCCGCCCCCTGCAGTGCAGGAAGTGAAGTCGATTGTGCCATCGCCGGCCGGAATCGGTGCAGTGCGGGACCCGGAGGCGGTGGCGCCGGCGCTAATCCATCGCCGGCGTCTCAAAGCCAGGCTGGTCGGCACCTCAGGTAATCTTTGACGATCCGGACACGCGCCCACGCGAATTGCACGCCCCTTAGAGTTACCATTGGCTCCCCTAGATGTTGATGATGGGAGACTTCTTCATTGGTGCCAGGGATGAGACCATCAGTTCGCTGCACTTGAGAACCCTAGTTTAATCTCGGCCAGGTGGCTGAAACCCGGATTCCAACCCAGATATACTCATCATTGCCGGCTGAGCGTCTCTCAGAATCAGAATATTTATACTGCAGGAGGAATCTGTTGAGCTATGAAGCTTCTTTTTCACAGATGCCCAATAGGAGCAGGTCAGAACGTTACAACAACAAACAATACAAAACACGATCGGAGTGCAAAGTAAAGAAAAGGTAAACAAATCAACTTAAAAATAAATATAACATTTTTTTTATCTCAGCAGGTAAAGCCCACTGAGCTATTAGCTTCTTTTTTGAAGTGACCTAGCCACAAATGATAGCTCAACGAAGTGGCTTATCACGTGGAACTTGGCAGCTAAATAATATAAACGCACGTTTCTAAATGGGAATAACCGGAGGACCCGGAGAAAAATCCACATCACTTGGATATCGTCAGGGTCGGGATTGAACCCCCGACCTCCTACATACCAGGCGAGGAAGATAACATCACCCCTCTGAGTCACGAAAATCCATCGCATTAAATCAGAACTCAATTTGGCTCAATTCCAGCAATTGTTGACGAGTTTGCAATAATTAGGATGTGTCGGTGGCTTTAGTGGGGTTTTTTTCAGACACGGCGGAAATTGGTGCCGCGTTCTGTTCTCGCCTGCAAATCCCACAGCGCCGTGCGGGAAATGAGAACATTAAAATAACCACGAGTGAGAATGTCCCAGCCCCGAGAGGTCAGCACGGCTTCCCGCTCGATCGCTTATCCCCTACTCCCCTACCACCCCCACTTCACCACCTTGCTCCGCCCCCCCCCGGCCCGCTCGCCCGCTCACTAGCTCACTCGCCTGTTCCCTATCTCACTCACCCACGAACTCTCCTACCCACTCACCCACTCGCTAGCTCCTCACCCGCTCACTTGCTCACTCGGCCGCTAGCTAGCTTACTCACCTGTTCGCTCGCCTACTCCACTCACCCACCCATTAGCTCACTCACCCACTCGCTAGTTCATTCACCCACTCACTCAGTCACCTGCTCACTCACCTACTCACTTTGCTTACCCTCTCGGTCCCCCGTTATCCTCACTCAGTCGTTCTATTGACCTCTGCATCACCAGTTACTTACGCTGGGATCATCAACTCACTACACTTAAGAACCTCATTTAATCCGCCACGGCCAAAAGGGTCTGGATTCGATTCCTGGCCTAGTGTGGAGTCTGTTTGTTCTCCACATGTTCTGTAGAGTGTTGAGTGTGCGGGGAGTTTGTCTGTTATTCCCCTGTTCTGTATGTGTTTCCACTGGGTTCTACGCTTTACTCCCATAGCTAAAAATTACACCCATTGTAATTGCTGAGGGCCTAAACATCCCAATGCTGAAAATGTACCCACAAATTACTCAATTGGGATTGCAGAGCAACATCACCCCCTCCTACTGCAATACATTTGGCGGTATCCTCCTGAAAAATATACTTGAGACTCAGTGAGGCTTTGCCGATTCAACAAACATACTGATAATAATAACGGTGGGGATAAGACCTGGATTTGAACCCAGTATCCCCAGTGGTACTGGCTCGGCTTCTCCGACCTGTCCATATCCTGAACATGATCCCCTCCCCCACTCTCTCTGTCTCATCATCCCAGCCACTCCAGCCACTCCACTGACAGCACCACCAACCACACCACAGCAACCGCCGCCGTCCGGCCACACTACCGCACCCACTGCCACTACAACCGCCGCCACCACCGCCGCCACCACCACCGTAACCACATTCGACGAGGGGCAGCAGCGTGAGGAAGCGTGTAAACGTGGAGCCACGCGCAGGAAGAGGGTGGCGCCAGCCGCGGCGGTGAAGGAGCCGGTGCCGAGTCCCGGGTCCCTGCGCAGTACTCCCCCCGTGGCCCCCCTTGCTGACACGGTGAGTGCAAGCGCGCGTTCACCAACTTGGTTATTTGCAAAAGCTGCCTTCAAAAGGAAGTGGACAAAGCCTGGCCGGCGTCTGGGCAAGGCGAAAATGTGAACCGACAACAACACGGGACAGCACAGACAAGTAGAGCTGGGCAGCCCAGTTACTCGACTTGTCAGCTGACACAAAAAATACTCGAGTCGTAAGCAAGTGTCACCTTTGTTCCCACGTATGCCGCTGGACAGGAGGTGATGGGCAGTGCTTGGTGAGATGTTAAATACCTCGCCTGGTAATACAGGGAGGTCGTGGATTCGATTCCGACCCTGACGCCTGTATATTTGGAGTTTGCATTGTCTCTCTCCCCGTGGTCGTGTGGATTTTTCTCCAAGTCCGGTTTTTCTCTCCACATTTAGAAACATGCCTTTTAGAGTATCTGGGTGCAATACATTCCACATGATAAGCCACTTCATTGAGCTATCATTCGTGGCCGAGGGCGCTTCTGAAAAAGAGCTATACAGCAGCTCAGTGGGCCTTAACCTGGTAAAATATAAATAGTTTAGTTATTACAATCCGCCACATCGCGCCACGAGTGGATTTGCAGAAGGGGCAGTCACCATGTTTAAAAGGGCTCCGAGCAATTGATCGCAAAACCAGGAGTCGATTACAATTTTAAATTAATCCACTTATTCAGCTCTTCAGCTCACCGTGTCCGAGCTGTGAGAGCAGTGCACACAAAGTGCTTGCCACAAATGAACTACAATATCTTGCCAATCTCGTCAAGGAGCATAAGCCATAAAGAAAACTCCGGTCATCTTCGTAGCAGCGGCTTTTGGCTAACCATCGAACAAAGACGGTCACCTCATTGCGTGCTTTCAGGTGCGCTTTTGCGGCCGTCTGGAATGCTTTTCCTATATTAGGATGCCACTGGAGTAATGCACTTTTGAATCTAAATATTAAACTCTTATTTAGAACAGATTTTTGTGTTGAGTTGGTTGTTCTTCCCCCTGCACCTCTGTTTAGCCCGGTTGGCTAGGTATGGTGCAAGATAAGTTTCATACACACATACAGACACAATACCTTGCTGCTCTCGTCAAGGAGCGTAAACCATCACAAGTTCCGGTCATCCTCACAGCAGCGGCTTTTGGCTCACTATCGAACAACGCTCTTCCTTCCATATTAGGAAGCCACTGGAGCTATGCACTTTTAAATCATCTAAATTGAAAATCATTTGTTTAGAACTGATTTTTGTGTTTAGTTTGCTGTCCTCTCCACACCTCCGTTTAGCACGGTTGGCTACTTATGGTGCGAAAGAAGTTCAACATCCATACATACATACATAACTCTGTGAGGTATTACCCTTTTTCAATTAGGTTTTAATTTTCACTGTTATGCTGACAGCACCTCAAAATGTCATCCCTGCTGCAGGCAGAAGAGATTGGGGGTAGAGAGAAGGCGTCTGGCCCTACATCCCGGAAGAAGCGCAGAAAGCGACCTCCCATTGCGTGCAACCTGTGCGGGAAGGTGTTCCAGTACATGGCCGGTGAGCACGCACCAGCGGCACCACGACAAAGCCCCACAATGCTCGCTCACGCCACCACTGTGGCAGAAGGCGGGGGGGGCCCTCCTTCACTTGAGGGGGAGTCCCTCTATGTGTAGTGCTTTTGCCTACTCTTCCATACCGGCCAGACATGCTGGAAGAGGTAGCTTTACCCACGTTTTATCCCACCACACACGCGACCTGTTGAACGGAGGCTGTGCCAGGGTTATCCCTCCGGAGGGGCAGAAGCAGCGGAACAGAGAGGGGAGGGGTGTTAATAAACACACTGCCTTAAGATAATCGTCATCATTAAATGACAAAGGGAGCCAGGCGTGGCTCCCTTACACCACCTCCTCGTGTGCCACGCTGGCTTGCATAGATGCCACTCGCTAACAGTACCTGCCGCAGTAACCTGTGCAGCAATGTATGTATGTATTTGTAGAGAATGGTAGTAGTGTAGCGGTTAGCGTGCTACATTGTGAACCCGGCAACCCAAGTTCGATTCCCGCCCACGACCAACATCCATTCCATGATGATTATCGGAACCAGTTTATGGGCCTCTCCTAGGTAAACTTATCCTTAAGTTTTTACATGGTATGGTGTGTAAAACATCGCTTCTGGGGTGCTTGCCATGGACCCCTTCATGTGCCGTGCCAGCCTTTATAGGTGCTCTCTTAACAGCACTTGCCCCTAATGTCTGTTAAAGCTATACGGGGGGGGGGGGGGGGGGGAGATCTTTGTCTCTGTCTTTGGAGCTTGTTTGGTGACAGCGTGGTGTGTATGTGTGGTGTGTGTCGTCTGTTTGTGGTGACAGTGTGGTGTATTTGTAAGTATTTATGTTTATGTGTGAATGAGTGTGTGTGTGTTTTGAGGCATTGTTGTGGTTAGCGTGCTGCGCTACAAACCCAGGGACCGAGTTCGATTCCCGCTTATGGCCAACTCCAGTGACGATTATCTGAACCGGTATTGGGCCTCCCCTAGGTCGACTCAGCCTCAAATGAGTACGTAGTGTGGTGTGTAAACATCACCAGTGGGGAGAAAAAGGTGGCCGGGCGTGGTGTTGGCCACCCACTCCCTTGTGTGCCATGTCGGCCTTCATAGGTACTACTCTTTAACAGCACTTGCCTTAACAGTCTCTTTAGGCTATACGGGGGATCTTTGTCTTTGTCTCAGGCATGCTGTACCACCAGCGCTCGGAACACTTTGCGGAGAAGCCGTTTGCGTGTGGCGAGTGCGGCAGCCGCTTCGCCGCCGCCTCCACGCTCAAGAACCACGAGCGTCTCCACACGGGCGAGCGCCCGCACGCATGCCCACACTGCCCCCTCGCCTTCCCACAGGCCGCGGCCCTCGCATACCACCTCAAGCGGAAGCACGCCATGGGTACTGCACGCGCACGGGGGAGACGACACTGGGAGACAACACGCGGACACACACAGGAAGACGTGGACATACATGGCGAGACATGGGGACACACGGGGAGACACTGGGACACACAGGGACACGGAGACACATGGCGACACATAGGCAGACGGGAATGTATGGGGAGACATGGGAGACAAGGTGACCCAAAGACACAAGGACACGAGGGAAGACTTAGACACACACGGAATGCCGAAGTCATGGTTATGGTTGTTAGGTGGTTGCATTAAGGATGCTGTAGATGTGATTGTGGCCATGCACTGGTTGTGGTGGTATTGCAGTTGTATTGAGGTTCCTGGTGCTGTCACTGGTTATGCAGCAGTTGTGGTTATATTGGAGTTTCTGTGGTTTGGACTGTAGTCATGCAGTGGTTGTGGTTGTAATATTGTTGTATTGATGTTGCTGTGGCTGTGATTGTGGTAATGCAGTGCTTGTGGTGGTTATTGCGGTTGCTGCGGTTGTGGTGCAGGCCGGCTGTACAGCTGCCAGTACTGCGAGGCCGCGTTTCCTCAGGCGGTGGAGCTGACACGCCACGTGCGCACGCACACGGGGGACCGGCCCTACGTGTGTCGCCCTTGCGGCAAGGGCTTCAGCCAGGCCAACGGACTCTCGCTGCACCTCCGCACCCACCACCGTGAGCGGAACTCCACATCACTCCATGTCACACCACACCCTGAAACAGTACCAAACCACCAGGGCTTCATTCAGCTAGCCCAACGGACTCTGGCCACACCTCCGCACCCACCACCGTGAGTGGCTTGCCGTGCGTGGAACTCCGTGCCACACCGCGTCAGATCGCATCACACCACACCGTGAAACAATACCACACCGCCGGGGCTACAACCACATTACAACCACAACTACTACAGTGGAATTTGGCTTGCCATTGAACAAAGATGGTCACTGCATCACGCGGTTTAAGATGTGCTTCTGCAGCCATCTGGAACGCTCTTCCATTAGATATTGGTAAGCCACTGAAGCTATGCAATTTTAAATCATCTATATTGAAAACTAATTTCTTTAGAATTGCTTTTTGTGTTTAGTTTGTTGTCCTTCCCACGTACCTCGAATATGCACGGTTGGCTGTGTACTAGGCGAACGAAGTTCTACACACATACATACAGCCAGGCCAATGAACCCTTGCTGCACCTCCGTACCCACCACCATGAGTGGCGCACCGCGTCACAGCACGAAGTGTCGTACCATGGTTTCACCACATGATGACACCACACCACCACATATCACTGCATACTCTATATACATGTACGTCTCTGAAAGTGTGCATTTATGTGTGTGTTAGCCTGTGCATGTAAAGGTGTGTAGGGGCGCCACGGTGGCGAGTTGTTACCTCCCTCGCCTGGTACAGAGGAGGTCTTGGGTTAGATCCCGACCCTGATGCCTGGTGTATATTTGGAGTTCGCATGTTCTCCCTGTGCTCATGTGGATTTTTCTCCGGGCCCTCCGGTTTTTCCCCTCCACATTTAGAAACATGCGCTTTGAGTGTTTGGCTGCTATAAATTTCCACCTTGGCTATTATTTGTGGCCGGGTTGCTTTTGAAGAAGAGCTATATAGCTCAGTGGGCTTTACTTGGTAAAAAAAAAAAGTTCAGTTCAGTAGTGAGTGAGTGTGTGCATGCACGTGTGTACATTCGTATATTCATACGTGTGTTTGTGCGTGCAGTCATAGAGGAACCCAATGACTGTCAGAAGTGCCACTTGAGTTTCCCTTCAGCCGAGGAGTATTTTAATCACATCAAAGGTAAGCCGCATAAATATACTGCGTTCACGTGTTCGCATGTGTGTGCACATCTTTGCGTGTGTGCGCGAGTGTAGTTTGTGGAGAGTGGTAGTGCAGTGGCTCACACACTGTTACGAACCCAACGATCCAAGTTAGATTCCTACTCTCATGACCAATAACAGTGACAGCGGATAGGTTTCCCTTAGGTCGGGGTCGCCAAAGCCAGTTTTTTGTCTTTGACCAAAATAGTTTGCATCACATGCAGAGCTACTAGTATACAAACACAGCAGCCGGTATACAGCAAATAACAAATTCTGATTCTTTGGGTCGTTCGGTAAAGTCACGTAGAAGGAAAACGTCGTACTCAGATTGTAAATGTTGTGTTTTGGCTCTTCAACTGTACTAGTGACGAATTGGCATGTTCTGTTTACGTGATAATCCTTACTAGTTGGCTGTGTCGGGTGGTGGCGGGTTTTAACGACACATTTATATATTTACGCGATCTAACCCAAAAACCTCTTTCATGGAAATGTTTCTTTATGTTAAATTATGTTTTAAGATTTACAGTTTTTTCTTTAAAACAGCTGCCCACAAACGAGCAGCCAAAGAGTCGCATGCGGCTCCAGAGCCGTAGGTTGCCAATCACTGCCCTAGGTTGACTCATCCTTAAAAGAGTACTGGGGAGGCAAAGGTGGCCGGACAAGGTGCTGGCCACACACCCCCTCCTGTGCCGCATTGGCCTTTCATAGGATTCTCGCTAACAGCACTTACCCCAATGGTCTGTTAAAATGGGGGACGTCTTGTCTCTGTACCCACAGAGACACACCCAAACGAGTGCTTCCCATGCGACCACTGCCAGCGCACCTTCACCACTCCCGCCGCCTTGGAGCGACACCTGGTGACTCACCTGGGAGGCAAACCCTACTCCTGTGACGTGTGTTGCAAGGCCTACCAGGTGAGAGGCTACAGGTCACAACATGCACACTCGTTCCAAAGCAGCTTCTGTTTGGCTGGATAGAGGGGGATTAATGGGCAAGGCATGCGCTAAAGAAGAGATGGGCTGATGCGGTACGGGAGGATCTGGAGTTCAGTGAACTTGTCAAGAATGGTACCAAGGGTGTCAAGATCAGCCTCTGTGGCTCGTGAAGGATGCTACTGGTGAGTTAGAGGCAGTTTCTCTCCAGCAACACAGGAGAGCAGAGTAGCGATGCTCACAACAAAGAGCAAAGTGCGGGCAGCTAAAATACATAAAGTTGGCACAGTAGGGGGCACAGATGGTGCATCTGCCAGTTATCTCAGTCTGTGAACCCATAAGACCTGGGTCTGTCCCATGACCTGTCGGCGAGCACTTCGACACTTCACGTGGCCTTAAGATGCACCTAGCTTGGCATTAGTGCCATGGTAAGATCACCTCCACTTAGTGGCAAACATCAGTTGTTGTCGTTGTGTATGTATCTGTGTATGTATGTAATCTGTATGTAGATGTGTTTATGGAGAGCAGTGGAGCAGCAGTTAGCATGCTGCGCTATGCACCCGGCGACTTGAGTTCGATTCACGCTCACGGCCAACACCAGTAACGATTATCTGAACAGGTCCTGGGCCTCCCCTAGGGCAACTCAGCCTCAAATGTGTACCTGGTGCGGTGTATAAAAACATTGCTACTAGGGAGACAAAAGCGCCTGGGCATGGAGCTGGCCACCCACCTCTTCGTGTGCCTTGCCGGCCTTCATAGGTACTCGCTAACAGCACTTGCCCCCACAGTCTGTTAAGGCTATATGGGGGTTCATCGTGTATTGTATCTGTATGTATGTGTGTATGCATGTATCTGTGTATGTGTGTGTGTATAGCACCTGTCAGGGCTGTGGTACCACAACCGCGTGCATCACCCAGCGGTGTTTGCCGCTCAGAATCGCCGCAGCACCGCGCGGGCCGGACCTCTCGTCTGCCACCTTTGCGACACCACCTTTGATGGCAAAGCGGCATACATCCGGCACAGCAAGGCCCGCAACTGTGGTGCGCAGGGCCGGTCGGGACAGCCGTGGTGTGCTGCATGGGGCTGTGGTCGTAATTGTGGTGTGTGGTGCCGTGGTTGTCTGATGGTGATGTATGGTGATGGCGTGTGGTGTGGTTGTATGGTGGCATGTGGTCATAGTGAGTGATGTGTGGTGGTGCACGGGGGCAATTGGTGTGGTGGTGGTGTTGGGTTCTGTGGTATGGTGTTGTGTGGTGGTGTATGGTTCTATGTTGTGTGGTAGTATGTGGTTCTGTGTTGTGTGGTAGTGGTGCAGTGTGGTGGTGTATGGTTGTGTTGTGTGGTAGTAGTAGAGTGTGTATTGTGGTGGTGTATGGTTTTGTGTAGTGTGTTTTATGGTTGTGAGTGGAGTGGTATTGTTTGATGTGGCTCACTGTGTTCTCCTGTCGTGCCTCTTACCATGACCAGAGTCCCAGCCACAGCTGTGTGGCCTGTGCCAGGCCGTGTTCGCCGACAGCCATGCGTTGCACAACCACCTCAAGAGCACACACCCCGGTGGGAACGCAGCCGATCACTCCAACCACATTACACCACATCGCCCACATACACCGCCAAGGCGCACCACAACACTCGACCACACGACCCAGTCACAACACCACCGTCATGGCAGTGACGTTGCTGGCAGCTAGTACTGCTAGTGCTGCTATATTTTGGTTTCTGGTCACACCCACCCCCTGTTGCGTCATGGCAGCCTTAACCTGTGCCCGCTAACAGAACTTGCTCCTCCGGTGTGCATGATTGAGTGGTGGAATGTCTCGTGTCTCTTGGTGCGCGCAGGAGGCCTGGCCTTCTGCTGCCCCAGCTGCCCCCTCTCCTTCCGGCATCAATCAGCCCGGCAGCACCACTGCACCACTGAGCACCCGGTTCCACCTCCACTCGCGCCGTCCCCGCCGCACCTCGCCGCATCCTGCGCAGGTCCTGCCGAGCATGCAGTGACAGCACCCACGAGAGAGCGGATGACGATACTGATCATACAAGCGGATGGTGGCGATGGTGGCGGTGGTGGCGGCAATGGCGGTGGTGGTGTTGACACAGGAGTTGCTCAGGGCACTCTGCGAATTACCGAATACAGGGATAATGAAGATGTCGGCACGGCCGACTGGACGGCAGCAGAGGCGCCAGTGCATGATGCAGCCGCGGAAGGCACAGCCGCAGCTGCTGTAGCCACCTCGCCCGACACGGCCACGCATGACACAACCACTCCAGCTAAAACCGGACTCGGCAATGCGAAGGCTGATGAAACACCAGCCAACATAGCTACAGTTGACAAAACAGCACATAATATAAATGGAGCTGATATGACAGCACACAACATAGCTGGAGCTGACATAACAGCTCATGATGTCGCTACAGCTGACATAACAGCTCATGATGTAGCTACAGCTGACATAACAGCACAAAGCATACCTACAGCTGGTATAACACCTCATGACATAGCTCCATTTGATATAATAGCACATGATGTAGCTAGGGATGATATAACAACTCATGTCGTAGCTACAGTTGATATAACAGGACATATAGCTAGAGCTGATATAACTCATGACATAGCTACAGTTCATAGAACAGCAGCTGACATAACTACAGATGGCATAACAACACCCAACATAACTTCTGCTGACATTACAGCTGATATAACAGCAGCTGACTTACACTCGCCCGATAAAGCAACAGAAGAAAGGACGCCTCCTGATATATCGACACACGACATGACCACGACAGAATTTTTCTTTTGATGACTTCATCCCTCGAGAATTGAGCATGATATGTACCAGAGGGGGGGGAGTAGTGGGGGAGGAAATGTGAGAGAAATTGAGAAGTCAAAACATCGAGAGAATGTTCTACACAAGTCAACACACTTGACAGAAGCATCGACGATTACAATCCAGCACTCCGTCAGCGTTCTTACAAGCAGTAGAATGTGGGCCTGCAAGGCGAGTTATGTACAAGTTCAATTCTTTTTTTGTCCAATTTAAGTGCCGTTTATGCGAACGCAAGTTCTTTTGAAAATCGAAAGGATGTACCAGTATTCCCTCGTTATTCACGAACTTGTTACCCGTGATTTTGGTTATCCGCAAATCGCATCTGGAACTCTACACCACTGCCTCGAGGGAGATAGAGAAAGTGATGAGATAGAGTGATGATGCATAGCATCATCATAATTTAATGTAAGTTCACTTATAAACTGATATATTTTCATATTTATTTAGATTTACTTTGTTTATTATTTTAAAAAATTGCGTTATAATATTCATGTATTTTATAGCTTGTTTATGTATTATGACAACCCATAAAAAATGCCATAAGCCAATATTCGAGAAATTTGCCATTCAGAGCCATCTCCGGAACGTATCCCTTCCAAATAACGAGGGCATACTGTATACGCATCTTCTACATACACTACAAAAGACTTGCCCTACTCGTGAGCGGTTCATGGCCGTTATATCTCATGGAAGAAATATATTGTGTTTTCGGTAACGTGGCCTCGCGACAGAACGGTTGCCGCTTGTTGCAAGAGGATCATGGTTCGAATCCAGCGACTGCCCTGATTATTACTGCGGGGGTGATAACCGTGATACCGCTACTATAACCTTAGGGATCATCGGACAATCATTTGCGAGAGTATGCCGTTGTGTGCTGGCGTCCAGGTCCAAATGTGGTAAATTTGAAAAACTACAAATTACTCAATTATGATGATACAGCAGCAGCAATCATAGCCCCCTTGTGGCAAAATAATTCCCCGAGTCACTCTTGCAAATGAGACTCACCCTGGTCTCTTGGATTCTAAACTGGTTAAACTGAATAAAATTTTTACTTAACATTTCGGGATGCACTGAAAGTGGTTCAAGTTAAAATAGGCAACAACTAATATGTTACATTAAATCACAGTTATAAACGTGACAAAACAAGCATGACGTATTTTGTTCACTCCACTAGCAGTTACAGAATTGACTGAGGAAGCAGTTGTCAGGTTAAATACTGCACCCCTATAATACCCCATTAGTGCGACTAAGATGCAGTGATGGGTAAATATAATTTGCAAGCCATTTCAAAGCAGTGGGCCTTGTGTTTACACGGGCCATATTAAATAAAGTTGGCAGCCTTATCCACTCCACGCCTGATCTACAAGCATGCAGGTGTAGTGAGTTCAACTGAGTTGCAGACGTTCACTTTGGAGGCAACACATTTATTAATACCAACACAAAGGGGTAACTGTCCCTTAACCAGATAACAAGCTCTGGTGGTGGACCACCAGGCTAACTACACTAATTACACCGTAATTAGCTACAACGGATCGGACCACAGCTCGAGTCCAGGTCCACGTGTTGGAGAGTCTGTAGGACGTAGAATGTAGATTTTTTTTTCAGGATGAACAAAAGCAGCCAGTCCCTCTCGGGGACCCAGCTTATATCTTCTGCGGCATGGCTGGCTCTGCCCTTGGCCACGACCACCTTCGAAAATCTTGGGGCAGGATCTCGGACCTGACACGTGACCACCCCTAGCCCCCACCTGGGGGCCCTGTGTAGACTTTACCGGTCACGTGTCCTTCGTGGTCAACCAGAGTGCCACGGCCCTTAGTAACCCCATTCCCATGGCCGGCACTCTCACACCCTATTCTGTCGGGTTCGGCACTGCACGCAGAGCGTGGTGCCATCCAGCACTGCCAGTCAGCGCTCCCCGAGCCCCTCTAGGGCCGGTACTGCACCCACATATGTGGTGCCCACGATGTCAATACATCGCATGCCGTGCCTCTCTCGGGCCGGCATTACACAGTAACATCCGCGATATCACTACACAGGTAATAATGAGTGATTTGTACAAGTCACATAACACATTGCCAATGACTTATTTTCAAGGGCTGCTACATTCTTTATTTTATTTTACCAGGTGAGGTCCACTGAGCTATATAGCTCTTTTTCAGAAGCGACCTGGCCACAAATTATAGCTGAACGAAGTGGCTTATGTGAAAATTGATCGCAGCCAAATACGTGTTGAATCTAAATGTGGAGGGAAAAACCTGAGGACCCAGAAAAAAATTTGACGCGACCACGGGAAAAATATTCAAATTCCAAATATACAGCAGGCGTCAGGGTTGGGATCGAACCCCTGCATACCAGGCGAGGTAGTTAACATCTAGCCACCGTGACGCCCCATTCTTTGTTCACAGACGTTGCAAATACTTTTCGGCTGGACCTGGTTGCTAAAAAGATGATGGCAAAAATATCGATATGTAAATTCCTGTCAATAGCTCTCTCCGATGCATGTATTCGGTTGAACGCATGTTTTTTTCGCACTGTCCTGACATCACTCCACCTGCTGCGAGCTTCCTGATTTCAGATCTTGGAGAAGCTCCCAGCATGCGCAGCGCAAGCCAAACCCGCATTGGAGAGCAGCACATCACAACTGCGAAAACCTACACAGCATTTGGTCAACGATAGCAATATTAACCGCAACATAAAATACCTTTTTTTTTTAAACGCCATTCACCACAGCACAAAAAAAAACCATGAGAATGCACAAATTCGTGAATCGTGCAACAACCACAGTGACATGGGTTGACATTGCATCTGCTTTAAGTTATGCCTGTTATGCCCCTGGCTCAGGTTCAAGGCTCGCATGAAATGATTGGTGAATAATGAGCACCAATGCGTGCGTGGTGTTTAAAATGGGGTGACCGGTAAATCGTTACAAACCATTCTTAAGTGTTTACCACAAATTGCTTGTGGCTGAGGCATTTAAATGTTAAAATATGTTTAGAATTCATATTCTTGGTTCTTTTGGTAAAGTCACGTAGATAGAAAACTAAAATAAAAATAATTAAATTAAATAAAAATGATTTAATTTATAAATTGAAAATTAAAGCAAAAACCCCACAATAAAAATATTAAAATTTAAAATAAATTGAAAAATAAAAGCAAAAAACCCACGACGTTTCGATCGCAACACAAGTGGTCTTCATCAGGCGGAGAGAAAAGAGGGGGCAAGCCTCCAAATGCAACTGCTTATAAGGGTTTCCAAAGTGAGTGGGCTGAGGACGAGAGCTGCGCAAGCAGCACGGGCGGGGCAGCCAACGCTAATGTCGGAGCAGACAATGGGGCCGAGGAAGGGGGCAGAGAGAGGGCAGCATAGATGGGGGGTGGGGCATTGCACCTCGCTACACACATTCACACTGCTGACAGTAGAGGCTGACCAGAAAACACAAATAAAGTCATGACCCAAAGTGGTTGATGACATCTTTCCAATTATTTCTGAGTTTAAAACCGTCGTCTCGGTTGAAATTGTGTCTATATATGGATGGCTTCGTGAAGGAATCTTTGTTGATAGCCAGTCGGCTTGTAAAGTACCATCGTCTTAGAGAAATCAATTTCATGCAACGAGTATGGAAACCTGACAAGTTAGCGGAAGGTTAGGGGGTAGGAAAAAAAATAAAGATGAATTCATCGATTCCTTCTGCAACGCAGTAACAGGGTTCAAATCTTCACGCCCACCACGGCGTTGTGACGCGTTTTGCCTAATTTCTATCCATATCCACCATTGCCTGCTGCAGTGTTCTTAATTGCAAGGTCCGTGGGCCACTGGCAGCCCCAGGTGTCCTTTAGTGCGGCCCCCAGACAATACACAGTGAAAACATCCCATCATGCTTTCAAACCCAATGGCGGCCATCACTGATGTCTTATCAGCGAAAGTGCCCCCCCCCCCCTGAAAATGAGTGAAGAACACTTAGCCTACAGTATGAACCAGAAGAGGTCACTTGTTGAAGGTGGTGGCTCAGAGATGGCACTGATTTCCTCTTCTGCGGGCCCTTCTCGAGCGTGGAGATCTGTGTGCATCTCGCTGTGCGAGAGTCAGAATAGATCCTTCGTCTCGTGGCACCGCTGACAACATCTAGTTACAACTTGGTGGGGGAGGGGGGGAGACAAAACGTCCTGAAATAACCAATGGTGGTCCTGGACAAAATGGTGGACATTCCACGTTTTCATGGCGAAACGAGTATGAATGTATAATGATCACAGTTGATTCCGCACATTACCTTGAATATTGTTTTGTTATAGCCAGTAGTTATTTTGTTTTTAGAATACAAAACTATTGAGAACATGTCTGACCTGTTTTGTGTTTATTTTTCAACGGGGCACTGCCTGAATGTAATAAAGCAGCTTGATAGCCATGTCGATGTGAGGAGCCACATCGGCCAGGTTCCCATTGAGAGGCGAGACGAACTGCGATCCCTTTCACACAATTGACTGGTGTGATGAAGTATGGTCAAACAACCCTCGCCTCGTGACGGACGCATCTAAATGAGTGAAATTGTGAACGTGGGAATGAGTTGACTTCATTAATGTGGATGAGTGATTATGGTTGATCATAACATTGTGTAAAATATTGAATTCTCGAAGTAATTGACGGAATAAGTTCCTTGAAATGATTGAATAGGAATTCACATCTGCCACTGTAGAGTAAGGGGGGAGGCAGAAATTGTCGGGAAATGCCATAAGCCAATATTCGAGAAATTTGCCATTCAGAGCCATCTCCGGAACGTATCCCTTCCAAATAACGAGGGCATACTGTATACGCATCTTCTACATACACTACAAAAGACTTGCCCTACTCGTGAGCGGTTCATGGCCGTTATATCTCATGGAAGAAATATATTGTGTTTTCGGTAACGTGGCCTCGCGACAGAACGGTTGCCGCTTGTTGCAAGAGGATCATGGTTCGAATCCAGCGACTGCCCTGATTATTACTGCGGGGGTGATAACCGTGATACCGCTACTATAACCTTAGGGATCATCGGACAATCATTTGCGAGAGTATGCCGTTTTGTGCTGGCGTCCAGGTCCAAATGTGGTAAATTTGAAAAACTACAAATTACTCAATTATGATGATACAGCAGCAGCAATCATAGCCCCCTTGTGGCAAAATAATTCCCCGAGTCACTCTTGCAAATGAGACTCATCCTGGTCTCTTGGATTCTAAACTAGTTAAACTGAATAAAATTTTTACTTAACATTTTGGGATGCACTGAAAGTGGTTCAAGTTAAAATAGGCAACAACTAATATGTTACATTAAATCACAGTTATAATCGGGACGTGACAAAACAAGCATGACGTATTTTGTTCACTCCACTAGCAGTTACAGAATTGACTGAGGAAGCAGTTGTCAGGTTAAATACTGCACCCCTATAATACCCCATTAGTGCGACTAAGATGCAGTGATGGGTAAATATAATTTGCAAGCCATTTCAAAGCAGTGGGCCTCGTGTTTACACGGGCCATATTAAATAAAGTTGGCAGCCTTATCCACTCCACGCCTGATCTACAAGCATGCAGGTGTAGTGAGTTCAACTGAGTTGCAGACGTTCACTTTGGAGGCAACACATTTATTAATACCAACACAAAGGGGTAACTGTCCCTTAACCAGATAACAAGCTCTGGTGGTGGACCACCAGGCTAACTACACTAATTACACCGTAATTAGCTACAACGGATCGGACCACAGCTCGAGTCCAGGTCCACGTGTTGGAGAGTCTGTAGGACGTAGAATGTAGATTTTTTTCAGGATGAACAAAAGCAGCCAGTCCCTCTCGGGGACCCAGCTTATATCTTCTGCGGCATGGCTGGCTCTGCCCTTGGCCACGACCACCTTCGAAAATCTTGGGGCAGGATCTCGGACCTGACACGTGACCACCCCTAGCCCCCACCTGGGGGCCCTGTGTAGACTTTACCGGTCACGTGTCCTTCGTGGTCAACCAGAGTGCCACGGCCCTTAGTAACCCCATTCCCATGGCCGGCACTCTCACACCCTATTCTGTCGGGTTCGGCACTGCACGCAGAGCGTGGTGTCATCCAGCACTGCCAGTCAGCGCTCCCCGAGCCCCTCTAGGGCCGGTACTGCACCCACATATGTGGTGCCCACGATGTCAATACATCGCATGCCGTGCCTCTCTCGGGCCGGCATTACACAGTAACATCCGCGATATCACTACACAGGTAATAATGAGTGATTTGTACAAGTCACATAACACATTGCCAATGACTTATTTTCAAGGGCTGCTACATTCTTAATTTTATTTTACCAGGTGAAGTCCACTGAGCTATATAGCTCTTTTTCAGAAGCGACCTGGCCACAAATGATAGCTGAACGAAGTGGCTTATGTGAAAATTGATCGCAGCCAAATACATGTTGAATCTAAATGTGGAGGGAAAAACCTGAGGACCCAGAAAAAAATTGACGCGACCACGGGAAAAATATTCAAATTCCAAATATACAGCAGGCGTCAGGGTTGGGATCGAACTCCTGCATACCAGGCGAGGTAGTTAACATCTAGCCACCGTGACGCCCCATTCTTTGTTCACAGACGTTGCAAATACTTTTCGGCTGGACCTGGTTGCTAAAAAGATGATGGCAAAAATATCGATATGTAAATTCCTGTCAATAGCTCTCTCCGATGCATGTATTCGGTTGAACGCATGTTTTTTTCGCACTGTCCTGACATCACTCCACCTGCTGCGAGCTTCCTGATTTCAGATCTTGGAGAAGCTCCCAGCATGCGCAGCGCAAGCCAAACCCGCATTGGAGAGCAGCACATCACAACTGCGAAAACCTACACAGCATTTGGTCAACGATAGCAATATTAACCGCAACATAAAATACCTTTTTTTTAAACGCCATTTACCACAGCACAAAAAAAAAACCATGAGAATGCACAAATTCGTGAATCGTGCAACAGCCACAGTGACATGGGTTGACATTGCATCTGCTTTAAGTTATGCCTGTTATGCCCCTGGCTCAGGTTCAAGGCTCGCATGAAATGGGTGGTGAATAATGAGCACCAATGCCTGCGTGGTGTTTAAAATGGGGTGACCGGTAAATCGTTACAAAGCATTCTTAAGTGTTTACCACAAATTGCTTGTGGCTGAGGCATTTAAATGTTAAAATATGTTTAGAATTCATATTCTTGGTTCTTTTGGTAAAGTCACGTAGATAGAAAACTAAAATAAAAATAATTAAATTAAATAAAAATGATTTAATTTATAAATTGAAAATTAAAGCAAAAACCCCACAATTAAAATATTAAAATTTAAAATAAATTGAAAAATAAAAGCAAAAAACCCACGACGTTTTGATCGCAACACAGGTGGTCTTCATCAGGCGGAGAGAAAAGAGGGGGCAAGCCTCCAAATGCAACTGCTTATAAGGGTTTCCAAAGTGAGTGGGCTGAGGACGAGAGCTGCGCAAGCAGCACGGGCGGGGCAGCCAACGCTAATGTCGGAGCAGACAATGGGGCCGAGGAAGGGGGCAGAGAGAGGGCAGCATAGATGGGGGGTGGGGCATTGCACCTCGCTACACACATTCACACTGCTGACAGTAGAGGCTGACCAGAAAACACAAATAAAGTCATGACCCAAAGTGGTTGATGACATCTTTCCAATTATTTCTGAGTTTAAAACCGTCGTCTCGGTTGAAATTGTGTCTATAGATGGATGGCTTCGTGAAGGAATCTTTGTTGATAGCCAGTCGGCTTGCAAAGTACCATCGTCTTAGAGAAATCAATTTCATGCAACGAGTATGGAAACCTGACAAGTTAGCGGAAGGTTAGGGGGTAGGAAAAAAAATAAAGATGAATCATCGATTCCTTCCGCAACGCAGTAACAGAGTTCAAATCTTCACTCCCACCACGGCGTTGTGACGCGTTTTGCCTAATTTCTATCCATATCCACCATTGCCTGCTGCAGTGTTCTTAATTGCAAGGTCCGTGGGCCACTGGCAGCCCCAGGTGTCCTTTAGTGCGGCCCCCAGACAATACACAGTGAAAACATCCCATCATGCTTTCAAACCCAATGGCGGCCATCACTGATGTCTTATCAGCGAAAGTGCCCCCCCCCCCCTGAAAATGAGTGAAGAACACTTAGCCTACAGTATGAACCAGAAGAGGTCACTTGTTGAAGGTGGTGGCTCAGAGATGGCACTGATTTCCTCTTCTGCGGGCCCTTCTCGAGCGTGGAGATCTGTGTGCATCTCGCTGTGCGAGAGTCAGAATAGATCCTTCGTCTCGTGGCACCGCTGACAACATCTAGTTACAACTTGGTGGGGGAGGGGGGGAGACAAAACGTCCTGAAATAACCAATGGTGGTCCTGGACAAAATGGTGGACATTCCACGTTTTCATGGCGAAACGAGTATGAATGTATAATGATCACAGTTGATTCTGCACATTACCTTGAATATTGTTTTGTTATAGCCAGTAGTTATTTTGTTTTTAGAATACAAAACTATTGAGAACATGTCTGACCTGTTTTGTGTTTATTTTTCAACGAGGCACTGCCTGAATGTAACAAAGCAGCTTGATAGCCATGTCGATGTGAGGAGCCACATCGGCCAGGTTCCCATTGAGAGGCGAGACGAACTGCGATCCCTTTCACACAATTGACTGGTGTGATGAAGTATGGTCAAACAACCCTCGCCTCGTGACGGACGCATCTAAATGAGTGAAATTGTGAACGTGGGAATGAGTTGACTTCATTAATGTGGATGAGTGATTATGGTTGATCATAACATTGTGTAAAATATTGAATTCTCGAAGTAATTGACGGAATAAGTTCCCTGAAATGAGTGAATAGGAATTGACATCTGCCACTGTAGAGTAAGGGGGGAGGCAGAAATTGTCTGGAATTTGAACAGTCAAAACAATTTAAGCAGAACGTGGTACATGTATATTCAACTCCTTCCACACCTTATGCAGCTAACCGTGCTAATCGGAGGTGCGGGGGAAGGACAACTAAAAACAAAAAGCAGTTCTAAATAAATTCAATCTAGATTTAAAGGTGCGTAGCTCCCAGTGGCTTCCTAGTACGGTATCGGAAGGGAGAACGTTCCAGACGGCCGCAAGTGAAACTGGCAAGAACTACTACAGCCGAAACTCAGCATAAATTGGCGATACTGCTTTGATATGAAAGGTGAAAACAAAATAGTTTAATTAATTTAATAAAACATTTTAATAATCAAGCATCTGCGTGGGGGGAGGAGACAGAATATTGAACACTCCCATGAAAAGGAAAACACAGAATATTGAACACTCCCATGAAAAGGAAAACAATCAGACATTTCGGGGAATGGTCCTCTTTTTGGCAGTTATGGACAAATCTGTAGAGTTTTACTTAAAGCCAAAACGCGAGGACTGCTATGAGTGATTGCGTGCACTGCGTGTGCAATATAACCATCGCGTTTATGTCGCTGCTATTGTTGACACGCAGGGCCATTCGCGGTGTTTATCTATTTCATTTTGTTATTCAATATCATACTGGCCCTCTATGCTTATCAATGGGACCATATTGATTTCCCGTCAGGCGGGGCCGCCTATCCGGGGTACGGTTTCTGAATGCCGCACCGCCGGGGTCACATTGAACCGCCATATTTATGCCCAGCCTCTCCAACGGTGCCGCCCATTGGTTCGTGGCGTCAGCCAATCACAGCACTCCTAGGTCACCGTGCCCCCCCATGAACGTGCCAGGTGATTGGTCAGCTCTTCCTGTCCAGCCACATCATTGGTCAGTTCGCTCTCGCGAGATTTCAGCGACGACCAATAGGAATTCGCCCTTCACTCCACGACCTCTGGCACTCGTTAAGGTTAAAGCTCTGTTCTATATTTGCCTCGTAAGACATTTTTCTCACATTGTTTTGCTTAATAATTTTGTATCCCGCGATGCAGGGGGCTTTGTATTTGTTTAAATTGCCCCCTTAAGTGGGATCTTAAAACACATTGCATTAAAATCACAACACAGACGAGGGTCCCCCTTATCGACTTAACAGCCTGTTGGGGCAGATTCTGTTAGCGAGCAGCACCTATGAAGGGCGGCACCACGCCCGGCCGCCTTTGTCTCCCCAGTAGCGATGTTTCACACACCGCACGAGACCGAGTCGACCTGGGGAGGCAGAATCGGTTTCAAATAATCGTCACGCTGCTGGTGTCGTCTGTGACGGTGAGCGGAAATCGAATCGATTAACCTCATCGATCCCCGATGTTATAATACTGCAACACATGTGTGTTCGATAAAAAAAAAACAAGCACCAAACGGCGACATTTAATCCCCGCGTCCTTTTCCCAACCCCATCGGAGGTCACAACCGCCCCGTGCGTCATCGCTGCGCGACAACCCCACGGCGGCCATCTTGGTGAGGGAACAGCGTGGCGGCTACAGCCCAGCGCACCGCCCGACCCTCGCGTTCGCGATGGGGGCGTGGCTGGGTTTGGGGTTTGGGCTCTCTGCTTCCCTACACAACATGGCCGACTGGTGACGCCCATCGAGTCGGAGCGGGTAAATAGGGGGCGGTGTGAAGTTGCTGCAGCCTCGCTGGACTCAGTCGCTCGCCGCCGCCGCCGCCGCTGCCGCTTAACTCGCTGCTCCACGTCCCCCCCGTGCCTTGCGATGTCATCTCAGTCGTGGTTCTCGGAGGTTCCCCTGGCGCCGCCCGTGGCCGTGTTCCAACTCACGGCCGACTTCAAAGCCGACCCCGACCCCAAGAAAGTCAACCTCGGCGTGGGAGGTGCGTGGTGGCGTGTTCAGGTTGTCATGGTGTGATGCGACTCAAGCGCAGTTTGTCCAGTGACCTGTCAGCGATTTTTGAACCCTTCACGTAGCCTCAAAGTGTACCTAGCCTGGCACAAACGCCACTGAATGATGAACGCCGATTGTTTTCGGGGTCGTATGGTGTGGAGTGTGAGGGAGAGCTGTGTATGGTGGGAGGAGTGGTGGGGTGGTGGGGTCCGTGAGGTGTATGGGGGCTATCCCATACCTGTCAACCCATACGGGTTACCCGTATTATTGTACAGGGAAATTGAGTGTTCAGGTTCATACTGCGTCTATCCGTTTCAATACGGGCAAAATAATGTTGTCTATGTTGTGTTTCTCCCTTGTGATGGAACTTTGTAGGACGAACGTTAAGATTTCTAAGGGCACGGGGTGACGATGTCTAAAGTGGTCTGTAAGAAGGTAGGCACTGATAAGGGGTTGACAGGTTTGCTATCCACTTCGTGGTGAGGTGTATATGTTGAACTTCTTTCGCACGGTACGTAGCAAATCGTGTTAATCGGTTAGGGGTGAATAGCGATCTGCGCCTGTGCGTATGTCTGGTGGGGAGTGTGTCAGCTGTTGTGGTGTGGTGGATGGGGAGTTGTATTCGTGTGCGGGGTGAGAGGAGAGGGGCGAGTGTGGTGCAGATGTCGAGGCGTAATTGGGACGTGCGGTGTGTGAACTGTGCTTTCGGTTTCATTTATTTGGTAATAGCCATGTGAGCCATTCGGCTCTTGAATCGGGTGCAACCGCAACAAACAAAAACATGAACAAGTTTTGAGGTGTGTAAGGAAAACGCTAATACTGGTAGGAACCTCCTGGTTACACCAGCCCACAGGGGATTATTGTGTCCGTCCGTCGTGCAGGGAGGGGCTGGGTGGGGAGGGAGGGACTGGGTGAGGAGGGTGGGGCTGGGTGGGGGGTGGGAGGGGTGGTGCTGGGTGGGGAGGGGCTGGTCACCCCGTGGTGCCCTTATAAAACTCAGCGTTTAATCTACTCACGCCGGCTTGTGCCCGCCCTCAGTCGGGCATATTTGCGGAATACACCACGCCGCCGTTGACCCTGGCCATTGACCAAGCAACCCATCGTTCCTACCAGCTCCCTCCGCAGGAATGTGTTTCAAAAGTAATTGGCAAAACTAGGTGGTTCCGAGATTCGCTAATGCAGTGAGTTAATAGTCTTGCCCTGGCCACCAATGATTGCACGCACAAATCCATCATCCATACAGGTCTTTGATTCGACACTTCATTTGGCTAAGTTCCTCCGAGAATATCGATGGGACTGTCTCGCAAACGGGCATTACGGTACTCTCACGCGGCAAGGCAGTGTAGGAAAGTGCTGGGCCCTTACTGTGGCGACGAGACGTCACTTGAACGCATCTCGGAGGTAGCTATCTAATATCCACTTCTACGGGCCGCTCTCTATCGAATTCGGGGTGATGCACTGCGCCGGGAGTGTGCTATGGGAGGTGGGTCGGGGTTAGGGGTCATCCGTTTAGTTCGTACGCATGGAGGGGGGGGGGTAACCCAAATGCGTGTGCTTGCGTATGGGGGTGACTAATGATAATGTAAGTACGTATAGTAAACGGGGTGGGGGAGGGTGAAGCCTCGATAATAATGTCTACTATATTCGCCTTCAAATTAGAAATATCGTCCGGCGGTGGACTATCTGCTTAAATACGTTAATATTATTAATCCTTGATCTTATTTGTTGGGTCTTTCGGTAAGGTCACGTAGATAGTTTCAAAGAAAATAACAAAAAACGACGTTTCGATCGCAACACAAGCGGTCGTCATCAGGAAAGGGGGGTTAGTTTCTAAAGGCAACTGTTTATAAAGGGTTGAAATGGTTGTAGCCCAAATATCAGCAGCCAGTGTTATTGTAAGTGGTGGCCAGCGACTGCGGCGGTGGTGGGTTTTCCACCAATCAAAGGGCTGCCAAGTAAAAATGAGCACGTTAATGTAAGATCGCCGACCATCCTCCATGGCGAACGCACCGAGGTGGCTATGTTCGTGTGAGAAATTTAATCTGTTAATGTAAAAAATCGGAGAGCCGAAAATAACAACTAACATCGGAAGGTGATATGATGGGAACATCACAGCTAGTTAAGTTAGTTTTTTGTTATTTTCATTTTGAACCTATCTTCGTGACCTTACCGAAAGAACCGAAGAATATGAATTCCTGCAGTCACGAAAGCTTTAAGTCAAGATTTAATCCTTTATCGTTTCTGTGTGGATTAAATATTGGCTGTTCTATAGGATTCGGGGGGCGGGGTGTCAAGCGTACGTATGCATGGGGGGGGGGGGGGGGGTGTAAAAAGTACGAGTGCGTACAGGGAGGGGGGGAGGGGTCAAGTTTTGACAGATTTTTGCGTACGTACTAAATGGATGGCTCCTTACGGGTAGGGTTGGGATACTGTGGGTGTTTATCACGCCGACAGTGTGTTCTGGAAGGAAGTTCCATGTCTGGATAGCAGAGTGAGGACGGAAGCTTCTGTCGTCCATGGAGCATGTTCTGCTATTATTACGCTGCTGACAAAAACTGGGATTTTTAATATCCCACTGAGATTTACAGATCTCCCACTGGAGCTACCAGGAAAAAAAGAGGACTTCCTGGGGAAAACCAGGACGGGTGGCAACCCAAGTTCTCAGTCTGCAGGGCTATGTCCATGCGTTCATGTCACTTGGGGCTATTTAGTCTGGGAGCTTTTCCCATCAGATTGTCACGTTAGTTGATGATACTGGCAGCGGCGCACAAGCACACATCGCAAAAAAACCGCAAGACTTTGGTCAGTGACACTGCCTTTAAAAGGATTCGGATTTGCCAGCTCAGAAGATCAGATTGCCAGTTCAACCCCCCTCACCACTCGCTTCAAAGTTCAACGTTTCCTTGGTGCAGCTGTGACAGATCAGTCACGCAGGTTTTTACTGGGCACTCGGGAGATTACATCTGTGTTTGTGTGTTTTGACTTTTGAATACTTTTCATCCAAGGTCGTAAGTGTAAATGTGTTTACTCTGTCCCGTTATGATTACCCGTAAAGATGATCCAGTATGAATAAAACTTTGGTATTGAGTTTAGTATAACGTTATTTTGCTATTTGAGACTTACCATAGGGAAGTCAGTCTTATTCAAAATGTTCCCTGTGACCTCCCCAGTAGAACTGCTATCCAAGCCCTGTCGTCTCGTCGGCAGCTATTGGGTTTATTGCTCCCAGCTCGCGTGATGGCTACAGGGGTAATAGTGGTGGTGATGACTGATAATGATGGAGATGCTGGTACCGACGGTAGGGTGGTGTCAGGGATGATAACCTTGATAATAATGGAGACTGGTGCCAGTGATGGTGATGAAGACATTGATGACCGGAGATGTGGTGGTGATGTTTCTGTCGGAGGGGTGACCTTGGATCTCCGGGTTGTTCACATGGTGTTAGGATTACCCCGCTACGCTGCTGGTACAGCCTAAGAATTGTTTTCAATAATTAGACTTCCTTTGCCAGTACCAAAATTGAATGATAGGGTTTTCCCCCTTTTTTCTGGCAACAAAACTGAAATCTTCTTACAAGGAATCATGTGTGCATTAACCACAATACTTGTGGTCAAAATGCACACAAAAAACACACTTTGATAAAATATGCATTGTCCTTGAAACTGATTGGTCCACACCAGAGACAGCTTTCTTTTGAGCCTCCTTTTCAATTGGTGCTAAACCACGCCAAAAGGCGTACAGCTCTCCACCTTTTGTCGTCCAGCTGTGCAAGGGGCTGGTAACACCCTCCACCTTCAACTAAATCACTAAAAACACAGAAAGTTCAAACTCTGCTTGTACCAGAGGCGCAGGGAGACAGGTGCCTATATGACATTTCCTAGCCCAGAGGTCGTCAATTGAAATAACAAGAAGAGCCATTTAAAAAAATAATTATATTTAAAAAACTCGAATTCAGGAGCCGCAATGCAATGTGAATACGAGACTGTGGTCCTTAATAAATAATGTCATGAAGCAGTCCTTAGAGGCGAATGCGGCTCTGAAGCCACAGGTTGCCGACCCCTCTACTCTCCAAACCTCATTTGGAACCAAGAGACTGAACCACTTCACCCTCCCCCTCTGGGTTCCTGCAGAAATATAAAAAAACACTGTGGCTGACAACATGCAGTTCTTCTGTCGGGAGCTGGACCGGTACCACCCGGACCTCTGTGGAATACAAGAGGTGCGGTGGACTGGTTCTGGCTCCAGTCACCATGATGGGTGGAGAGTTCTCCACTTGGCTGTTTTTCTGAACAAAAGAATGAAGGGGGTATTGGAGTGCATGGCGAGATCTGGAAAGCTGCGAGTCCCAGGCTCGTGTGGGCGTGCCTCCCCATCAGCAGGAGGCAAGGAAGGGTGGGAGTGGGGCCTTAGGCACACACAGAATATGAGCATCAGTGGAGGGATGCTGATGAGTCAAATGCATTCTATGATCTGTCCCAGGTGTGGGCGAAAGTAACCCCTCAGTATAGTAATCTTTTTGTGTTATTTTAATTCCCGAGTGGGTCATGACGCAGCACCTGGCCCAGATTGATTGTAAGGCATGGGCTAGATCATCTCACGTTCTGGTAAGGATTTTTCAACATCACCTTGTCAAGCACGCTGAACAGAGATTTGCGGAGCCCCAATATGGTTTCAGACTTGGGTGGGTGCCATATTCTCTGTCCGGGCTGATGTGGCACAATAGGATGTGAAGCTTATTAGACTTTCCAGTGACTGGTACTAACAGTGGAGGCGTGTGAAGGACGCTACTGGACAGTTGTAAGTAGTTGGCCTCAAACAGCGGAGAGCAGAGGATTGATGCGCACAACAACAAGCAGAGCACCGGGAGGCTAAAACGCAAGTTCATACAGTAGAGTGCATCGGTCAGTCAACTCATATCACCTTGGTCTGTCCCATGACCTGTCAGCAAGCCTTTGATACTTCACATGGCCTCAAAGTGCACCTAGCATGGCGAATGGTGGCTGTTGTCTATATTTGTGATGGTGCAGTGTACTAGCTACGAACTCACCGACCAAAGTTCCATTTCCATTCACAGCCAACATCAGTGGTGATTATTTTAACTGGTCCCGGGCCTTCCTAAGGTCGATTCAGCCTTAAATAAGTACCTGGGGCTGTATGTGAATATCACCACTTGGGAGACAAACTTGGTCAGGCGTTGTGCAAGCTACACCACCCACTCGAGTGCAATATTTGCCTTCACAGGTGCTCATGAACAGCGCTCGCACCAACAGCCTGGGTAGGCTACACAAGGGGGGGGGGGGGGATCGTCGTCTAAACCTGTGTGTGCGTCCGCGTGTGTGCAGCGTACCGCACGGATGAGGGGCTGCCTTGGGTGCTGCCCGTGGTGGCGCGCGTGGAGCAGCAGATGGGGGCTGGCGTCCTTGACCACTGAGTACCTGCCTGTGGTGGGGAGCCCCTCGTTCACGTGCGCCGCCACTGCCATCACCCTCGGCCACGACAGCATCGCCATCGCTGAGGGCAGGGTGCGTTGGTGCATGCGCGTGTGTTGGTAGGATGGAGGGACGTGCATGGTGAGGTGCAGTGACGCAGTGTAGGGGAGCAGTCGTGTGGTAGCGGTTGGCGCACTGCGCTACGAATCTGGTGACCTGGTTTCGATTCCTGCTCATGGCCAATGCCAGTGACTATTACCTGAATGGGTACTGGGCCTTTTCTAGGTCGACTTGACCTCAAATGAGTACCTGGTGCGGTGTGTAAATATCGCCACTAGGGAGATAAAGGCGGCCGGACGTGGTGTTGGTCACCCACCAACTCGTGCCATGCCGGCCTTTATAGGTGCTCGCCAACGGCACTTGCCCCAACAGTAGTTTGAGGCTATATGGGAGATTTTTACTTTTGTTTGCAGTGACAGTGGTTAGCACAATGTGCTACAAAGCTAACAACCCGAGTGTAATTCCCACTCGCGACCATTAGCAGTGAAGAATATTTGAACCGGTCTTGGGCCTTGCCTATATCGACTCGGCCTTATACAAGTGTAATGATAGGGTGACACCTGCCGGCCTGTGAGGGTAATTACGGTTATAGCTGCATTACATAATGCCTTATTATGAAGGGGCGTATCTGGGGTAAAGGTGAAGGGCCGTGTCAGTTGAGAAGCTCCGGGAACCATCCCAAAGGGTCTAGTAGGTTCTAGAAAGGGGGCGTGGCCAGAGGTGGAGCTTGGCCACACCAAGCAGATATAAGGCGTACCGAACCAGAGCTTCGGGGCTGTTAGTGTGGGGTCTGGGTCCTGGTTGCGTCGCTGCCGTCGTCATCTCTTCACCTTCGACCACGTGGCTGTTCTTCTGCAAGACCAGCTCTGTCGCCGCCGCTACACTCGTCAACCAGCCAGCATAGCGCAGGACAGAGATGGGCTGCGTGTTTGGACAGCCTAGGTGTAGCCGCGTTACGAAGTGTATCGCCCTGTGTGCTCTTACTAAATAAGAAGCCTTCTACTAGACGTGTGTTGTAAGTCGCTCACTACACAAGTGCCTGGCACCATGTGTAAACATCTGCGCTGGAGTGACAAAGGCTGCCGGCCGTGGTGTTGCTCACCCACCCCCTCGTGCGCTGTACTGCTCTGAATGTGCTTGCTAACAGCACTTGCCCCAACTGTCTATTAAGGCTATATGTTGTGGATTTTCTCTCCAACACACAGGTGTGCTGTACTAGTAAAGAATTGGCATGTTCTGTTTACGTGACAAACCTTACTAACCCAAAAAACCTGTATTATAGATGATATTGGTCGCGAAAGCCTACATATTAAACTATATGGGGATGTTTGTCTCTGTCTTTGGAATGTGTGTGGTGATGGCATGGTTTGTGTGTGTAGTCTGTTTGTGGTGACATTGTGGAGTGTGTGTGGTGACCGTGTGGGGGGTGTGGCGAGGGTGGAGTCGTTGCGTCTTGTGCATCTCTCTATTTCTCTGGATGCGTGCGCAGGCCGGTGGGGTGCAGGCTCTGGGAGGCACGGGCGCTCTCCATGTGGGAGCTCAGTTCCTAAAGCGATGGCACACACCCAATGTGCCCGTCTACGTCTCCTCACCCACGTGGGGTGCGGGGTCACAACAACACCATCGCTAAACGGGTTCACCACACCACATAGGGCGTTGCCACAACGCACAAGGCCTCAATATACAGGGGCTTGCCACACCATACAGGGGCTCGCCATACATGTTAGGGACCACACTAATCCTAAGTGTGGTCTTGTGTATTTGGAGATTGTATGTCTCTCCCCGTGGTCGTGTGGATTTTCTCCAGGACCTCTTTTTTTTCCCCTTCCCTCCACATTTGTAAACATGCGTTTAGAGTATCTGGCTGCTATACATTTCCACACGATAAGTCACTTGGTTGACCTATCATTTGTGGCCAGGTTGCTTCTGAAAAAGAGCTGTATAGCTCAGTGGGGCAATACCTGGTAAAATTAAAATAGCAGTTTAGTGTGCATTGCTGGCCTTCATAGGTGCTCTCAAAAAAGCCCTTTACCCAACAGTCTGTTGAAGGCTTCACGGGAGATCTTTGTCTTCGCTCAGAGAACCACAACGCCGTGTTCCGGGATGCCGGCTTCACTGACATCCGCTCATACCGCTACTGGGATGCCGAAAAGCGTGGACTTGCCATTGACGCTCTCATCGCCGACTTCGAGGTGGGGAGACAAAGGCGGCCGGGCACGTGCAGTGTGTGTGTGTTTGCCCAACTCTACGGCATCACCATCATTGCCGCCACCATTCTCATCACCATTGGCAGGATCATTATCATCATCTTTACCATCGGCACCATTACGGTTACCATCACCACCACCACCACCATATTCACTATCAGCACCATTGTCTTCATCGGCACCATCTTCACCATTCGTACCATCATCTTTACCATCCCCATCATCGCCATCACCACTACCACTATCTCTACGATCAACGCTACCATCATCTCCACCATCTGCACCATCTCCACCATAGTCATCTCTACCATCATTTCCACCATCGTTATTATGTATGTACCCACCCGTGTATGTATACGATTGGCTACATACGTGCAAAAGTGTGTTTACCCGTTTGTGTGTTTACCCGTGTGTGTTTGTGTTTACGCGTATGTGTGTGCACTGTGTGTGTTGACCTGTGTCTGTGAACTGTGTGTTTATCCGTGTGTGTGTACTGTGTGTGTGTAGTTAGCTCCTCCACACTCCGTGATGCTTCTCCACGCCTGTGCGCACAACCCAACCGGTACGGACCCCACACCGGCCGAGTGGGACCGCATCTTTACCGTCGTCAAGGTAACGGCCACAGCAGCATAGTGGCTAAAGATCTGAACCGGTCTCAGGGCCTCCACTAAGTCAACTCGGCTGTTAAAAAAATTTGTACCTGGTGCGGTATCATAACATCAGCACTTGGAAGACAAAGGCGGCCGGGCGTGATGCTGGCTATGCGGGCCCCCTCGGGCCTATATAGGTGCTCGCTAACAACGCTTGCAGCAACAGTCTATTAAGGCCACACGGGGGTGGCGGGCGAATCTTTGTCTTTCTGTGCACAGGAGAAGCAGCTCTTCCCATTTTTCGACTCAGCGTACCAGGGCTTTGCTTCGGGAGACCTGGATCGTGACGCGGCCGCCGTGCGTCTCTTCGTGAGCCGCGGCATGGAGCTCCTCTGTGCTCAGTCCTTCAGCAAGAACTTCGGCCTCTACAGTGAGCCCCAGGGGGGGGGGGGCGGTGCTGTGGTAGAGGGATGTGGTGTGTCTTTGTTGTGGCGCCATGGTAGCTAGGAGAAATGAACTACCTCCACTAATATACATGAGGTTGTGGGTTCGATTTGAACCCCTAATGTCTACTGTATATTTGGAGTTTGCATGTCTCTCTCCCCGTGGTCGCGTGGATTTTTATCTGGGTCTTCCAGTTTTTCCCTCCACATTTGTAACCATGCGTTTACAGTATTGCAATACATTTACACATGATAAGCCACTTATTTGAGCTATCATTAGTGGCCAGGTTGCTTCTGACAAAGAGCTATATAGTTCAGTGGGCCTTACCTGGTAAAATGAAAAGTTCAGTTTAGTTTAATGTGAGTCTGTGTACGTGTGTGCCTCTGTGTACCTGCAAGTGTATGTATGTTCATGCTTGTGTGTGTATAGGTGTGTATTCGTGTGCGTATGTATATGGTGGTGGTGGCTTATGCACCCACAGAAAATTGACATCAGTGGAGGGATACAGACAAAGCTGATGAGTCTGATGCCTTCTCTGTGTGACCTGTCCCAGGTACTCGGAATTTAGTTATAATATTAGGTGACTGGTTCCCAAGTAGGTTATGATACAGGCACCTGGGCCAGAGTGGAAGCATGGTCAGATCACTTAATAACGTGAGGAGGCTGCTAGACCTATGCGCAGCCCGTGGGCTTGTAATTGCCAACACACTGTTCCAGCATAGGCGCATCCACACATCATTGATGCATGCCAGGTCCAAGAAAGAACATTTGCTTTACTGCATATTGATGAACAACAAATGTGAGCCCATATCCTTGACACAAGGATCTACCATGGAGCTCATCTGCCCCACTGATTATTGCCGTGTTATCAGTAAGATGCGCCTGCCAGAATTTCACTGGTGTAAGCATCCATCTAGGACTCCATTCAAACCCACAATAGCCTGATCTCGGCTCGCTGATGAAGTTTGCAAGCAAGGATTTCATCATCACTTGTAAATGGGCTTGGCATCATCCCCCCCCCCTCTTTTGATGTCGAGGGAAAATGTGTTCGCTAACAGCAGTTGCCCCAAAAGTCTGTTAAGGCTATGGGGGAGGGATCTATGTATGTTTATTAATATACGTATATCTGTGTGTGTATGTGTGTGGTGCAGACGAGCGTGTGGGAAACCTGGTGGTGGTTGCACGTGACCCTACGCGCCTCCAGGCCATCATCTCCCAGATGGTGATGGTGGTGCGGCCCTTGTGGTCCAACCCTCCTCACCATGGGGGAACCATCGTCGCCACGACGCTGAACAACCCCGCGCTATTTGCCGAGTGGTAAGCTCCAACCAGAGACAGAAAAAAATTCCCTGTATAGTCTAAAAGAGACTGTTGTGGCAAGTGCTTTTAGTGTGCACCAGTGAAGGTCAGCATAACACACCAGGGAGTGGGTGTTCATTACCATGCTCGGCTGCCATTGTCTGCCCACTGCTGATGTTTACACACCACATTAGGTACTTGTTTATGGCTGACTCAATCTTAACGGAGATCCAGGTCCAGTTCAAATATTCGCCACTTATTGATCGTGCGCGGGAGTTGAGCTTGAGTTGCCAGATTCGTAGCACTGCACTGACGCTCCCCCTCTATGCTCCACATACGCTTATATGGACACTCATGATATCCAATGTTGGATGAAGGCCTCGGAAGTAGTTCAGTAATGTCTGCTTCCATGGGCTGTTCCCTAACACGAAGGGTCGCACTGCTCTACCAACGTTCAGAATGGATCTTCGTCTCCTGATAATGCTGATGAGGATATACTTGGGGGGGGGAAAGATTATCTTGAATTTATGGATGATGATGATGATGATGACGACGACTATGGTGCTGTGTCTGATCATGCTGCATGCACGCATGAACAGGAAGGACAACGTCCGCACGATGGCGGAGCGCGTGCTGCTGATGCGTGAGAAGTTGCGGGAGAAACTCAAGAGCCTGGGAACACCCGGAAACTGGGACCACATCACGCGCCAGATCGGCATGTTCAGCTACACTGGCCTCAACCGTGAGTCCCACGCCCTTTAAGACCGATAACGCATCACCGCTGCCTGCCACTGCTGCCGGGTTTTACTGAAATGTTTGGAAAAATATTCCGACATTCCGAAGCGTTCCCTAACACACAGTGAAACGTTGGACATTGTGCCGGTAAAGCACGAGATCAAACCAAAAAATACACCGTCGTGCAACCACAAAAAACCACATGGCGATATACATCATCATCAGTAATCATCATCAACAGCAGCCAATCGAACTTACATATCAGTCAAACTTAATTTGGAGCTTTCGTGACTGCAGGAATTACTCTTTGGTCCTTTCGGTAAGAAAGAACCAAAGAGTTACATATCAGTCATATATTTACTCCTGTAGCCGTCCCGTCTTGTGTCTCCCACCGTGATTGTAACGAGAGGACAGGGTGGCTAAATACATTATTGGAGGATTATGGATGTGAAGTTTAGTTCCCGTCGCCTTGCGTATCACACGGCTGGTTGAGGTGACTGGACAGCTTCACCAAGCGGGACCACGAGTGGGCCATGCAACGGCAACACTTTGTTTGAAAGTGCTCTTTTGGGTAGCCTTTGTATCTCTACAACGGTGACAAAAAGACACCATCAGCCCAATTGCCACACAAGCACCACACTGTTCAATCTGCCACCAGACTTCAGCCAATCTAGCACCTGAAGAGGGGCCCATAAACATGGATTTTACAACTGCTGTCTGGACGTGGCCTAATGTGCACGTGTGGCTTGGGGTCCAATCCCCGAGCTGCTTTTGCATCACATGTACCCTCACCTTGCCTATAGCAACTATATGGCGCATCAGATGCCTCTTGCCACGTGGTATTTTCACCCAAACATAAAGAATGCAGCAGCAAGATGCAGCACAAAACCCTTAACCCTTTCCCGTTCCGATGACGTACGTGTACTGTTTTTCTTCCGATTCCATACGTTTATGTTATCGGAACGGAATCGGAAGCAAAAGGCCATGCGGGAGGGCATGTAGCAGTTTCTTGCCAGGTATCATAGAGTGCGGTCATGTCGCTCCAGTTCTCTGCGGTGAGTACAGTTCAATATCTTTAAAAACAGCAGCGCGATACGCCTCTCTAAATAAAATTAACGCTAACCGCTTGCACGTACTGAGATTCAGTACGTGCAAGCGTACTGCAACTCTCTGCGTAGTGCACAATTACACACACAAATCATCGCAGGTCGACTCGCATCTGCTAGGCTCCGAATATTATGAATAAATTACCCAACTACTAACTTATGTAACGGCTATCAAACCTTGACACATTCGTCAATAAAACTGCCCTGAGAGGGAATAATACTGTCTTCATAGACATTTCGCAAAACAAGCTAAAAAAATGTCTTATTTATTTTTTACTCTCTTAATGGACTCTATAGACTAAATATCCCAGCTCGACCTTTTGTTATTAAGTTTGAATTATGTGCATCGCTTCCTCGTGTTAATCTCACTCTCTCCTCTGCCCCCTTCCTTCGCCTTACAGCCGCCCAGGTGGAGTTCCTCATCAAACAGAAACACGTGTACCTCATGAAGTCGGGGCGCATCAACATGTGCGGCCTCAACTCGCACAACCTCGACTACGTGGCCGAGGCCATCCACGCCACCGTTACAACGGTGGCCTGAGAGCCGCACGGCACCACATGGCACGACACCACATGGCACGACACCACATGGCACGACACTACACGGCACGACACCACACGACACGTCACCGAAGCACCAGGATCTCACCCCCCGTGAAAGGTCCACCAATCACACCGCCTTCATGCTTCGCATTTGCAACGTACCGCACTGTGCACACCACACCACATTAAAGAACCAAGTCCACACCGTTTCATGTTTGTAACATACCAAACAGCGTATAAAACTAAGTACAGCTGACCACGATATGTTCTTATGCACCCGCATCACACCGCGTACACACTCGCACATCACATTCAGAGCATAGATATGCCCATCACTCGTGTATAATTTCTAAACCAAAATAATAAAACACACAGACGCACGTAGGCTCTCGCACGCACACAATGTTCTGGTTACAGAACAAGCCCGCAATGCGGGTGATTTTGGATCACGCAGGACACACAAATGAATATACACTTGATTTTACCTTTTTGTGCGGTGATTTCGTCCAATCTCGGTTCAACTAAAATTAGACTTTAGATGTGGTGGGGACAATAGCTCTGTCAAGTCTTACCACTTTGCATGCTTCATTAGTGCAATATATATTGTATTTACATGGCGCTGTGCTGTAAAAAATATCCACGATCCAAGAACGCTTAATACAGGAGTTGAATTGCAGGTCTGGCTGGCATGGGGTCGTGCGTATTTATTGTCGATAGCGACGTCTTAACTTGCAATGAACAAATAATAGATTTGAATTTTGTTCTCGGACCAGTGTTGCCAAATCCTAGCGATGCAATATGAAAGCAAACCAGTGACAAATCTGGTGACCTGGGACAAGAATGTGATACAGATTTCAGAGCAATTCCAGGTACGTATTAAGGATCCTGCATCTGGGTACGTTCAATACTTGGTCGATCATTGTTTGATTTAGAAGGTCAATTAGTCAGACTGGTGTGGAAGTCAGACTCTTAACTGGTATAGGAATTCAAACTTGAGCCATACTGAGACGCACTGAAAAATTAGGATGAAAGGCTGTGGTGGAGTCCACAGGTCTAACCTATTGACCCAAGACTACCCGGCTCATGACTGTCCACTTCAACACCACCATCTCGCCCGCAAATCGATATGATCCGCGACAACCAAATTCAATAGCATGTTTGGGTGATTCTGTGATTCTCGCAGTGGTAATGCACTAACTTCCATTAAATCTAAAAGGCCTGAAATACGAACTCTGGAAAATGTTTAACCACACGTGACAAGTCTACTTTGCTCATTATATTATATCATCGCTGTAATGTAAGTGAGTCTAAATATTTATTGGACTAAAGTTAAAGTGAAAACGTACATTTCAAGTTGTTCGAAACAGTGATGCCCAGTTTCTAGAAAGTTCTATGAAGACGGAATAGATAGTTGTGGACTCAAAATTAGAAGATAAGAAAATGTTACGTCGGTCACTCGCAAATAAAGTGGTCAATTAACGTGATCTGACCGGTACCCAACCCATAAGCTGTAAACGACCTCACCCACAGTTAACTGGGGACACAACCCAATGCTACACGAGTTGAGGCTTTATTCCAAACCCACTTTGGAGTTCTCTCAAAATATATTTGTCTAGAGTCTCGTACTAAAACTGCTCTTGTGTGGAGTTTGGAGGGATTTTATGCCTGTCAAGTTTGGGTTTTTTTCGGAGAGTGGATTTTTTTGTTACAAGTGTAGTGACATGGAATGGGTCCCTATGGAGCATAGCGCTGATTGCTGGCAGAGAAAGGGATCTGCAGTTGCAGCAGCCCTGTCTGTCAAGCAGGTCATGCGATAAGCAGAGAGCGGGATGTAGGGCAAAGGTGATAGAGGGGGCACGTGAGGTAAGCCTGGGAACCAACTAGTAGGTTCTAGAAGGGGGGCGTGGCTGGGGGCAGAGGGAGGCCACGCCAAGAGGATAAAAGGGGACCCAGAGCGATGGTTCGGGGCTGTTGCTTGGAGTGGAATCCCGTCGGGCTGCTGGAGTCTTCGTCACCGTCTTCACCTCAGCGTTGTCAGGCAGTTTGTTAGCTGTCCTGACTGAAGTATGGTTACCCCTTATAATTAATAGAGTGCCTCCTATTCCTAGTATCACTACACAAGCACTGATGATGCAATCGTAAGTTGCTGGCCTGTGCTACTGGTGGTGGATCAGGAGGCAATAAATGTTCTTTGAAAATCACTTGATAAAGATTAAAGCGCTTTATTTGGTGTCCGTGCGATGCATGAATGCTTGAACCAGCCAGTTCTGATTTTTGTTATCATTGTGCTTGTTACCCAGGAAAACCTCACTGAATCTCGATGAACTTATTCAGGAAAATCCAGCCAAGTTTTTGCAGTTCGGGGCAATGTTGCTGCTGTGTGTAATCCCAAATTAATAATTTTCATCTATTGGAATGTTTGGCTCCCTCTGCTGCAAACCAAGTTAAATGATCCAAGTTAAATGAAAGCGCTGTACAGAGGTGATGGTTTTTATTTAATAGAATATGGCCACGTGCGCTGAAAACTGCTGAGATTGCGCATTGCACTGTAACACTTTTTTATGTTTTTTGCTCCTGCATAGTAAGTGTTATTTCCTAATTGGTTATGCCTCAAAAGTACAGAAAATAGCTATTATTCCCCACAAACTTTGCTTTTGTAACCAGGACAATATTTTGAAATTTACCTATTTTCTAGAACATTCCATAAATGGTAACAAGTACCTGTCTCTTCCCTCAGCTCACCTTAAATATGATTACAACAGCATCAAGACCTTGCTGGACGGCTTGAAGTATGATGAGTATGGTTGGGAGGTCATCGGAGACTTGAAAATGGTGGCATTCCTGATGGGTCTCCAAGGTGGTTTTACCAAGTTTCCCTGCTATCTTTGCCTTTGGGACAGTAGGGACACCAAGGTGCACTACCAAAGGGCAGGACTGGCCACAGCAGACCGAGTTCTCTGTGGGGAGGAACGTCATGTGAGAGCCACTGGTGGACCCCCGGAAGGTGCTGATGCCACCACTGCACATCAAATTGGGCCTTATGAAACAATTTGTCAGAGCTGTAGATAAGGAGTCGGCAGCCTTCAAGTACATTTAAGACTTTTTCCCTAAGCTGTCTGAGGCAAAGGTCAAAGCCGGTGTCTTCATCGGACCACAGATAAAGAAGATCCTGGAGTGCAATGAATTCCCCAAGAAGCTCACTCGTGTAATGACAGGGTGACACCTGCTGGCCTGGAAGGGGAATCACAGGCACGGTTACAACTAATCAGAGAAGGAGATGTATCTGGGACAAAGGTGGGGTGAGCCGAGATACTCCAGGAACCTGCTCGAAAGTTCCACGAGAGGGCGTGGCTAGAGGCAGGACTTAGCCACACCTGGGGGGATATAAGGGGGAGCGGACCATCGTCATGCCGCCAGGCAGCGGCGTAGCCGAGTGAGGGTGATGGCACCACGCCGAGTGATCGGCTGTGTAGCCAGTATCGACGTGAATATTTAGTATTGTACTCAGTGTGAGTAATAAAAAATAAGTGCCCTCTGCACGACGTGTCGTGGAAGTCGCTCATTACACTAATGAGGAGAAAGTGGCTTGGAACAGCTTTGTCGCAGTGGTTTGTGGCTTCCTGGGCAATCACAAGGTCGAAAACTATGTGGTGCTCGTTGAGAACCTGGCGAAGAACTACGGCACAATGGGTTTTAGGATGTCCCTCAAAGTCCATATCCTTGTTGCTCATCCTGATAAATTCAAGGAGAACATGGGAGCGGACTCGGAGGAGCAAGGCGAGCGCTTCCACCAGGATATCCTGGATTTTGAACGCCGCTACCAAGGACAGTATAACGAGAATATGATGGGAGACTACGTTTGGGGGCTGATTCGTGAAAGTGATTTACAGTATAGTCATAAATCTAAAAAACTACTCGCTTATAAATCTTTTTTAGTCATTTTTGTATTACTTTAGTATAAATACATGTTAATTTCGATTCATATGTTGTTTTTTTCTGACGTTATGTGAACGAAAAGACACATTTGCCCGTTTTCTCATTGAAAATAGGTAAATTTCAAAATATCACTGCCCTGGTCACAAAAGCAAAGTTTGTGAGGAATAATAGCCATTTGCTATACTTTTTAGGCATACGCAATTACGTAATAACACTTACTACCTAGGAACAAAAATTGTGTTCCATAGTGTTATCAGTGCTTCAATTTCCTCGGACATGGTCACATTCTGGAGGAATGCCCAGTGCAGCACGTTGCCCTCATGGGACAGGGAGGATAGACGACTCTGGAGACTTGGGAGTTTGGTAACCAAGAACATCGTGTAGAAAGATGGGGAAGACAGCGTAGTAGGAGGCCACCTCGCTCTTTGCGAGAATGAGGCAGTGCAGCAAGCAGCCCATTAGATAGTGGCTTCCCCTAAAGAGGCAACCCGGAGACAGCGCTGGGCAAGGGAGTGGCCAGGCAAAGCAGATGTCCCTGCATCGCCTGGCCACCGGGTCATCGCAGCTCAGCAGGAGATGACAGCACTGGGTACGAGGTCCCTACTACGCACACTGTGCGGCCGGAGCTAAAGCCATCAAGCGTCTGCCACAAGTCCCTTCATTTGAGGCTGACTTCCTGTACAGGGTGTATGTTATGACCATCAATCATCAGCGAGATCCGATAACAATAACCTCCGTTTTAGCCCCACCCCCATTCAGTTGGAGAAAGTTGGACTACATCCCATCTCTTGACAATTGAAAACGATGATCAGAGAGCAGAGAGTGAATTAAAAATATTCGATTTGCAGTGCGTTTAATTTTGAGTGTCATCAGTATAACAGTGAAAATTGAGACCTAATTGAAAAATGGTAAAAACGGGGCCATGTGGAACTTATTTTGCACCGTACGTAGCCAACTGTGCTAATCAGAGGTGTGGGGAAAGAACAACAAACTGAACACAAAAAGCAGCTATAAAGAAATGAGTTTCCAATCTATATTTCAAAGTGCATACCTTCAGTGACTTCCTAATATCGGAAGTAAGAATGTTCCAGGCGGCCGCAGAAACGCATCTGGAAGCACGCGATGCGGGGACCGTCTTTGTTCAATGAATAGCCAAATGCTGCTGCGAGGATAACCAGAGTTTACGTGATGCTCCTCGATGAGATCAGCAAGATGTTGTGGTTCATTTGTGGCAAGCACTTTGTGTATAATGAGTGCGACCTTATATTGTATTCGTTCAGCAACTTGAAGTCAATGCAGCTCAGCGAGCACCAGACGGACATGTTTGGATTTTGCAGTACCCGTCACGACACATGCCAAATAATTTTGTACACGCTGCAGTTTGGTAATGTTTTTGCCAGACGTCCTGTAGAGTAGTGAGTTTCAATAATCGACCTTTGGCAATACAATTACTAAATGGTACCGTACTGGCTATGTCAATTGGCCAAATGTGTTGGAGAGCCTTTATATGAAAATTGCACGTGGTGATCAATCGACATTCTGGTCAAGTATGGTGCCGAGGCTCTTTAGATGAGTAGAAAACTGAATCCTGGAGTCTGCAACTGCCACGTGCGTATGTATGTTGAACTTATTTCGCACTATATGTCGCCAACCGTGCTAATCGGAGGTGCCACACGTGATCCTACCACAAATGTTTTTGCCTCAGCCTGAGTGACAACCAGCAGATTCTCCGATTTTGCTGGATTAAGCAGCATTTCTTGTCATGTAAACAACACGAGCATTGCTCACGTTCAATCTTGGAGGTTTTGGAGGCTCTCCATATATAACTTTGACTTCACTGCGGTGTACAATTGTGTACCATCAGCATATTGATGGAACTTGATGTCAAGCGATGAGATAACATCTGTGATCGGAGAGATATATGTTGAAAATAGCAAGGGCCCAAGGACGTACCCCTGTGGTCTGCCAACTTGGCACGACATAATGTATTTGTTCAGCAACTGGAAACCAATGCAGCTCGGCGAGCACCGTACAGACATGGTAGGATTGTGCAGTACCCGTCACAACATGTGCCAAATAATTATGTACCTGCTGCAGCTTGCAAATGTTTTTTCCAGACGCCCCTTTGAGTAGTGAGTGACAACCTTATCGATACTATGCTGCACGCCACCATGTTGGCTATGTCACGACTTAATAGTGACCAAATGTGTCGTAGAGCCCTGATATTAAAATTGCAGGACCTGACTATTTTGCACGTGGCGATCAAATTACATATTTTGGTCGAGTATGCTCTTTAAACGAGTAGAAAACTGAATCCGGAGCCCGAGTGCCAACCAGCAGACTTCCGATTTTGCTGCATTAAGCAGCATTTTGTTTCGTGTGGTTTTCACGAAACGAAATCCTCGTGTGCAATCTTCAAGGTTACCGAGGCTCTCCGTATCAAACTTGACTTCATTGCGGTGTACAATTGTGTATCATCAAGATTTTGATGGAACTTGACGTCATGCGTTGACATGACATCAGCGATCAGAGAGACATATATTGAAATAGGAAGGGCACAAGGACAGGCCCCTGTGGTCCGCTAACTAGGCATGTCATAGGCGATGACTGTTCATTACCCAGCTTGATGTACTGTGATCGACCATTTAGGTATGGTTCAATTTATCCCAGTTCTGTACCTGATACACCGAACCTTGACCTTAGCCGCCCGATGAGTATCTCATGGTCAATGATGTGGAAGGTGGTTAAAAGATCGAGGCCAACCAACGCTTCGGCCACCAATCATCTATGATCTTGTAGAGGTCAAACGTGATCTTTAGTAGAGCCGTTTCAGTCCTGTAGAACTTCTGGTATGCCGACATCAACGGGTTGAATATGCCTGTTGCAGCGACGTGGGGAAATAACTGCTTCAGAAAAAGGAGCTCTATGATCTTTGAAATCATTCTCAGGTTTGAAATTGGGCGATAGTTTTCTGAGTCAATATGGCAGGGGCGGTGCTTCTGTCAACCGCTGGCGCAGTGTCAAGAAGGCATCGGTCTCTGGCTGGCCCCAATGAAACAACTGTCCCTTCGCCGTGAGCGCATGCAAGGGCTTAGCGATGGTTGCAAAGTTCTCGACGAAACGGCGGTAATGAGAAACAAACCCCACGAATCTGCGGACTTCAGGCACGGACGTGGGTTGTTGAGGCCGCTGGCCCCCGCGGCCTCTCCCTGCTGGGCACCGGCCGCAAGGGTTCTGCCGTCTCCCGATCCCTCACTCGTGTGTG